ATTGTACGTGCATGAGGGCGAGGCATGAGCAGCGCAACTGATCATTCAGCTATAGTCTCTTTGGCGGCTAAAGGGTTGTTGCGTATGACTTGTGGTCATAAGTCAAAATTCGTTATTATAAATCTACTCATATATAGAAAAAGAGCTAGGCGGGGTTTGAAGGGTCGGATCTAGCACTCATAGACGAACACTGATACCACTTGAATAGCTGTCGTATAAACGCCTCGTCAACCATCGCCATCACTTCCTCCGGATGGCAAGACAGGGGGGGGGAGGCTTCTCGCGGCGGAGGACGAGCGCGCGGAGGGAGGTAGTCGGGTCAGAAAGACGGGGGGGCGTGTGCGTTGGGTGGGTGTGGTAGGGCGCGAGTTGATTGATCGGAGGCAGATACGCAGGGCGCTGAATGGAGACGAAGAGAAGGGGGGTGGAGGATGTCGAGGAATTGACAAAAGCTCGTTGCTCGACGGGCTTTGCCTCAGGGGGGTGTGTGTGTGTGGTCGCGCGCAATGCGTGGTGGTCGAGGTATCTGCACAAATTTTCGTGCCTCTCGCAACAGAAGGGGCGGGCGCGCTGAATGAGGGTCCCCTCTTCGTCCCGTGGCCGGAGAGTCAAGCCCAGACACCAACAGCTGTTTTCCACGCGTGCCCTGCGCGCGAGCAGGCGGCGGCGGCCGGGGTCAGCCAGGGTGGACCGTGGACGGTAGGTAGGTCGTGGAGGAGGGTGGTCAGGACGCGACAGACCCAGGGGTGTGGCCGTACGATGGGTTGTGGTGGTATCGGTCCGAGTGGATCTCGGAGCTCGAGACTCTTCGACGACAATGCGAGCTTCTGATCCTTCAGCTGGATTTGAAATAGAAGCAAGGTTGGCGGCCAATGGATTTGGTCGGTCGCGTCCAGCTGTAGGGAAAGTTTTCTCACGATCGATGTCCAGTGGTGTTGACACCCACACCACACGATGATGATCTAATGTCTCGCGCGCAGAGAGAGGACAGGAGGAGGATAGAGCCACCCACGTTCACAGGCAGCCGCGCGGAAGGAGAAAAAAAAGAGGCGCGAACCCAGATCGGGCTTGGCCATAGCTCCTTCCCCAGTTGGAGATATTCCATTTCGTTGGGCCTGAGGTACCAGCCTAAGAAGCAAGAAGGTACATGTACACCTACCTTGCCCTTAAGTGAAGGTACTAACCATGGGGGTCCGGGGGGGGCGCGACCGCGGGACCTAAAGGCCAAACCTGGCAGGACGTACCTACTGGCACCTGCCCTAGGTGCCTTTTCAGCGGTGCCTTCCGCTGTAGGGTTGCCGGCCTCAGTTGTCGCTGCCCACTCGCACCCTGCCACTCTCGCCAGAAAAACAGGCAGGAAGGAGCCAGGAGCCAGGGGTCCTTGGGCTTGCCAATGGGGACTTCTGACTAGGTGTTCTGGTCTGGCTTCCCCTGCTCTCGCCTCTCTTCTCTCTTCGACTCGCTTCACAGGTCCAAACGGCCCGCGTTACCCAGCGGGCATGCTACCTCTGCTTTTCAGCATCAGAGGCCTGGTTCAGACTGAACCCGACCAAACCAACCACATGTCCGCTCTGGTCCATCAAGATCTCGCTGGTGAACCCATGCGCATGCCCCCATTCAAGAGCCGAGTGCAGCTTTGGCACTGGGGCTCACTCCCTGGACTCCGAGGCCAGCCCCCAACATCTCGCAACGTCGGTCAAAGCTCCCGCCGCGGCAGATGGTCTCCATCTCCACAGGTTGCTCGTGGCACAAAAGACATCCTTCACTTGCCATGCGGCGCAGGCAATGGTAAGGGAGTGAGGCGGGGGCAAAAGGGTCAGCGCCCGTCCACGGATCTGGTAATGTCGTCGGACCAGGACAAGGCCGTTTCCGCCTGATGCGGTAGGGACGCATAACGTACGCAATGTCATGGACGACGACAACGACGTCGGCGCCCACACGACACGATGGGCAACAACAAAGAAAAGCATCGTCACGAGTCATTTCCAACCCGATATGGAGGCAGAAACCTTACGTAACCCGGGTTCGCGGACGGCCTATTCCAGCGCATCGGCCTTGGCTAGGTCCTCCATCTTGTCATTTTCAATTTGGTCAAATTTCCCCCTTTGAACTGGTCGGCCGAATCGAGCAGCCCCTCGAGGTCGCATCATCTTGATTTGCATGAACTGGGCACCGCTCTATAGACTTTGTGCAGCAGATCATTGAAGCGCTTTGATGCTTTTCGTCGACATCAAATCTCCAAAACGAGCCCTCACAGGAAATAGTTGATCACAACCCGGCAAACAAGCAAAGCCTCCGAATTCCCCGTCCGAGCCACTCGTCTCTTTGTCTTGTCCTGCATTGCTTTGCATGCATCTTCGTCATATCGTGCAGTGCAACCCTGGCCTTCCCGGATGGATGCCTGCTTTCCTGGTTTACTGTACTGTACTGTACTGTACTGTACCGTACCACCGCATCATAGCCTCCAGCCTAACATGCGTACCTTGAACCCTGCGAATCGGCATCATTCATGCACCCTAGCTGTCGTCTGGCGATCAGGCAGCACGAGTCACCCATGAGCGGGCTTTCGGGCCACGGCGAGGGCAGTCGCAAGTTGGCGGTCAATTTTGTACTCGGTACATGACCTTGAACCCCTCTCTGGGAGGAGAGCAGTAGACGTTGGACCCCTGCAAGGAACGACGGGAGCCTTCTCCTGGAACCCTCATCCAGGCTCCGGACGCCATGCCATCTTAGCCTACCTAGGCACCTAGGGTCAAAGAACGCTGCTCTCGCAGTGGCAGCAGTGGCAGTGACAACGGCCGCGGCCCCTTCGCAGTGCGACGCAGCATTCGCTCTTCATTCAAGCCCCATTCGGAAAGAGAACACTTGTCCTCGGCGGTGCTTCCCTGGCCATGTCGCGATTGATCGCAGGGGAGGCTCTCCATCTCAAGCAAGTCTCACTCAGAACAGCGCGGACCACCCGTTCGACATGGACGGGAACGGGAAACACGGTCGCCTGGGGCCTTCTTCCGAGGTTTCAAAACGGCATCCAAGCCGCCGATTTCAATCTGCCTTCCGTCACCGCATATTGCGTCCCGAGCCACACATCGTGAAGCGAACGCAGGGTACGGCACGCTACAGCGCAGCTCGGCCTGGGTCGCAGCGTGGCAGCTCGGCATACGATGGCAACCTCACTACCGATACCGAGAACGAGTCTAGTCAGTCTTTCCCGCTACAGGTCTCGAGGCGACACAAACGTTGGGGGCAGGCCCGTCTCTTCTCATGGGTAGCGAGCGCATGACGAACAGACTCGTACCCTTTGTGTCGAGATGTGATGAAGATTCAAAGCCTGGAATATGCCGATGGTATGTCCAGCCATGCCCCTCAGCGGACCAGAAAGACAACATCCCCGCACGAACTCTCGGGTGTCGCCTTGGGGTGGTTAGCAGGGGTATCCAGGCCCTGGGAGGCTCATCTCCAACAGTCTGTGCAACTTCATGCGCGCCGTCAGCCAGTCTTGGGGTTGGAATGCCAATCGCCGACCAGCACCACCCGTCGAGGAAACAAACTATGCATTACCCTAGAGGTGCTCGCGCAGGAAAAGCACGCATAACACAGTATGATATAACCTGTCGGCCTCGTCATGACCACACCGGGTGGTTGACGGCGGAGCTCCTCAGGCACTCCTCACTGTCTTTCTTACTCTCACATCACCGTCTCACGCACCGGGACCATGACCCGCTATCGCCGGCAGCTCGGAGGAACCTCCAAGAGAACTGCTCAGTTCCATGCTGGCGCTCGAGACTTACCTGCCCTGCCCTGCCGTCATCACCACCTCCGGATCACCCTCCTCGAAACGACGCCTGGGGCGGTCAGCCAAGCTTGAGGCGATTTCGTCGTGCGAGTCGCCCCGGCGATCGATCTACGGGGTGAGGGGGGCAAGAGGGGAGGGACCGCTGACGTCTGGGGGGAAGGCCTTCCCCCCCCCCCCCCCCCTTAAAACCGTCTGTTCCCGTCTCTCCGAGGATTTGCACTGTCCTCTGCCCATGTTCCTTGGGCCATCCATCTCGCTCCAGGCGACAGATTCGCGAGCCGCCCATTTTCAGCTACGCGGCGACAATCCGAGCTAATTACCAGCCTTTTCCAAGCCACAATCCATGGAAAAAGCTGCAGCCCATTGATGGGGCGTCTCTTCCTTGCTGGTCTAGTCACACTGCTCGTCTGGCAATACCACATCGAGCCTGCCCTGTCTGTCCATGGCGGGGAGGGGCGGCCGGTCCATGCTGTCCAGGGAAAGCCTGGTTACCAGGCCGTGCAGTGCAACCTCGTCAGTATTGCCGCACTCCAACTCACCATGATACCACCCCGTACCTGACGATCATTTCCACTTTGGCCCCTTTCTGCAGCCTCTCCTCATGATGATCAGCTCGCTCGTCTGTTTGCTAGCCGGCGCCCCGCCGATGGATGGCACCCAAGATTCAAGCCAACCGAGGAGCCAGTCGAAGCTTTTTTTGGTGCGAGGTGCGAGGAGCCAGCTTCGCACCAGCAAAATGGCCTGCCTGAGTGTTGGCCTTGAATCGTGCTGAGTCGAGCGACGGGCTGCTTCTGGGTTGGCACGGCACGGCTTTTGAGCGTAGCCAGAGTCTCGGGTCCCGGCTGAAGGCAACGTGGCTTTTAGCCTTATGGTCACGTCTGCCCGGAGACCAGTTGAAAGCCAAGGTGAGGTCACACGGGGACCCGGATGGGATCCCTACGTGCCGGTTTGGCAGGTGAGTTTGTTGCCGGGATGCTTCAGCTCAACGACTTGTCTTCTATTCTTGGAGCATTGTGCGGTGTGCTTTTTGACCCCAAACCTATCGAACTTTGTCAAACCCACCCACCGCCTATCCACTCCAGTCGTCAAAGTCCGGGATGTTTTCTTGACGAAAGACCTCCCCAACGCTGCCGAAACCCACATCCGGCGCGTCAAAGGGCCAAGGCTCGCCAGCGCCGCTGGCAAACAGCGCAAACATGGCACCCTCGAAAACCGAGTAACCCTGGCCGTTGGCCATTTGCCTGGTCTCAAATTGCTTCAACCAAGTGGTTTCACTGCTACCGCGTGCGTACCCGAGGTAATAGACCAAGGGGCTGGCGTCGATGTGCAATACGAGATCTGAAGGGATAGATGTTGTGTTGAGAGCCCATTCGGTCGACTGCTAGCTCGTTAGTCTCAAAATTGCATGACCGGCTTTCCCAACTGGGTGGTGACTTGCCACGGGCCTTGTCGATGGGCCTGCGGACTTTGGCAGCATATCCGTGTAAACACAAAGCCCTGTTGCGTTCCAGCAACCACGAACTCCAATGTCCTGGTGCGACACATCACTCAGATATGCCGAGATACCCACCTGCTGTCGTGGTCCGAGAACGCCCGCAGTAGGCAGCAGTGTCGCCGAAAACGTCATGTTCAAGGACGTTTGCTTGTGGAAGATTGCTGCGGGGACATCCCGGTCGCTGAGGGTGAAGACGTTTGGGTTGAGAACGAGGCCGCCCGTCATCTTTCCAGAAGTGCTGTTGCCCGCGTCGCCGAGGAGACGATAGTTCTCTGCATATGGTGTTCGGACCTGGTACCAGCTGAGGTCGAGCTTTGCGCCCTCAAAGTTGTCGACCCAAGGCTTCCGAACAACGTCCCCCTCGGTGAACTGGCTTGGCACAAGGTACCGCCCGCCGTTCATGGTAGGCCATCCATCGGCCCATGTTACATTGACAAGAAAGGCCTCACGCCCTAGCGGCGAGGCACCTTTGACGTTGCGCCTCGCGAGGAGGGAAGCAAACCACGCACCACCGGGCGTCTCAGTAAAGGTCGCATGTCCCGTGGACTGAATAGTCAATGCCTGGTCTGCTCCGTTGTAGATCAGGGGGTTATTTGGCGCTGCCTCCCACGGCCCCTCTGGACTTTTCGACCTGCCGATGGTCGCCCGGTGTCCGGTACTTGTCCCACCTTCGGCGAGCAGTAAGTAGTACCACCCCTCGCGCTTGAACATTTTGGGGCCTTCTGGCCGCGATTTTGCATCATGCGGCAACGTGCCATTCCATGTGTTGAAGTATGGGCCGGTACACTTGCCGGATCGAAGGTCAACCTCACACTGGGTGATGCCCCATACGCGGTCGTAGTTGTTATTCGGGCCCATGAGGAGCAGGTACGTTTTTCCAGAGTCGGGGTCACGAAACAGCTCCGGGTCAATGCCGTACGGTTCCGCCCAAACGAGGTCCGTCCACGTCTCGAGATCCTCAGAGGACGTCCACCAGATACGCGGCCAGGTGCGGTTATCGGGATCATCGCCCCAGCGCGTCATCGAGGTGATGTAGAAGCGGCCATCGATGTGCGAAAACCCAGGCGCCCAGACACCTGTCGAGACCGAATCCTCAGCATAGAAACTCTCCTCAGGGGAATCGGGGCCTACCGTTGCCGGAAGAGATGCCGTTGAGCTGGAGCTGCTGGGGTTTCTGGAGGGCATGCGAGACGAGCTCCCAGTTGGCGAGGTCTCGGGAGCGATAGATGGGCACGCCGGGAAAGTACGTGAAGGACGAGACGGCGATGTAGTACGTGTCGTCCACCCGGAGGATGGCCGGGTCTGGGTTCCATCTGGCAAGCGGCCTGGTTAATCGGCTGCATTCGACAAGACACTGGGGCTCTTGTCGTCCTACCCTGGGAGTATGGGATTCTTGATGGCCGAGACGATTGTCCCCGCCAGCAGGACGGCTTTTGCAAATATGGGCTTCATCACATTGACGTGGCGCGAATATCACAGACGGTGCAAAAAGGCGCCTTTCACAGGATGAGGTCTCATTTTAAAGCATGTCATGATCCGGAAGGATGGCGCTCGCCCGACATTGTAATTCTCCGGCGACGACAGTTCTGATCGTCTCTCTCCGGTGTTGTGCATGGAAGCGGTCTTCTTTCCCAGACGGGTGATGCGGAGAGGGCGGGCACGGAAAGAATTGGCTGCGGATAAAAAGACGTCTGCCGATCATGGGCGTGGATCAAGAGAATCCTGCCCAGAACAAGTTGCAACCCAATGTCGGTTGCAGGCTCCGATTCATAGGTGGGATCGCATTCAACCGATGAACATGTGCATATAGGAATCCGATCATCGCCCGTGTAGAGTGACATTCCTGTTCGAGTCTGCGGGGGGAGGATCAGGAGGCGATCAACCGAGGCTATATCCAATGCTAACGTGCATGAAGGTGAATGAGCAATTCAACACGGCTGTTCGCCCAGCTTCAGAGGCCCCGTCGCTTTTCTGACATTTCAAACCGTGGATTAAGATACTACAAATGATTTAAGGGTCTCGATATGCTGGAATGGCGGTTGCGCGAGGTTTGCTTCCCCCTGTGGCAACCGCATGACCTTTGTCATAGCTACCAGATGCCTGGCGGCTTGTCATGACTCTCAAAATGAGGTCTCCGGCCGTCCATCAAAATCAACAAGTAGAAGGCCCAGTCGTGTAGATAGGAGAACGATACAGCCGGACGCTAGGATCCTGTGGTTTTCGTCAGACCCTGGTGTTTGGAGGGCCGACCGACAGTGCTCAATCATGACAAGGGGTTGTCACATTATCGAGAATCTGTAGTGCATGCGAGCGGTCCTGATACTTTCGCTGCACACCATGATCATATTCGAAACTTTGAAGCTTCGTAACATGCCGAGAAGAAGTCGAATGCAAGGTCATGCTGGGCAGGCAATTATCGAGTAATTTTGGCCTAGGACACTATTGGCAGTAAACAACTTTCGGCAAGTAACGCATGCCTCCTTGACCTGTAGACGAGGCCAAAAGCTTATCGACGCGACATCATGTTAAGCTTTCTGTTTGATATCAGGTTCCGAGGTGAGATGACCGCTAGAAGAACGGAGCTCGAAGTGACGATTTCAGAAGCACTGTCGATACCTTGGACATTCTCTCAAGGCTTGGCGCAGATGTTTAACATGAGGTGTTGACTGAGGCTGTCTCTTTTGTCAGCTGTATGGGTTTAGTATCTCGTCTCATGCTCCCATCTCTTTGAAGGAAGTGACGATGTCAGTTTCTCAGGTACGGTGCTGGCTGAAGCGCAGATGGTTGGCAAAGGATTACTAAGCAAGCTGCCGACAGGCGCTGTCAGTGGCCTCACCAGTCAACATCCACCAACGGGAGAGACGTCATTGGGCCGCGGCAGCTCCAGGGAGCTCTCGGTCAGTATCGAAGTCATCATCGTCCGCCATCGCGCCACCGACTTGTCCACGCACGCGGAGCGTTCCTTGTGACTTCGAGGCACCCCATTTGCATAAAACTTCATCACGGCCGACACTGTCAAGCTGGCGGGCATTTTCTGGAAGACGGAGCCGGCTCGTACTGCTGGCGTGCGCCCTTCATCACCACAGCTCCATGACACCATGACACAACCACAGCCGCGTCCCCGTTTGACGCCGCAGTTCTGCTTCTCCTCGGGCACACTCCGCGGTACGTCTCCCATTGCCGGCGACTTTCTGGATCGATTTTCTTGTGTCTCTCTACGAGCCCTCGGCACCATGCTGACAGTCGGCCAGACTTTCTCAGGCTGTCGCGCGCCGGCATCGACGACTCGATCGGCCAGAACCTCAACGCCCTCGTGACGCCCTCCCGCGCAGGGTTCGACCCTGCGTCCACGTCACAACGGACACCGAGATCGTTCGCCCGACAGATCGACCCACACGCATGCCAACGGTTCAAGGAGCAGGTCCTCTTCCCGTCGTGGCAGGCGAGGGCTGAGGTGCTACACTACTGCGGCGTCGTTGCGACGTCACCCGATCCCGACGATCCCGAGGCCATGCTCCGACAGGTCGAGGCTGCGAAGAACCAGGAGCGTGTCGTTGACGAGCGCTTGGACCCCTACTCCGGACGCTTCTTCCCGCGGGAGCCCCGGACGGAGAAGCTGGCGCTCCTCATCCGGCAGGAAAAGGGCGTCGAGAACATTGTCCGCACGAGGAGCTGGGAGATGGTCAAGCAGCGGTGCGGGGAGTCTGCCGACACGTGGGAGGAGGCCTTTACTACGTGGAAAACGAGGCTGCCCAGTGAGAGCACAGAGGGCCATCTGCGGTGACGATGTAGGGAGAAGAAACAAGCCGTCTCGCATGTACACCACCGTATCTAGCACGCTGTAAAGATAGATCATCTCAGCCATCATTCGAGCCTGCTCTTTCGTGGACTCCATCACCCGCATGCTGCTCTTTTGCGTGACCAGCCTTGTGTTGTGCCAGTCATCAGCCGCCACCCCGCCCTTGACATGGGCAGCAGCAGCGGCAAACTGGCGCCAAGCGCCCGCCGCAGAGCGGGACCCGCCCACGAGGCCAAGGGCCCAGAGCCAGTTTGTGCCATACCCGAACCCTCGAGTGTGTCAGTCTTTGGTCTGACGACTTGCTTCTGCCAGCATCCAACCCCTTCATACAGCTAGCTGCACCGGTTTGTCGCAAGAAGCAGACCATACCGCCCCACGCCCCAACACAGCATAGCAACAAAGCAGAAGCTACTCAGAGTGTTCCTACAGCTGCCACAGCCTCCGTAGCCTTGCTACTACCTTCTGCCCAGGTGTCCCGTGCCGCCTTGTTGCGCCAGTAAGGTACGCAGACTTTGAGCCCGCGGCCCTCAGTCCTCGCGTGCTCACCAGCTGACGTGCCCCAGGTTGTTTTCTATCCTGCTGCATTGATCCAGACAGACGCAGACGGACGAGCGATCGACCGACCACCTTCACAATGCCTCAGCCGCTGCCGTCAAAGGAGGCGTCCCTCTTCCGGACCCTCGTGCGCAACTACGACGACAAGCAGTACAAGCGTGGAATTAAGAATGCCGACATTATCCTCAAGAAGCACCCCAAGCATGGCGACACGCAGGCCATGAAGGCCCTCATCCTCAACTCCCAGGGCAAGACGGACGAGGCCTTTGCGCTCGGCAAGGTCGCCCTCATGGCCGACATGAAGTCTCACATTTGCTGGCACGTCTACGGCCTGCTGTGGAGGGCCGTCCGCAAGTACGACGAGGCCATCAAGGCGTACAAGCAGGCTCTCGCCATCGACCCCGACTCGGCCCAGATCCTGCGCGACCTCGCCCTGCTGCAGATGCAGACACGCGACTACCCGGGCTACGTCCAGAGCCGCATCACCATGCTGCAGGCCAAGTCCCAGCTGATCCAGAACTGGACCGCGCTGGCCGTGGCCCACCACCTCAACGGCGACCTGCCCGCCGCCGAAAAGGTCATCAACATGTACGAGAGCACCCTCAAGACGACGCCGTCGAGCCGCGACATTGAGCACTCCGAGGTCGTCATGTACAAGAACAGGCTCATCGCCGAGCAGGGCGAGTACGAGCGCGCCCTCGAGCACCTTCAGACGGCCGCCAAGTCGAGCCTCGACAGGCTCGCCGTCATGGAGAAGCGAGCCGAGTACCTCGCGAGGCTCGACAAGAGGGACGACGCCGCCGACGCCTACCGGGCCCTCATCAACCGCAACCCCGACCACACCGAGTACTACGCCAAGCTGGAGGAGGCCCTGGCTCTCGACTCGACCGAGGCGAGGAAGCAGATCTACGACGACTTTGCCGCCAAGCACCCGCGCTCCGACGCGCCCCGCCGCCTGCCGCTCAACTTTCTGACCGGCGACGACTTCAAGACGGCCGCCAAGGCGTACCTGACGTCGGCACTCAACAAGGGCGTGCCGTCGACCTTTGCCAACCTGAAGCACCTCTACTCGGACGCGTCCAAGAAGGAGACGCTCGCCGCCCTCGTGCACGACTACATCAAGTCGGACGCCGACAGGCCCGCCAACGGCGACGCCACCAAGGGCGAGGCCGCCGCCCTGTACTACCTGGCGCAGCACTACAACTACCACCTCAGCCGCGACCTGGCCAAGGCCATGGAGTACGTCGACCTGGCGATCGAGAAGGTCCCCAAGAGCCTCGAATTCCACATGACCAAGGCGAGGATATGGAAGCACAAGGGCAACCTGGAAAAGGCGTCCGAGTGGATGAACCACGCGCGGTCCCTCGACACGCGCGACCGGTACATCTGCACCAAGGCCGCCAAGTACCAGCTGCGGAACAACAAGAACGACGAGGCCATCAAGACCATGGGCCTCTTCACGCGGGCCGAGACGGTCGGCGGCCCCTTTATGGACCTCATCGACATGCAGGCCGTGTGGTACATCACCGAGGACGGCGAGGCGTTTGCTCGCTCGGGCGACGAGGGCAGCGCGCTGAGACGGTTCGAGCTCGTGCAGACCATCTTCGACACGTGGGTCGAGGACCAGTTTGACTTCCACGCCTTTTCCCTGCGCAAGGGGTTCATCCGTGCCTACGTCGACATGCTGAGCTGGGAGGACCGCATCCGCGAGCACCCCTTTTACTCGCGCGCCGCGCTGGACGCCGTCGCCATCTACCTCAAGCGACACGACCGCGCCGCCGCCGCCGCGGCCAACGGGGATGTCAACGGCGCCGATGCCGCGGAGCGTAAAAAGGCCGCCAAGAAGGCCATCAAGGAGAAGCAGAAGCAGGAGCGCGAGGCGGCCGAGCGCGCGGCCAAGAAGGACCCCAACAAGGGCAGCAGCGCCAAGGAGGGCGCGACCAGGGAGCTCGAGGACCCCTCGGGCCTCAAGCTGCTCGACGCCGAGCCCCTGGCTGCCGCCATGAAATACGTCGCCCACCTGTTGCAGTTCAGCCCCAAGAGCATCGACGCGCAGCTGGCCGGCTTTGACGTGTACCTTCGTCGGAGTACGTACCCGTCCCCATCTTTTCTCTTCAGTCTTATCCCCGTCAGGTAACACGCAGCATGATGCTAACAGACCCGCAGAGAAGTACGTGCTCGCGCTGCGCAGTCTCAACGCCGCCCTGTCGCTCGACGCGTCGCACCCCAAGGTGCACGAGCGCCTCGTCGAGTTCAAGCACACGATCGACCCCGTCATCGACTCGCTGTCGCCCAAGGTCAAGGAGGTCATGGCGTCCGAGTTCAAGTCGCCGGCGTCGGACGTGTCGCAGTACAACGACGAGTTCCTCCGCAGCAATAAGTCGAGCCCCGCCCACGTCATCGCGGCCATCAAGTCGCGCAGGGTGCTGGGCGCCGAACCGGCCGCGGTCGAAAAGGACCTCGCGGCGACGGTCGACCTCGAGGGCCTGACGTTTGAGCAGGCCGGCGAGGTGCTCGAGCAGCTGCGGTTCTGGCGGAGCGGCGAGGCCGACAAGTTCCGGGCGGGCGCGCAGAGCCGATGGCCCGAGGTGACGCTGTTCGCTTAGAAAGTCCCGAGGCAGAGGTCGTGTCTTTTGGCTGTCGTCAGAGAGGCGCTCGGCACGGGGTGGGGGGGCTACGGCTGCTGGCGTGCTGCCCACGACGCGGCGCGGCAGGACGGCCGGCTTCGGAAAACAACGTGCGAAACGTATTCATGATGGCATCTCCCGCGCGCGGGCTGCGTGCTCGGCTGCGGAAGCAGCCACGGCGAGTGTGACTTGAGAGGGGGGGCGGGGCTGGGGTATACTGGCATGGACTGGACAAGGAGGAAAAGAAAAAGCGAGGTGACGGTCTAGAGGGTGCTTTAGATGGAACATAGATCAAGAGCACTCGTTCAATTTCATTTGTCTTGCTCATTCGTCTCAATGTGATTCGTTGCTGTCTGCTCGATCCTATTTTGCCTTGCTCGATTTTGTCGAGCGTCGCTTCTGCCGTCACGTCCGCACGTCCGCACTTCCGCACTTCCGCAGCACCCCGCCGCCAGTCATCACGCAAAGCCGTTGGTCACGTCCACAAAAGCCGACCACTGCCTCCAGGCGGCGCCGCTCTTGACGGCCCAGCGCGCGCGCCGGACGCCCTCCTTCCAGCGCTCGCCGCCGGGCCCCCGCTCGGTGATGACGTTTCCGTCGTCGCCGGGCCCCATGCTGCTCGAGTCGGCCTCGCAGATGCCCGAGACGACAAAGAGGGCGGCCGTGTTGAGGAGGACAAACTCCATAATGGGGTCGTCGTCGGCGACCTCGCCGCTGAGGATGCGGCGCAAGATCTCGGCGTTTTCCGCCGGCTCCTTGCCGGGCGACACCTCGTCGAGCTGGTGCGTCGGCAGGCCAAAGTCGGCGGGCTCGACGGTGAAGTGGTCGGTGCGGACGACGCCGTCGGGCCCCTCGCGCAGGCGCCAGATGAGGGTGGGGCCGGCGCACGAGACCTCGTCGAGCTCCTCGTCGCCACAGATGATCATGGCCTTGCGGGAGCCGGCGATGGTAAGGGCCTCGGCAAAGACGGGGCCGAGCTCCTTGCGGGCGACGCCGATGACGCGGGCCTCGAGGGCGTCCTCGACCGGGTTGGCGAGAGGCCCGAGGAGGTTGAAGATGGTGCGCCAGGGGAGCTCCTTGCGGATGGGCGCGACGAAGCGCATGCCCGGGTGAAAGACGGGCGCGAAGAGAAAGGCGTAGTTGGTGGCGGCGTAGACCTTTTCGAGCGTTGCCGGGCTGACGTCTGTGATGACGGGCGCGCGCGGCTGCATGTGGGCGACGAGGTCGGCCGAGCCCGACTTGGACGTCGACGCCTTGTTGCCGTGCTTGCTGACGGCGAGGAGGGCGCTCGCGAGGATGCTCGCCGTCGTCGAAATGTTGAATGTGTTGTAGGCGTCGCCACCCGTGCCGACAATGTCGCAGAGACCGCCGCCGTAGCCACCCTCGGCGAGCCCCTTGGCCTTGACGACGCGGTCGAGTGACGGCAGGTCGACGGTGGCGGCGGCCTGGCGCATGACGTAGGCCGACTTGGCCATGACATCGGCGCGACGGTCGAGGTTGGTAAAGTGCAGCGAGATGAGCAGCGACGCCGCCTGGGCCTGGGACACGCGGGCCGTGAAGAAGTGGGAGATGGCCTCGGCGATCTCGTCGGCCGTCACCTGAGGGCCATTCAGAGGCACAGGCCAGAGCCTCTTGAGCAACGGCTTGATGTCGACAGGCGGGAGAGCCGCCGGGGGGTGGTCCCCGGATTTCGGCAGAGACATGGTCTTTTTGTCTGGTGAGGCAATTGGGGATCGTTGGCGTAACGAGGCAATTGACCTTCCTTGATGGACCTTGATGGATCTAGGATAACAAGTCAACCAGAGGCTCCGAGCTGTGAAACAAAGAGATGGCTCACCTGGGCTCCGAGATGGTCAACAATGAATTGAAGAGTTGAGTCAACCTCTGAGGTCGACCAATCTCGAGCTATCTGCCGACTGCCGTGTCATAGTCGTGGAGAGGGCCCAATTTGGCAACTGCGACCCTCGTTGTGGCCCAAAAGAGCGACGGAGCGGCCCCGCGTCGGCTGTGGCTCAGTCCTTCGCCACAGCTGCAACCTCACTGCCACAGCTGCAGCCTCACTGCCACAGCGGCAGACTCACCGGCCAAAAACATACTGTAGCCTTCTAAGCTGCAGCCTGAGTTTACAGTACTCATCTCCCTTTTTCTTGATGTGGATGAACGTAACTTACGTTCATTCAGCGGTGGCCTCGCCGTAGCCTCTGGTTGTCATGTCGCTGGCCTCACTAGCCAAAATATAATGTGGCCTTGCTGATGCCTGCTGCGAACATACAGGGCACACCTTGCATACATCAACGCCCGTAGTATGATTTCGCTGAATTAAATTACAAAGAAATTGAAGAGGCGCTGCTCTATCTGGGTATCATTCCACTCGTCATCTTCGCTTCACCCCCTACACCCCAATCGCCTCGTACCGCCCCGTCTTTGAATACGTCTTGCCGAGCCCCGGATGGATCTCGGCCTGGAAAGGGGCAAACGGAAACTTCTCGCCGTCAATGCTGATGTAGCCGTCCTTCTGGTCGCGCGGCGTGAACCGGTACGCCGTCACCTTGCGGTAGCTGACATCGGCATTGGCGAAAAAGCCCGTGCTGTCGTCGCCCACGGCCGTCAGTATGCCAATCTGCTTGAGGATGGATATGTCGCTGTCAATCGTGACGAGGTCGAGCAGTCCGTCGTTGGGCAGCGACGCTGGGAAAAAGTTGGACTCGGGCGCCACGAGCGGCATCTGTGACTGTTAGCCTTGACACACAGCCTTGACACACAGCCCACCAGCGAGCAGGGACACGTACGTTGCCGGCATAAAAGTTGCCCATGTTGTCGTACTTGACCGACACCCAGCCGTCCTCGGGCAGCGCGTCGTTGATCGTGCCGTACTTGAGCGGAGGCAGGCCGGCGCCGTCTGCCTTGGTCATCGTCACCGGCGCGGCATTGAGCTTCTCCCGGTAATGCGTTCGAATGGTCTCCTTGCCGTCCAGCTCGATCTTGACGGCAACATCACAGGGATACGCCTTTTTCTTGAAAATCCTCTGCGCCACGCCGACAGTGAATCGGTGGTTGCCCATCCATCGCATGTGCTCCGTGCCGAGGTCGGCCTCGGCGATGATGCCCACGACCTGGCTGAGGAAGCTGAGCTTGCGGTCCTCGCCCGTCGTGATGCTCGTCAGATCTATGACCGTATCCACGCCCTTGATGAGGGCCAGGGCCGCCTCGCCGGCTTGGTACGTCCCAAACGTGCTGCACGACAGGGCGTTGCCCGAGCCGCAGGGGATCTGGCACACGGCAATCTTCTCGAGCGCGTGACGCGAGTCGGCGCGGACACCGAGCCCGTTGATGATCTCGTGGGGGAGCCCATCCCCAGAACACGCAACAATGGTGTCGAACTGGGCAATGTCGAGGTCGCGAGCAATGGCAATGGCCTCGCCGGACCGCACAGTCTTTTGCATGTCAATCGTCATGCGGGCCGCCTTGAACAGAGGCTCGACATCGTGGTGCCACTTGTTGATGGCGCCTCCGGGGCCTGCGTGGGGGTTGACGAGCACCTTGGCCCTCTTCTGGCGCTTGGCCTGGCCGTAGGCTCTGGAGAGCAGTGCCTCGACCAGCCGATCGACAGCTTCGGCGCTGTTGGCCGAGATGTCCACCGTGGCCGTCACAGGGCGGAACTTGTGTTTGGACGTCGGCTGGGCGTGGGTGATGTGGAGGTTGGTGCCATCGCGCTCGGCCCAGAGAACATTGTAGAGAGCAATCGTGGTATCGGGTGAGCCTGCGAAAGCTCGAGGTCAGCAGCTGCAAGGTGACGAGACCCAACGACGGCACCAGAGGGTGACGACGAAGAACGACGACGACGATTGTAGTAATGACGACGGTACGTACCAGCGGTCCCGAGCGAAAGGCCGCAGATGCCACTACCTTCTTCGTATGCCTCCTGAGCAGTGTGCTCCAGGACGACGTGTTTCTGTTGCAGCGTCAAGACGTGGTTGCCGTTGATCGTGATTATCTTTTCGCCGTCTCCATTGGCGTGTCCATTGGTGCCGCCGCCGTGTCCGTTGATGCCATTTGTGTCTGCCGAGCCAGCACTCGACAGTGGCTTAGGGGCGGCCGCGTGTCCGGGAGCTGCCATGGTGTTGATACAGCAAATATGGGATAACGAGAGTGGATAGCCAGTGACGGGGGTATGGTCGACGGAGCAAGCAAAAAAGGGGACTCAGACGCCGGCACGGTAGATGCTGTGCGTTCCCAACAATCCAACAATCGGAAGCAAGAAGAGGGGAAAGGAGAACTCCAGCAGACATTAGACACAGTCAGACGGGAAGTTTCCCAAAATGGCGGGCGCGGTCATTCTGCCGCGCGTGTCACATTCTGGACGACTACAGGTCTGTAGGGCGGTAGCGATGGGATGGGTCCGCGGCCTGTGCGGATTCCCGCGGCGCGCCGTTGCTGCTGTTGGGGGGGCTGCACGGCTCCGCCGGAGATGAGCGTGCGGTGCAGTAGGGGGAACTTTGTCAGCGGCTGTTGGGGGGTGCTCAGCGAGGTACCTCTTACCACTGAGTATGCAGCCACAACAAGCCTCACAGGATCACAGTCATGTCGACACCTGCGACGAGATTCGCCAAGGACGAAGCTCAATCCCATCAGCTTATGCATCCTTTGACTTTGCATATTAAAGTTGATCGAGAAAGAGAAAAAAGCCGCTGCTCAAGGGCAAATAGTCATTGGAGCAGCCAGCCAGGAGCTGCCCAGTCAGGCTCTCGAAATGTGATATCCCAGGTCTACCAAACGCCTCGACGCCGATAATGCAGATACTCTCGCGGACAGCAGTCGCAAAAGACGAGCAGCCCCTCTAATCCCTGAAACCGTCCCACTCATCGTCATCGTCGTCGTCGCCGCCCTCCTCGCCCACAGCCTCGGCACCGGCGGCATCCCCGTCCATCTTGCCCTCGTTCCACGGCAGCCTCTCGTCTTCGAGCTCCGCCCGCGCACTCGTCCGCACAGACTTGATGGGGCAGCTCGTCAGCGGCTCGATGAGCTCTGCCCGCAGCCTGTGCGCAAACGCCAGCTTGGCCTCAGCCTCCTCGCCCTCGCCCTCGAAGAGCCCAACCCGCTCCATCTCGTCGACCCAGATGTCGAGCGCGTGCAGCCGCAGACCGGGAGGCACGCGGCCGACGTCGCCCTCGCTCTCGAAGTGCCACTGCTTCAGCAGCGCGATCGTCTTGTCCTGCCTCTCCGTGGCCCACTGCTTGTCGCCCACCCAGCGCAGCTGTGCCGCGAACATGCGGCGCACGAGCCGCAGGAACTTCTCCATGCGCAGCACGTCAATCTCCGTCCACTGCGGCGCCAGCACCTCGTACGCGGCCGTGAACCAGATGGTGACGTTGTCGTTGCTGTCAGGCTTGCTGGCGTCCGTCGGTTTCGCGCCCGGCAGCGAGGCGTAGAGGTCGGCCATGTCGTTGGCGAGGTTCTGCTGCGGCACCGGCTTGTCGCACATCCACATGGCGAAGAAGAGGCCCTTCCATAGCTTGAGCGCCGTCAGGTGGTCGAGCTTCCGTTGCGCCGTGAGGTAGGTCTGGAGGGACGCCAGGGCTTTCGTGCGGATGCGGCGATCTGGAGGGGCCCGAGTTAGCTCTGGATATACTTTGAGAGACATTGGCTGCTTACCGCTTGACGCCAGGTTCCTTATAAAGGGCATGTCCTGCTCTGAAGTCGCCATCTTGAAGGGCCTGTATGTTGACTTGGTCCCCTCGAAACTTTTTGGTCGGGAGCCGGAGAGAAGAAAGTTTTGGCTGGCTGCAATTGGCATTGGCTTCGAACTGGGATGGCTGCCGACAGAAAAAAAAGTGGTTCACCGATGGATTTGCCCCGCAAGACCCGGTGTGTTCGGTGAGTGCTGCCCCACCTTCCGCCCCTGCTCTAATGCACGAAGAGACCCGAATCACATGTAGCCTCTGGCACGTTATGACTGATGCGTTGTATACGGGTTGAGTGTATGTATGGAGTTCATTCATCCGTTACAATATATGCCGCGGCATCCTACTGCATGCTGCCTCGCCGTCAGATGTAACCCCGGAGAAGTGCGACGTCCTTCTGCAGCGTAAAAAGAAGAGCCAGCAGAGCGACAAGGCCAACAGCCGCGATCCAGCACTTTATCCAAAACATATCCTGCGCTGTGGCCAATGTAGCCTCGCTGTGCAGGCTGTTGGTGGCCGCAATAATGTCGGCTTTCTGAACCACGAGCAGTATGACTTTTGTGATTTGGCTCAGGGTCTCGAGGTCCTTCTCGCGCGCTGCTCTGATTTCTGCCTTCAACATCGAAATTTGCTCTGTCAAAACTTGCTCGGATAGATAGTCAGACTCTGCGACCTAGATTGAACGCCTGCTTAGCACGTTCGGACAGCGGTAGCATGGGGTTATGTACCTCGTCGGTGGCAGACACGATCGAGTCTGTGTCGTAGCGGTGCGAATGATGTTCCATGTCTTCTCTGGTGTGCTGGAAAGGGAAGGTCAGTAGTTGTGCGTGACCCTACGCTTTTCAAAGTTCTTTCTCTTTGGAAGATTCATATAAAGCTCTCGCGGTCCAGGTCCCCGTTCACGGTAGACATTGATCTGTGCCCTTCACCAGGTAGCGGAGTTGACCAGACATAACTTGGACGATAACATGCTAGCCTATCGTCCTCTAATACACACCCTGGGTTGCAATTCGAGTGATGATCGGGAGTTGGCTGACAAAACGAACCTGGAAAGGGTGTACTTACAGAGGTTTTTCGATTCGAGAACACGTCGTCAAAATCCATTGATCCGTGAGTAGGTTGCTATCTTGGTGTGACTGATGCTGCTGATCGTGGTGATGGCGATTCAAGGCGAGCTTTCAGAAGAAATTGGTTATATTGTTCGTGTGATGGAGAAACACAAGAAACGCGCGTCAAAGGCTTAGGTTTTCTATCTGACACGTGTAACTGCCATTGGAAGCGACGCATCAGACGCAGAACAGTGAATAAACTTGTTGCGAAAGCATGGACCTGGCTATACACTTCCAAAGACTCGCTCAACGTCTCGCGTTGAAGGTCTATACATCTCGAACACCCCGGGACTTAGGACAATAGCTGGCCCTGGCGTGACAATTCATCTTCTGGCTCACGATATCATGTCATAAACTCTCGAGAACATATTGGTATTCTAGTTCTTCTTTTATCTAATCCCCAACTTTGACCTTGAATAACAACCCGTTCGCCGAATACAAATCCTGGCACCTTCCAATGGAGACTACGGGTCTTTCCACGCAGCACAGAACATCACCCGAGTCAGCTTGTGTCCCACGACAATAGATGGGAGGTCTTACCTAGGCAATGGCCCGAAAACATCGAGCAAGACACGTGCAAAGCGTCAATGTATTCTGTAAAAAGTCAGCGCGGGACGCGCTGAGTAAGTCACCTCGAATGACACCTCTCCCACCTCCCCACAATCACGTTGCCTGGAGCGTCCGCGTAGCCGACCACAATGTCTCAAACAAGGGCTTGAAGTTATCAGATCCAACCATCACGGTATTATGAAACGAGCTTGAGAGGTCCAACAGCCGTCGAGGGGAAATGCAATGCGTTGTCGCCGAAAGGCCGCATGTGCGCACCAACTCGGTTGCGACCAAGCCCGCGACCAGCAAGCGAGCGAGAACATTGAGCTTTTGCGAGCCGGAAGGGTATGAGGTCGTCCCGCATGTTGCAGCGTTCCTGCTTTATATAACAAGAACATTGGTTTGCCGTCCGTAGTCGACGGCTGCCGTGCCATGCGCGGTGCGATATTCTGGCCCGGACGGCATATTCAGAGGAGAGACAGAGGGTAGACTTGAGCGGGGCGTCGGCGGTTGCGCCCAAGTTCGGGGTAGAACGGGCGTCGAAAGTGACGAGGCAGTGACGGGGAGATGCCGCCGAAGATCTGAGATCCAAGACTCGCAAGGAGAAGTGATGACTTACGGGATATGTTGGTATTGGATGGAGATGTCTGATAGAAGTCTGGGGATGGATAGAGAGAGTCGTAGGTTATTTGGCATCATGACTTGAGATTTGAGGAAGGAGAGGACAGACCTGAAGCTTTGTTATGAATACAAAGGAGAGCCAGACCAGGATCTCTAGGATCCAAGATGCTGAGAGAGACCTGATATAACATCGCAAGGAAGTTCGGATGGTTTAAAGAAAGGATAAATATGAATGGTCTGATGGTAGGTTGTAGAGCTGGAAGTGGACAGTTGTGGTGGAAACAAGGGCAGATGAGTTTCTTGGGAGCTGTTTTGTTCTTTCCAAGTGAGAGAAGTGACCAAGAGGAGGGCCAGGCAACAACGAACACTTGGAGTCTGCCTCAAGATCCAGGTCACTGTCATCGATCTCTACGCGTTGCCTAGCAGCCAGTGAATAACGCTGAAGCGAGTTGGGTGAATTGCTTCCCGGACATGCGGACGAGAAAAATGGGTCTTTCCGTGGTTGTCGTTCACAGACGGACAGAACTGGATGAATTCGACCTGCTTGACAGTCCTTGGCCACACATCAGTACGACGCTGCCTTAGGTCAACCGAGATAAGTCCACACTTGGTGCATTAATCCCAACAGTCAGATCCACCTTCGGTCTCTTAATTTAGCCTCGAGCTCCTCGCAGTGTTGTACACTTTTCTTCATGTGTATAAATGCCATCCATCCCTTTGGGTCCTACATCAACACGGAGACAGTCCAGATCCACAAGCCCACAAGAAATCGAAGTCACCGTGAACTGAGACTGACCATTGACGAATGAGCATGTGAGGTGGAATTGAATTTCTTAGGTCTGTCTTTAGCTAAAGTACAAAGAAAACGGCATTGTGCTGCCTTCAGTTTCTGGTCACCAGTCTAATGCTACCAAACCATGCTGTGCTCCCAGTATCTCTCTCATGCAAATGCTCGTCGAAAGAGCGTCCGATCATCCTACACGCACTGCCAGAATACATAACAATCCCATACATGACACAAACGCCTGCCTTTCATCATTCATATCGTCCTAATCCTCATAAAGTAGCAAACAGAAACATCTCAATCGGCGCCCGAGCCCTCAGACAGCGAAGCGGACCGAGAGTGCAGGCGCAGATCGCATCGACGGATGACTTGTCTAGAAAGTAGTTAGTACCACGACTCATCACGAATGAAGAAAATACTCACATCTGTCCCCGGTCGTTCGGGTCTCGCACAACAACCAGCTGTTTGGCCTTGTCGCCGTCCTTTCTGGAGGTCCGTGTACTACCGCTCCGCCGCGACGGACTCGAGAGCCTACTGCGTAGGCTTGCCACCTCGGCCTTGAGCCCGTCAACCTCCACGTTGGCAGCAGCATGGGCAGCCATGGCGCTCTCAAGTGCAGCGTTGGTTTCTGCGAGCTGCGTCGCCAGCTCTCCGTTTTCCTCACGCAGCGTCGGCAATTGTGCGGCGTCTAGCTCCGCGGTCGCAAGACGCGAGGCGAGGCCGTCCCGCTCGGTTGTCAGGGTCTCGACCTTGCTCGCCTTTTCTTGGAGTGTCGCGTTGCGCGTCTCAAGCTCGGTATTCTGCGTCTGCAGTGTGGCAAGCAAGGCTGCTTGTTCGGGATCGGCAGTGGTTTCGGCGGATGGCGCTTCCTCGACGGCCGCCTCGGGCTCGGCCGCTGGTTCGCCAGCCTCCGATTCAGTAACCTCGATAATGTCGGGGGCAGAGCTGTCGCCTGACGCCGGTGTTGCACTAACCTCGCTCGTCTTGTCGTCAGGCTTCACAGTGGCATCCGAGACTGTGGTGGCGGCATCGTCATCGGCATCCGCTTCTTCTTTGACGGAGACAAGGCTGCCTACTTGGCTGGGAGCCTTGGTGCCAGATTTGCTGCTCTTCTTCGAGACCGCGCTGGATGCCTTGCTTGCCTTTGAGGCGGTGCTGCCGACCTCGCTGGGCGCCTTGCTTGTCGCTTTGGAAGCGACACTCCCAACCTCACTCGGCGCCTGGCTACCCATATCGCTGGCGACCCAGCGTCCGACGCGACTCCCAACGACGCTTCCCAAGACGCTGCCGGCCTCGGACATGGCCTTGAGCGTGATATTCTCTTCCTTGAGGCCGTCGCGCTCGGCCGAGAGCGTCAAGACTTGCGAAGTATGGTCATCTTGATCCTTGAGAAGGCTCGAGACCTGCGTCCGCAGGTTGCCGTTTTCGCCTTTCAGGCGGTCCACTTTTGTTTTGAGCTTCTCGCTCTTGCTGACAATGGTGCTCTTGTCGTCCTCGAGGCCGCCAACTTTGGATTGGAGCTCTCCATTGGTCTTTTCAAGCTCGACGACGTGGGCCTGAATGCTGTCCCGTTCCGTCTCGAGGCCCTTGATCGTTTCCTCGAGTGCCTTGGTCTGCTCTTCGAGCTTACTCTTCTCGCTCTCAAGGACCTCGACACGAGACTCGAGATTTTTCTTCTCTTCGACCCACGCGTCCTTGTCTTTGCTGAGCTGGTCGCGCTCAGTCGTGAACTCGCCGTACTCAAAGTCCTTCCTAGCGATCTCCGCCTCCAGAGCCTGTGCCTTAGCTTGCAGGCTCTCCTTTGAGAGCTCGAGACTAACAATGCGAGCAATGTGTGCCGCGTCCTGTGTTTTGCGAAGATCTTCAACATCTTCGACATCGCTGCGAAGCTTCTCCGAGTCCGTCTTGAAGCGCTCTTCCTGCTGCTTAATCTCGTCCTGCAGCTCATCACACTTTGCTTCGAGGCAGACTTTAAAGTCCTTGTAAAGCGTCAGGTCTTTTTCCAGCTCGGAGACCTTGGCCTCGAGATCTGCCTTGTCTTGCTGCAAGCCCTGGACTTCCTGGAGCCCTTTGGAAGGAGACCTGGAGTGTTTGCTGTGGGTGGTGAGGGAGCTCTGGGCGTCATCCACCATCTGGTACTGGTGTTCGAAACCGCGCACGACAGAAGAGGGAGCAGAGGCCTCGGCAAGCCTGCGCTCCACGTCTTTCTTCTCGGCACTGATGACAGAGATTTTGTCAAGGGCATTTTCCAGATCTCTCGCGGTAGATGACTGGCCATCCTGCAAAGACTTGACCTCATCTCTGAGTTCTTCAACCTGCTTGAGGAGAATTTCTTCGCCCTTGTGACGAGAGGTCGACCTCGATCTGGTTGCAGAGGCTTCTTCGTTGCTCGCGACGGACGATGGAGTGTCCTGAGATGTCTTGGCCGACTCTTTCAAGGCCTCGACTTGCCTGGCTTGGGCACCGCCACCCTTGCGTTTGTTGCGGCCGCCTTTGCCTTTCCCTTTCCCTTTGGCCTGAGGCGCAGGGGCCTGTGTTACGTGAGCCTGAACTGGGGGGGCCTCAATCTTGGCGCGAGCAGGCGTGGGACTGTCTTGAAGGGGACCGGGGGCAACCGAGATGTGATAGGTTCGGCCACGCCCGTCAGGGAGTGTCAGGCCAATCCGTCCAGGTTGCCGGTTCTGCTGTGACCTTTGTCGAAGCCCTACTGTGCCTCGACCGGGTACGGATCGGGCTCGCACAAGCTGGCGGCCGGGAGTGGACTTCGTTGTGGCGTCATCAGACGGAATACTGGTGGCGTCCGTGGAGATGGAGAGGTTGGAGGAGCTCCATCGGAACTCGGGTTCGGATTCAATATGGTTATCGTCTGAGTGGTACGGGCCAGGCGACATGTAAGGTGAGTTGTTGACATTCTGGCTGGGACGCCGGGACCTGAACCGGATGGTAGGAGGTCGAAACTTGAACGGCCGGGCGGTAAAGCGAGCCCGTCTGCGGCGGACAGAGCTGGCGTCAGAGCCAGCGGCCATGGATGGTGTGGCCGAGTTGAATGATAGTTCGGATGGGGTGGTGAGGAGCTCGTTGTCAAGCCGGTTCGGCTGGGACATGCGGCGCTTCAGGTTGGAGCTGCCTATGCTCGCCATGTTGTTGTTGTTTCGAGTCCCTCCTGGGCCTCGTTGACCTCCAAAGGGGTAGGCCATGATGGGTTGGGAGTGATGATAGTTCACTCGTAGTCTTGGGGGACGGCTTGCTGATCAAGTAGGAGCTTAAGGTGAGGCGAGTGGCCAAGGAGGACGTGGTGGTGGGCTAGTGGTTGTCTGGAGTGCTGCATTTGGAGTTGTGAGAAGTGATGATGGTCGATGTTGCATATCGATGATGTTCTGGGCAAAGCGTGGGGAAGCAGAGTGAGGTGATCGACGTGCAGGTCAAAGTCGGAGTACAAATTAAGCTGCAAGAGGAAAAAGAAGTCAAAGTGCCCAACGCCTTGCTTAAAACCGTGTTTGTGGCCTGTCGCGAGCCGAGTAGCCTTCGCCCCGTTTACATGGTTGGAGGAGCCCGACGGGGTCAGGCATCGCGGGCACGCGGCAATCAACATCAAGAGGCCAATCAGTAGGTACCTGCATGGGAGGAGCTGGAAGAAAACAGGGTCGAGGACCACCGGGAGTCTGAGGAATGTGCCCGGTTGGCCTTGCGCTGGCGCTGTTTACAATCAACGAGGGCATCGTGAGCGACACACATTGGCCGAACCAGGCGTCTCGCGTCCGGCCGGGACGCCCACATTCACGTATCTGCTCCCGCCCGGGTCCACAGGCGATGACGGATTGGAGCCATGTGGTGAGACCACTGCCCGGGAGAGAGGACTCGAACACTTGTCGTTGGCCAGACAGGGGATGACGGCTGTGGCTTTTCTCGACATGGCCGTGGTGTGTGTGGGCAAAAGGAGCCGCAACAGACGAATGCTGTTGAGCCCCTCCGTCCAAATAGACACGGCCCCGAACCGCCTGAGTCATCTGGCTCATTTCGAACCAGTATCGAGCCCAGTCATCCGTTTGGGGCAGCCAGTGAAAGTGACACGATAGTTCAAGGACCAGGTTGGGCGTGGGCCTCTGGCGGGTTGGGCTCGAACGTGGTGAGACCCGATTCGTTCATTGTGCATTGTCAGGCATCTTGGCGGCTTTGCCCGATGATTCAGGCCTCACTAGGCATTGTCGACAGAGTCGGGCGCTCGCAACGGGGCTGAGACAAAATGACGAGTTTTGAATGAAGAACTTTTTTTCGCCATCTCAGCATCGAGTTGCCATCGGGTTGCTATTGTCGGTGGCCTGTCGTTGGTGATCGCAGGGAACAGCTGAATGCGGTCGGCACATTATGTGTACTGCTGGCAAACCGTCAAGTTGCACATGGAAAGATTCGAAGCACAGCAGAAGCGCTGGTGAGCAGATGAACGAGACAGCCGACGAGGCTTGCCAATGTCAAAGTGAGGCGTTGCATGCGAGGCGTGTCGCGCGTGGGTCACGGAGACCTAAGAGGGGCGCTCGAGGCCAGTCTATGCTAGCCGAGGGAGGACTGCTGTGTGATTAGCAAATGTATGGTAGAGCCGTGTAGTTTGTAGTATTATTGAACCAGTTTAGTCTTCGCAACTGGATGCGCCAGAAGCTCGAACCATCTGCCCACCCGCCATATGACCAATTCAGGCAGGCTTGGGGCGATAGGCGATAGTTGGTAGCCCTGGACTGTTGTTCCCGGCTCGATCCGGAGGTATGGCTCGATCAACCGAACCGACATGGCACTCGCATCTTTGGGTGCCTTCGGAATGGCGGGAGAAAGCCGGCTGAGCCAGAGATGCCAAAAGGATGATAACAGGTCCAGAAAGATGCTCGCCGCTCGCCGCTCGCCTGGTGCGGGGAAGAGGCCATAATCTCGACCAAGAGCAGCACCCAGGATCGGCTATCGGTGCCTTGCAGGAGGCAATCAATCACAAGACGCTTTTCGAAGCGTCATTGTCGGTCCGCTCATCTGACAGATGAGGTGTGTGTATGCGTGTGTGTGTGTGTGTGGGAGGACGAGGGGGATGGCCATGGCTGGTGATAGATGGGTGCAGATGGAGGAGGACAAGATCGCGCAGCGGTCCATCACAAGCGGTCACCCACTATTGGCCCTACCACTGTAGCCCCGCGCATCCACCCGGGCAAGCGAGTTCCTGGTTGTGCCTGACCCCTGAAAGGTCACAGCCCAGGCCACTTGGCATTGGATCGACCCCTCCCGCTTCCCACATCTCGCTTGTTCTCTCATCAGGTGCTGTTAATCGCCTTCGCCACGGTCAACGACCCTACCGCAGCGGAGGAAACACTGGGACCGCCCTCGACATTACATCGGCCTAACTACTTCTCGTCACGGCCCGCCATGTTGTTCCCCTTGTCCGCGGCCCCTGGTTAGATGGGCCATGGTCCGAGCAAATGTTCATCCCCAGATCCACTCTGACCCGAACATGCCTATCCCATGTCCCAAGCCTTCGTGGCGTCTGCCGAGAGAAGGCAACGGCCTCGCCTCGACGGCCGGGCATTTCAACGGCATTGGCACTGGCCCAGACGGACGCATGAAGCACATCATCGCCGTGACGCCGTCTTGGTCTCCCCATGACGATCCCCGGGAAGCTGGAGAAGGAGGACGAGAAAGCAACCGGATCGTGCGCCCCTTAGACCGGCCTTCGTCGCCGAACCACCCATGCAACGTCGCATTCTCCCGTCCCTCGAGCATAGCCGACATGCGGTTCCTGGCCCGCGAAACCGGCAACACCTGGCCTTGCCACCCGTGCCACCCTGGCCGACGCGGTTCGGGCTCAACTTGACCGCTGCTGACCGCGTCTTTTGCGCGGAGCAAGACCTTCCATCACCCTCTTACAGGCGACAGCACCTGCATGGGTCGCTGCGGACCTAATGGCGGACGGGGAGAGTTACATGCGGGGGACGGAGCGCAGAAAGGAGAGCAAATCTCCTGACAGCACGCATTGACTCGCTCCCTCGAGTATATGTGCCGTCGTGCTCTCCTCTGGCGCAGCTCTCGTTGCTCTCAGTCTGGTTGTCACAGTCGCCGCAGTACTTCTCTACCACAGACCAGCAGCTGTCAGGATCCGCACCATGGCTCCCACTCTTTCGACCCTTGGCCTTGCCACCCTCTTCATGGGCCTGGTGTCGGCCCAGAAGCCCATCAACGGAGAGGACAACCACCCTCCCATCAAGACGTGGAAGTGCTCCCACGCCGACGGCTGCGTCGAGAAGACCAACTACATTGTCCTCGACTCGCTCATCCACCCCGTCTACCAGGCGGCCAATGGCGAGAACTGCGGATCGTGGGGCAATGCTCCCCCCAAGAGTGCCTGCCCCAACAAGGAGGAGTGCGCCGAGAACTGCGTCATGGAGGCCATCAAGGACTACGAGCCCTACGGTGTCAAGACGTCCGGGTCCTCCCTGACGCTGCACCAGCTGTTCGAGGGCCGTCAAGTCTCTCCCCGCGTCTACTTCCTCGACGAGACCAAGCAGGAGTACGAGATGCTGCAGCTGACGGGCAACGAGTTCACCTTTGATGTCGATGTCTCCCGTCTCCCCTGCGGCATGAACAGCGCTCTGTACCTCAGCGAGATGCTGGCCGACGGCGGCAAGAGCGAGCTCAACAAGGGTGGCGCCAACTTTGGCACCGGTTACTGCGATGCGCAGTGCTTCACAACGCCCTTCATCAACGGAGAGGTTTGTCACCGATCGACCCTAACGTATACGGCCATGCATGAATAGAACTGACGTGTCTCAGGGCAACATTGGAGGTTATGGATCGTGCTGTGGCGAGCTCGTAAGTTCTCTCGACAGCTTCAGCTCACCTTTTCTTTTCGATGCATACTGACTGGTCAGGACATCTGGGAGGCCAACTCGCGCGCCGTCCACGTCGCTCCCCACCCGTGCAACATTACGCAGCTCTACGAGTGCACGGGCGATGAGTGTGCCTTTGAGGGCGTCTGCGACAAGAACGGCTGCGCGTGGAACCCGTATCGCGTCGAGCAGGACGATTACTACGGCCGCGGCGCGGAGGAGTTCAAGGTCGACACGACCAAGCCCTTCACCGTCATCACGCAGTTCCCCGCCGACGCCGATGGCAAGCTCACCGAGATCCACCGTGCTTACATTCAGGACGGCCGCCTCATTCGCAGCGAGGTGGTCAACAACCCGGACCTGCCGCAGGTCAACTACCTCAACGACGAATTCTGCGAGGCCACGGGCTCGCGCCGCTTCATGGAGCTCGGCGCGCACGAGGGCATGGGCGACGCCATGTCGCGCGGCATGGTCCTGGCCATCAGCCTTTGGTGGGACGCCGGCGGTAACATGCAGTGGCTCGACGGCAGCGCTCAGAACGCCGGTCCTTGCAACCTCACCGAGGGCAACCCGCAGAACGTGGTCAAGGTCGAGGCGGACCCTGTCGTCACCTTCAGCGAGATCAAGTGGGGCGAGATTGGCACCACCTTCAAGGCCGGCTGCCAGCCAAAGCGCAAGTAAATAGGCTGTAGACTAGCGTGAATATACAATATATTTCCGTGTCAGATTGCTTGGACGTTCCGTGGGAGCCACTTGGGATGAGAGGCAGATCGAAATTTCCCGTGAACCTTGGAGGTTGCACGCAATCTTAGGTCTTTTGCCGCTTGTTCCCCCGAGATGCCAATGATGTGACTGGGGAGCAGTCGAAACAAGCTTCCCCCGTCTGTCGATTGTCAAAGCGAGACCGAAGGACCCGAAGGGACTGAGACAGGACCCGCTGAGTCAGCTCCCGCGTCGCGTCTCCTGAGGGTTCGTCGCGTAAAGTGGTCCCTGGACCTGCCCCTCTCCAGCCTCCATGCCAAACCGGCAGCCGCCTGACCGTGGCAAGAACCATGCCTAGCCTCGACTGCACAGATACCCGATATCGAGATCGGTAGCAGTGTCATTTCTTATTTACAGATCAGTCAACATGGAGGGTATCACGAGACGACACTTCTTCCATCACGCCGACACGGAGAAGCAGACTCCGGTAAGGTCTCCTTCCGTGACCCCGACACCACCACTACTGACAGCGACGCGCGCAGGGCATCACCAAGGAAAAGGCCGACTGCCACTGGTGCCAGATTCGAGCATTTCCCACGCACGCAACACATCCGATCACCATCATCAACGACATTGACGACGCGACGCTGCCGTCCAACTTTCGGTTCCTCCAGTCGTCGGTGCTTGGCGAGGGTGTCCAGGCCGCAGAGGATAGCTTCCGCTCGGGTTGCGACTGCACCGATGATCAAGACTGCCAATATGGAGGGTGCCTTTGTCTGCAGGAGCAGGACGACGCCGACGGCAACGACAACGACGACGAGGACGAGGACGACGACGAGGTAGCCGCCGGCAGCGGCCAACGGGAACAGGGCCGGAAGAAAATCTACCGGTACCACACGCACGGCGCCAAGGCGGGCCTGCTGCGCAGCGAGTTCCTCCACGAAGGCGGCGGGTCGACGCAGCCGCTGTACGAGTGCCACGAGGGGTGCGGGTGCACGGCGCGGTGCCCGAACCGGGTGGTCTCGCGCGGGCGGCGGGTGGCGCTGCAGATCTTCCGGACGGCGCACACGGGCTGGGGCGTGCGGTCGCTCGTGGACATTCGGCAGGGCCAGTTTGTGGACCGGTACGTGGGCGAGGTGATCACGCCGGGCGAGGCGCAGCGGCGGCGCGACGCGTCGGCGGTGGCGCGGCACAAGGACGTGTACCTGTTTGCGCTCGACAAGTTCACGGACGAGCGGTCGCCGGACGCGCGGCTGCGGGGCCCGCCGCTCGAGATTGACGGCGAGTTCATGTCGGGGCCGACGCGGTTCGTGAACCACTCGTGCGCGCCCAACCTGCGCATCTTTGCGCGCGTCGGCGACCACGCCGACAAGCACATTCACGACATTGCCATGTTTGCGCTGCGCGACATTCCGCGCGGCGAGGAGCTGACGTTTGACTACGTCAGCGGCATGGTGCACGAGGGCGACGAGAAGGATGAGCAGAAGCGGGACCACATGACGCGGTGTCTTTGCGGCAGCGACAAGTGCCGTGGCTTCCTGTGGTGACGAGGCACCGGATGGGAGGGGCGCAGCGATCCGGGCATCCGGGCATCCGGCGACCGTTGGGGGGCGAGGGAGGGGATCAGGTTCATGGGACTTGTGGTGCCAGCGGGTCCCGTGCAGGTGACGGAAATCCGGGGTATCCGGCTTGCTGGGACTGCCTAGCCAGCTTCAGGGACATAGTGGAGGAGAAGAAGAAAGTCTGGAGATGGCTCGTAGGCGAGGGGTTCCACAGAAAAATGTGTGGAACAGCTGGTGAGCTGATACGGCTCTGGAAAGATGGCTCTCAAAAAAGGGAGGACACATGGTTGAGGTCCAGACAGTCAGCAGTCGGGGGAAACATGCCTTCAGGAGATAGCTCATGGCGAACAACAGATCGACAGCCTCTCCCTTCCGCTGTCAGCGATCTCTGTGTAGCGTGCGCCGTAGCGGGGGAGCTTGAGGTGCCGGCCCGAGGATTTGCGGGGTCTCTTCCGTCTGCCCTAGGCACCTAGGCACCACCTAGGTACCTTAGGTAGGTAGGCAGGTAGGAACCAGGGTCCACGAACACCCCACGTGCCGCCGGCGAGGTGGGAGGGCCTGGATTGCAGTGCAGCCAGCGCCTGCCCAGCACCTAAGCGGCCTAACTTGGCCTGAAGCGGCCACGAACAGAGGGTCCAGGCCTCGACGCCTGCAGGACGAACTGGGCAGAGGCAGCTAACGCCAACGTCGACGCCCAGATGCCTCCCGCAAGGCAAGTACAATGTGGAGTCGCCATTTCCACGTCGAAGCTTGATCGGTCACCTCGTTTTGACTTTGGCTCCATCCAATCCAGCTGATCTCCTTTCGTCCTGTCTTTTTTGTTGGCAACACCATCTCCTCGGTTGTCCGACACCCTCGCACCCTCGCACACACACACACACACACACAAACCTCTGGTCGGCTTCTCGACGGGCACACGACATTCCACCATCGCCTCCATCGGCAGCCGCCTCCACATAGGCACCGCAGCCGCCTCCACACAGGCACCATCACGACATTGAATCGCGATATCGGCACAGCCTTGGCACTCTCAGCTCTCAGCCCCCAGCTCTCAGCAAACCGTTGAGCCGCCCACACACCAGGCAATGGCTATGCTGAGCCAACAACCCCTCTCATCTCAGTACTCATAGTCTTCTGCTCGACCTCGCCTCGGCCTCAATCACCATGGTACGTGCTTCTCGTGCTTGCTGTCTTGCTCACCCTGTCCCTCGTGGCCCATGTCTCGGGAAACTGCCTCGTCGTGCCGGCCGACTTCTCCCCACCCGTCTTTTTTCTCTGTCTCCGGTGGCGAAGCGTCCATGCTGAACATTCCAGGGCTGTTGCTTCTCCCGCCCCGACGGGCCCAACTCACCCTATCCGGGCGGTGACGACAACAATGCGGCGTCCGCTCACCCCATCAACCAGGCGCCGACGACATCCCAACACGCAGCCCCCTACGAGACCCCCGCCACAGCCACCGTCAACGCCAGCATCTCCCGCACAACCTCGCCCTCGCACCAGACCCTGCCCGTCCAGTCCCGCCGTCGCTCTCGCCGCGAGAACGCCCCGCTCGACGAGCACATCAACAAGCCCCTGCGCCGCCATGCCTGGACCTCAACCTCCCGCACCTGGACGCGCGCCGCCCTCGCCCGCGAGCGCACCGACTTTTTCGACACCCGCGTCACCGGCCGCGCCGAGGTCTGGGAGACGCTGCACGCCGCCCTCCGCGTCCTCTGGGATCCCGCCGCCCAGGGCGCCGCCGACGACGGCACCAACGGCCTCGCCACGGCCCAGGGCTTCCTCACCGCCGCAGAGGTCACCCTGCCGACGGGCAACCTCGCCAACGGCGTCTATGACGCCCTCGGCAACTACTACCCGCTGCCCGAGTGGGTCGTTGCCGATCCCGACAACGTGGCCGAGGACGAGACGGACGCCGATGCCGACAAGGCCCGCAGCAGCACGGGCCGCGACAAGGAGGACCTGACGGGCGGCGAAGACACCGAGGACGCAGACGACGAGGCCGCCCGCCGCCGCGAGGAGAAGGGCAAGGCCGTCGACGACGCGCAGAACCGCGTCACGGTCCTCGCGCGCATCAGCGACACGTCGCGCGATATCTCCGTTTCCGTGAGCGAGGCCGACACGATGCGGACCGTGGCGCGCAAGATTCATCAGCAGTCAGGGGTAGGTTCTCCTCTATTCCACACTCGCCCCCTCTCTCGCATCCTACTGACAGATCTCCCACTCCAGCTCCCTAATACCAAGACGATCCGCATCGCGTACATGGGCAAGCTCGCCAAGGAGAGCACGCCCTTTGCCGACCTCGGCTGGACACGAGGGCACGTCGTCAACGCCTTTGTTTTCGAGCGCCATGCGAGCTGAGCGACGCGCGTGGCGAGCACCCTAATTATGCACCCATTCCCGGCGTCGAGGCGGGCGATCTAATCTGCCTGCAAGCGAGCGAGCGAGCGAGAGATGGAGGGAGAGAGAGAGAATTTTTGTATACCGAGCACAATGTCCCTGCTCAGATTTTGTCCAAGCCTCGAGTTTTGTTCAGACTGTTTCTTGTCTTTCATTTTTGATACCACTGCCGCATAGGCGCCCCTCCGTTGGAGAGAGGGGGGCAATGGAGTCTCTTGGCATGGAGCGCATACCTGTCTTTGATTTAGGGCCTAGTGTCTAGTTGCCTATTTAATGAATGTGCCGATCGGGCAGATAGATGGAGCAGCGAGGCTACTGCGGACTCTGCTTTGATGTGACCTGCACGGGAGAAAACGTCAAGTGTCATGATGCACAGCACCCCAGTCATCGGAATCATCTCAATTCTACCTATCGCTGACGCCATACCCGACAGCACTTTTACTCTAACCCCGTAGCAAGCGCGCTCCCCCCAGCGGCGGCCGTCCCCTCGGCGGGGGAACACGGCATTATCCCCCGCGGAACGCGTCCGCCGCGCCACGTCACGCCCGGCAGCTTCTAGGCCGCCGCGACGCCAATCTTGTTGATGCCCTTCAGCGAGCCGAGGCTCAGCGCCAGGCCCTGCGAGCGGCTCCGTATTCTCACGAAGCCCGTGATGGGGCCCTGCTCGCCGTCCTGCTCGATGCTCAGGTTGGCCAGCGCGTCCTCGCCTGCAGTGGTTAGCATGATCAGATCCCAAGCAGGATTGCGGGAAAGGTCCTTACCGAACACGCTCCGGGCGTACAGGTTCGCGCTCAGGAACTGGCAGTCGCCCTTGAGACTGGCCTCGGGCGTCAGGCAGTTCATGTTGGTCGCGGCCATGAGCTGCTCGAGGAAGTCGCGCAGCGTCTTCGCCTTGGAGTTGATGTTGACCTTGTTCTCCCACTCAAACTCGGTCCACATGGTGCGGAACTGCGTCTCCGTGCACGACGCCGGCTGGATGTAGTCCATAATGTCGACGTGCACGTCGTTGAGGATGACCACGTTGGTATCCGTCGAGTGCGCGCCGTCGTAGACAACGTTGCCGAAAATGACGCCCGTGTCCGTCGACGACACCTTGATCGTGCACTGCACGTTGTGGAAGCCGTGCGGGCCCAGGTTCTGCGTCGTTGGCCTCTCGACCACCTTGAGGTCGCCCAGCGTCGCAAACTCGACCGACAGGTTCTGCAGCGTCTCCGACGTCTGGTTGACGAGCAGCACGTCGAGAACAATGTCAAACTGGTGCACCGTGACGTACGTCTCGGCGTATACGGGATCAGAGAAACCGGTGAGCTGGACTACCCTGCTGAGCTTGGACGACAGGTCCTCAGCGGCCGACTCGCCGCCCGTGGCCCGCTCGAGGTCGACATCAATCTCGTCCACGCCGCTGCCCGCGTTCTTCTTCGACAGTTGCCGGATCTGAACCACATCATCGACCTGGATGGCCGTCTTGGCCTTCTCGACGGCCTCCTTTGCCGCGCGCTTCTTCTCTTCCGCCTGCACCATGGCGCGGAAGGCCTTTCGTGTGTCGTCCAGGTACACCGTCTCAATTTGCTTGTGCTGGGTGAACTCGGACAGTGACCGCACACCGGACATGATACGGTCGACAGAGTCCTCGTCAATGGGGGCCTTGACAAACTGAGACTGGCCCACGCGAATGATGGAGATCATGATGAGCATGGCCTCACCCCTGAGGGCGTTGGTGCGGGCGGTATCCTTGGAGATCTGTGCGTGCCTCATGACGAGCTTGGTCAGGGTGGCTGAAAGAACGGTGGCGAGGTAGTAGTCGCCATCGAGAATGAGCTGTCTCAGCGGTGGCTTCTGAGCGGCCTTGACGGCCTCGAGCTTGGCTGCCGCCGACGACTGGCTTGTGAGGGCAGTCTCGGTCGCGTAGGTTCCATCCGCCAACACCTTGCGCGAGCCAGAGGGCGCCGCGGGCTTCGAGTGTCCGTTGACCTGCTCCTCCTCCTTCTTCTCGTCATCATTATCATCCAGCAGTCGTTGTTCCGAGGCAAGGATGGGGATCTCGCCGAGACTCGCGCGTATCCTCTTCCAAGCATCCCGAACGTCACCCTCGTCGAGGGAGTATTCACCAATGATCCACATGATGCCCCGGTAAACCTTTCCAGCGCGAACCTCGCCCAGCGTGGCGACGAGCCTGGCAACGATGGGCTTGCGAAGCTTGGGAAACTTTTCCACGACCTCCTTGACAAAGTTGATAACATCGACTGCAGACGCGTTGTTAAAGTCGGCAACAAAGTCCATCAGCAGCTCGACGACGCTGGCCGCCACCTCGGAGAACTTGATGGCGCACTGGTGGATGGAGTGGATCAGGAGCTGGCGGTATTCCGTGTTCTTCTCATACTCTTGGTCGACCGTCTTCGACAGCTCCTTCTTCAGCAACAAGACAACTTCCTCGACGTTCTTGCTCGACACCATGTCGAGAACCAGGTTGAGCGCTTTCCTCCTGACGTCGATGTCGGGGCTGGACAGCACACGCAGAATTTCCATGACCGAGTCGTCGAGAACGCCGGGACTCTTCCTGCGCAGCTGATCGACGCGATCGAGAACGATGAGCTTCACATTGTTGTCGGCCTCCTTGATACTGAGCTCGATGAACTTGGCGGCGGCGGCCTTGACGGCGACAGGGTTGTTCGTGAGGGCGGTCAGGGACGAGGCGGCCTCGTACACGACAGTAGACGTGTTGGCCTCGAGCAGGTCAAAAATGAGACGCAGATACCGCGGCTTGTTCTGGGAGTTCTGCACAGCATCCTTGCGGATGAACTCGAGCTCCACCAGCTGAAGGAGCTCCTCTGCGTTCGGGATGCCGTCAAAGACCTGGCTGAGGTAGACGAGAGCCCTCTCGTGGTCGATGGAGGACAGTGCGGCAAACGCATTCCTCTTGCATGTGGGGTCGGTCTCGGCTTCGAGGAAGGTGCTGATGAGTTCGGGCGCGTCAGGGATGAGGGAAGAAGAGTGCTGGAAGATGGAGGCAACGGCAAAGACGGCATTCTTGCGAACGTAGGCGTGGCGGTGCTCGAGACATTGCCTTGCGGAGGACAGGAGGGGCTCGATGAGCTCGGGCTCGCGGAGCTTGCAGAGGAATCGCAGGGTGTTGCCGCGAATGTATTCGTTGGGATGTTGAAGATCGTTCCTGATGCCGTTGCTGCAGTCCACCATGGTCAGTACAGTTTCGCTTTGAGGAAATACATCGGCAAACGCACCAGACCAGGATCATCTCCTGCTTGAGCTTGCCAGTGGAGTCCAACTTGGGGCAGATCTCGTAGTAAAAGTAGAGCATCTTCTTCAGGGCCTTGTGCTTCGAGGGCATGACGAATCGGATAATGTGCATCAGGAGCTGGGGCATCGAATCGCCGTTGAGCATAATGGTGAGGATGCGCTTCATCGTCTCGACCTTGCTCTCGTCGGTCCCCTTTTCCAGCTGCGTCTTGAGATCGGCCAGGGTCGGCACGTCGGCCGTGTTGTCCTGGTGGACCAAGCTATAGGCATGATCGAGAAATGAAGCCATGATGTGCGGTGGGTTGCGGGCAGATGCCAGCGCGCAGTGGGTGGCGGGGAGAGGAGGGGGTTGTGTGTTTCTTCGTTGGACGTGTTCAAAGGGGGAGGTTCAGGCGATACCTGGTCCAAGTGGGATGCGGCCAGCTGGGCGGTGGGGAGCCTGGGGGTGGGTGTGTCCAATGCAGTTCGAAATTGTTAGGGGAGCTTTCCGCCGGCCGAGCTACGATGGCTGTGGGCTTCGAATATGACCATCCGTCGCGAATGCGCACTTCCAAGAAGCTCCCTTTCGAGGTTGATGGTGATCGAGGCGGGTTAGAAGCGAATGCGACTTTCACCAGTTGGGCTGTCGGAGCTTCGTGGACATCTGGCCTACCTCCTGGCCTCGCCGAACACCTGTCACTAAGCGAATTGAATGCACGTGATCTGCATTCTGTAGAGTCCCTGGATTCGGAGCGGATTAAAGGGAGTGCCTGGTGCGCGTCCATGGTGGGGTCCTGTTGGCCCCGCCACACCACAGCAACCCACTCTCCAGTTGTGCTGGGTCCAGGCGAGCCTTGTTCACTCGAGAGCTCCCCCACGCCAGCCTTGCAGATTCCATCCTCGACGACCGACAAACAAGGCCATTGCCGAGCGACACAATGGCGGACACGAGCGATACCTTTTACATGAGATACTAGTACGACTGTCTCCGGAGTTTGAAGGTCGTCAAGACTAACAATGCATAGCTCCGGCCACTCTGGACGCTTTGGTCATGAGTTTCTCGGTTCGCCTACATCGATGCTCTTTGGCTGTAGACAAAGCTGACCCGGTGTACGTGCAGAGTTCGACTTTCGCGTAGTCGGCGACGGCCGTAGTGCGATCGCGCGGTACGCCAACAACTCGAACTACCGAAACGACAGCTTGATCCGCAAAGAGAGTACGATAACAGCTTCTACGAAACCTAGGGAGGGGGACTGATATATGGTGTACAGTGTGTGTCAGCTCGCTTGTTATCGAAGAGATCAGGCGCATCATCAAGTCAAGCGAGATCATGAAGTATGTTGTGATGGACTGAGGAGACAAATCGAATCGGCCAAAGCGAGCTGTGGCTGACCCCTCACAGGGAAGACGACTCAAAGTGGCCGCAGAAGAACAAGGACGGGCGCCAGGAGCTCGAGATTCGTCTTGGAAATGATCACATTTCGTTCGAGGTACGGCCCATTGACTCGAAGGCGATTGGCAGTTGGACTGACAGGCTTGTACAGACGGCCAAGATTGGCTCCCTCGTGGATGTGACCGAATCGGCGGACCCCGAAGGCCTGCGTGTCTTCTACTATCTGGTGCAGGACCTCAAGGCGTTGGTATTCAGCCTAATCGCCCTTCACTTCAAGATTAAGCCGATCTAGACGGGGTGCAGTGCGACGGACAAAAGAAGGGCGACGCGGAAACAAAAATGATACCCCAGACGAAGAGCTGGATCCGAGTATTAGGCATCAGGAGCGGTGAGCGGTGAGCAGCCGACCTCCAGGCACTCCAAAGACACCTCTGACGAGATATCTTGCGTGACTCTCTATCAAGACAGGGGGAGACGCAGTATGAATGAACGAAACCTTTACATTTGATGGAAGCACGGGAGCTACAGCACAGTTGATGTCGATGATCGCGACGCCAAGTTGTGAGAGCATTTCATGCGTGCGTCAAGGCGGGCAAACCCTTGGTACCTACCTAGGGCCCTGTTGTGGCAGTGGCTTGATGTTTGCGTTGCTGTGAAACTCTTGTCAGGGCCAGAAACGGCAGGCCTCGTGGTTCCTGGGAGCTGTGGCTCCCCTTCCCCAGTGCGCCGTTGTCACACGGGGTAGGCGTCATATGTTGTGAGACCTCGCCGCGACCAAAGCCCACGAGGCGCGTGTTTTGCACCTGAACATCTCCAGTCGCATTTCCTGAAGCTTTCTTTTCGTCATGTCCCGTCAAGACGCGGTCCCACATACTGCACGCAAGCCAGTCCACCTTGAACGACACCCCGGATCGCCATGGAAGGAAGCACAGCAGCCCAGGACCCTGCGCCAAACCGGCGGCCGCCCGCCAGCAAAGGGACAAGGTGAGGTACCTAAGGTGTGGTGGGTAGTGGGCCGCCAGGCCAGAACGTGCAGAATGGCGACGTGGGGGTCCAATCAGCTTCAGCTTCTCAGGGCAGGCCTTTAGCCCAACCAAGGCCAGAAGGCCGTTCCCCCGTAGTGCCCCGTAGGGGGCGTCATCGGCTTGTCGCCGCCAGTTCAAGTACGTTACCGACCAGGGAAAGCGAGGCACTCACTCCTCTCCCCCCAGGCTGTCCCATCCAGCGTGCCCATGTCCAACTGAGCCCATTCCAATTCGATCGCACCCCATCTGCTGGGCTGAACTCAACTCTGTTCTGTCTTACCCTGCATCTGTCCTACCTTGGCCTCAGATCGCGTTGCGACTCGCCCAATTTACATTACCCGTGTCTTGCCGAATTCACCTCGCAGAGGGCAACATAGACAGACACTTCCAGGCTGGTCATCTCGACGTCTGGTCTCTCTGCCTTCAGCTCTCGCCAGGCCATCGATCGACTGGACGACCCTTGGCCAGATCTTCCTCCATGTCGCCCTCCACCACCTGAACGGTCCATCCTGCTCCAACTGCGCAGCCAATGCAGTTGCGTATCCCCGACCGCCACATCTTGCTTGGCAAGCTGTGATCCTCTCTCTCCCTCTTTTGGCCATTCTGTAAGAGACTGGACAACCACCCATACGACCGACGAGTCCCCATTCTGTAAATCGACATTGAGTCACTCTGCGATTTTCGAGTCTTTGACCATATACACACATACGAGTCCTGCCGATTTATCCCTCGACGACGTGCGCCAACAACACCTGCGATACCACATCCTTCACCGCAACCACAGCGATCCGTTTCGCCGAGGATCGCTTCTCCGACACACAACCCCTCTACCATGCCTACTCCCTCTCCAAACCCTCCACCTGGCCCTCACTCGCCGCGTTCGTACCACACCTGCCCAGAGGACACAGGCACGCGATCATCGTCACGCAGTCCGCACATACCAGCCGAAGCCGGCGAAGGAAGCCTGCACGCCGCAGGGGGGGGCTCTGAGGAAACCCCTGTCGTCCCTGTCATTGAGGTCTCCTCGCAGACGAGCCACATCACAGAGAGCATGATTGAAGACGAACCCACGTCGGCGATATCCTCAAGGGCAACCACCATGTCGCCAGCACCCGAGTCGACAGTCACATCTCGGACGACACCAGGCCCAGGGACCGACTTTGATGTGGTCAAGCAGATGGAGCTTGACGAAGACGAACACCAGACGACCGTAGAGGGCCTGCGACTACACGACGGAGAAAGCGGTGCCAGCGGGACGGGACGATCATCCCATCCTGCATCCAACGTGCAAGACGCGGGCCCTGGCAAGGGAAGCGATTTTGTGCATGTGATGATGGGGGACGAGGAGGAGCTAATGGCGCCCTCCATGGGATCAGATTACCCCAGCTTGAGGGTTCGTGGTATTCTTCTTGACGCACGGCTTGCAGCTGACTGACGATGTAGACAATCCCCACCTCCCCATCGTCCTTTTTGCGACCGGGAAGCAAATTCCACGGCACGCAGCAGTCGGAGAGACAAGTCTATGATGTGCAGGTGGAAATCAAGCACGTCGACCTGAAGGAGTCTTTTCTCTGTGGTTATCTCCGGATCCAAGGTCAGCACGTCTGTCGAGTCCGGGTTGACCACTACTGACGCAAGAATCACAGGCCTCACTGAAGATCATCCGACTCTGACGACATACTTTGAAGGCGAGATCATCGGCACCAAATACAACTTTTTCACAAACCACGATACCTGGGGTGCCACCAACAAAATCGACCTCAACCACTGGGGCAAGTTTGCGGCGTTCCGCCCCTTTCAGAAACAGGCTCGAAAGGGACCGGTGAGCGTCCGTGATGTGGCGCAGTGTGAGAACATTTTCATGCGGTGGAAAGAACATTTCCTGGTCCCCGATCACCGAGTGCGCACCATCAGTGGCGCCAGCTTTGAGGGCTTCTACTATATCTGCTTCAACCAAGTCAAGGGTGAAGTGAGCGGGATATACTTTCACTCCAAGAGTGAGAAGTAAGCATTCGCAGCGCATCGTCTGAGTAACGAGCAAATGCTAACAGAAAACCTAGGTTCCAACAGCTGGAGCTCAAGCATGTCGAAGACAAGGGATGCTTCGGCGCGATGGAGTTCAGGTAGCGGCGGGGCGTACCGGTCTTTATTATCAAGGGCACGGCAGCTTCGGGGCAGACGGCAGATGAGCATGATTTGGATGATATCAGCGGAAACGGAACGAGACAATGATGAGCCGGTCCATTTCGAGGCTGCGGCCGTACGACGGGGTATATTTGCTGTATATCTTTTTTCTTCATGCCTCTTCCTTTTTGAACCCTTTGAAGTACCTCTCTCGGAACGGGTTCAGTTCATCAGCCGTCACGCCCTCATGTTTCGCACGTTTGTGCAATGAGAGCTTTTCCTGGTCGACCTGGCTGTCAGGCATGCGCCGATATGTGATGAGGCGTCGAGACCCTGCGGGTGTCAGTGAGTGGAACTAAACAGGGGTGGAGATGGGGTCACCCAACATACACCGGTTGAACGGCTGCACGCAGACAGACACAATCTCGAGACATGGGTGCGTCGGCACGTTAAGCTCTTGATCCTCGTCGTTGGCCGTGGGCATCCAGAACGTCAGGCGGCCCTCATCCACGAGCATTTGGGTGGCAAACTCGAGAATATCGTCCAGCATGGCCAGGAAGCTGTACGGCTTTTTCGGCGCAATGTAGCTGGGTGAGCTTGTGACGATCAGCAAACGGTTACGCAGAAGAAATCGACAAAGAGAAAAGAAAAGGGCAACTGACTTCCAGTACTTTTCACCCGCGACAATGACGTTGGGCGTCTTCTCCGGGTCCCGACACCCAAGCATCTTGAGGCCCTCCCGCACGCCATAGGGCGGGTCGCACACGATGCCGTCCATCCACCGCCGCCTGACGAGCGGCGTATTCGTCAGGTCTGCCGTGAAGAACTCGCCCACAAGCTGCTCGAGCCCGTACTGCGCAAAGTTGCCCTTGAGGCTCTTCTGCCCGCCCTGGCCCCTGAAGCTCCGCCCGTCAATGTCGCTGCCGAAGGCGAGCGCGCCAAAGTGGGCCGCCGCGACGGGGAAGCTCCCCGTGCCGACAAAGGGGTCGTAGAAGATCTTGCCGGGGGCGGCGAGCGCCATGTTGGCCGTCACGAGGGCGAGCTCCGAGTCCATGGACGTCGTGCTGATGTAGCCGCGCTTCTTGAGGTCGTAGGTGCGGCACAGCTCGCGCGAGCCGCCGCCGAGCCAGCGGCCGAGGAAGAGACGCCGTGGGTTCGGCTCCGGGCGGACGCCGGCGGGACGGAACGGCCAGTCTTCGAAAATGGTGAACGTCTCGTCCGGGGCGCGCATGTCGATGCGGCCCTGAAAGGCGAGGTAGGAGAACGAGTTGATGAGCTGGACGCGCTCGTCCATCGTGCGCGTGTGCTGGAAGGCGTCGACGATGAACTTGAAGGAGCAGGTCGCGTAGGAGGACCAGAGGGGCTCGGTGCGGGCGCGCACGTCGGCGTGGATGTCCTCGTAGAGGCCCGATGGGGCATAGCCCCAGAGCTCGTGGATGGACTGTATGAGGATGGCGCGGCGGATGAGGGCGCGGGCTGCGTCTGCCGAGGGAACGGTGATGATGCAAAAGGGGTGCTGGTGTTAGTCAGTATACACTTTTCTTCGTGATATGTGTAGGCGAGCAGAGGGGGAAAACTGGGCGCACATCATCGGAGTATTCCAAAATTTTGAGATCAATGCCTTCGACAACAGCCAGAGCCTTGAGCTCGGCTAGCCGGAAAGATTCGTGGAACTGGCTGAAGCGGACAAGATAATCCATTTTGAGAGCAAGGTGAGGGGTCTGTTGAGAATCCTGTGTGGATATTTCGCAGTTATGCGCCCGTCCAAAGTCTGGGATCGTCCACACGTGGTCTCGACCCGAAGGTTTCGTAAACAACTCTCGCGAGCCTCGACTATTCAATGATGTGCCGTCTCTGGTGGAATTACTTAAAAGTGAAGAAAAGTCTAGACCGTGAGTGAGTTCGTGAGGAGACCATGACCCTTCTGCTGATTCAGTTCTGTGGCAGACATTTGCGCGACCAATCAGCGGGGGAAAATCTTCGTTGTGGAACCTCCCTCTAACGTACTGCTCGTCTAACTGAACGACCACTTGGGACCAACCAGACGACATTCAGAGAAAGACGGTCACTGACCGCGTCGCAGAAATGCTGTCCTTTGCAGAACCGAGTCTATACCAGTCGCCGCGATGTTCCGTCACGTACGGTACAATGGCCCATCTTGAGCCTAAGCAGCTGCCGATGAAGGGGAAGCCATGGAACTCCATCATGGCCCAAGGCTTCAATCACCAGGTTGGTTTTCCTACATCATAGTTTTCACAAAGTCTGACCCGTCAAGGTCGATCTTGTTGTGCCAGAGGAGTGCTACGAGCTTGTCAAACGAAACTTGGTCGAGCAACGTGATGCTCCCGTCTACCAACGCGTCACCATGACTCTGGGGCAGATCCTTGACGGCGCCTTCTTTCTCGAATACATGAAGAAGGGTAACTATGGGTTTAGAGATCGAAACATGTCACAGGCTTACCAGCAACAGGAAACGTTCTCATGCTGTCCGAGGGACGGACCACGGACGACAACATGTTTTCGTTGCGAGACGGTGAGTGACTACATGCCCTGATCTACTCCAAGCTAACCGTGCAGGCCTCCTCACCATGTATATGGACAAGGAAACCTACGAACGAGCTGGCCTCGTCGGAAAGCCGTACGGCGTCAAGGGCAAGAGGGGCTTGAAACCGAGATGGAGTAAGTCACTGGCGCCAGATCTACGTTCGGACGTGTTGACAAAAAGTCAGTTGTGAGCTACCAATTACGCGATGAGTCGATGTTTCACGGCAAGAAAGGGTTCGATCGCTTGCTATATGCCTGCAGAAATGTCTTGAAGCAGCCAGTTACCTGGCTGTTTGCCAATCTTGGCTCCAGTGCGTCTCGTCCGAAGACTGACCGTCAGCCGCTAATGTTCCACAGCACCCTCGCCCGACCCCATGGAGCAGCTCGCGCCAATCAAGTTCACCTCGCGTCCGGGCCTCGTGAATGGCGCTCATGTTGTGGCGCCGGAACTTAACGTGCCTTCTGAGGTTCTTTCCGAGGGTGATCGGCCTGGTCTCGAGGACTTTGCCAGCGAGACGTACGAGTGGCTTTCTCTGGTGCGCCTCGAGAGCCCTCGTGTTGCTGTAGGTGACGATATCAACTCGTATCTGTCGCGATACCAGGTCCCCAACGACTCGGGAACGGCGACGAGAGCCAGAGTCTGCAAGATTACCTGGAAGGGTCTCCTGGCAGCCGACTGGGTGCGCCAGCTCCTCATCGATGTTCTCGCGACGGTGCCCTCGCGGGCTTGGATCTCCTTCAGTGCCACGTCCTTTTCCAAGGGCATCGTCAATGAGAGCGCCGAAATCTCCTTTCTTCGACCATCCGATGCCGCGGGACACTATCTCATGTGGGAGATCCAAGGTCAAGAGGCTTGAGAGCACTAATCCTGTCGTTGGCGAACGCTCCTCTCATCGGCGAGGCCCTCGCCGAGCACCGCTTCCTCGACCAGTCGCCTCAGCTCCGCCTGGCCCTCTGGCGTATGGAAATCCTCTCGTCCCGCGAGCTCCTCGATGCGGCGCTTGAACTCGGGATCCACCTCTTCTGGCACGTCAGCCGTCTGATCCATGCTGCCCACAGATACGGCGAGTCCCTCCGGGACGGGGGGCATCTCTGCCGTTTCGATGGAGCCGTTCGTCGCAGCCGCCGCCGACGATGATGCCGACCTTTCTGTCTCTACTCCAGCGAGGTATTCCGCCACTTCAGGAAAGTCGGCCTCGACCTCAATCTTTTCTCTCGGTGTCACGCCATCGTCGCCTCGAATGTGAATATCGGCACCAAGCTCCTCGACAAGACACTTGGCGGCATCGACCGTCTCGACGACGAACAACGCAGTCTCGCCGTCCTCGTCCTTCAGGTTGACGTCCACATTGAACTCCTGGATGAGGGCACGCAGGAGGTCGAGGTGGTTGTAGCTTGCCGCGGCGTGGACGAGGGAGTACCCATGCTCATCTTGGCCCGAAGCAAGATTGGGGTTTTCGCGGAGGAGGGGTAGCAGCGACGGGCTGTTGTCGGCAGCGAGCAGGTAGGGGTTCTGCGCCATGTCGGGCTTGTAGTCTAACGCCTTCGAAATTGAGAGAGTTTGGCCTCAATTGATGCGTTGGAAAAGTCGTGAAATGATAGGCTCTTTAGTATCAATCGTGGCGCACTCTCCCAGTCGACGACCTTTCCGATGGCATTGCCTTGGAGGGGAATTTTTCTGCCATGGAGGGGTCCTCAAGCTCGGTGTGACGCATATCCCCGCAAAACACGCTGACATCGCTCTCACCGCCTGCCGCATGCGCTGCTCGGCGGCGGGCTGAGGTCTGTGCTCGTAGGCCTCAACCCCTGGAACTACAGGGCAAGAGACACCAACGGGACTGAGGCCATATCCCCAAGGCTCCCAAGGTTCCCAAGGCTCCCAAGGCAACCAACAGTCTCAGGACGCAGTTTCCGGCGTGACTGGTTTGCTGGGCAAGAGCAGCACCCTCCAGGAGTAAGGAAAATCTCATCGAAACACCCGAAAAGCTTCATTCCAGGATCGTCTTGCAAGGCTTCAGCCATCCGACGACCGTGACTCATTCTCCGCCGTACCTTCTATTCTTGAGCCCCTCATTAGGTATATGAGAACCGTCCTGCACATTCGGCCTGTTTGTCTGGATGATAGAACAGCCAAGCTACTATTTCAACAATTCACGAGAATCACACTCGGCACAACACTTTCACCCCGTCACAGGAGACTATTCATATCGCCTGGGAGTATCTCAACTTACCTCACAGCCATGGCGACCACCGGCGGAGCCCAGAGTGCTCCCACCAGGGCGCCTTATATCCCCCAAGACGTGCAGTCTGTCGCGCACATGCTCAATGGCCTCGACGAGGCACGAAAGAACAAGAGGAAGGGCCAGGCCATGTGCAAGCGGTCCACCTTTGCAGTCAAGGGGTCGTCCATCACCGTCGACTCGTGGAAGATGCAGGAGCAGGATTACAAGAAGCGAGATCTTCCCACATATGCCCGCGGCCTGTTCACCACGAGAAACGCACGAAATGAGCCCGAGATTGCCGTGAGAGGTTACGACAAGTTCTTCAATGTTGGCGAGGTCCACGAGACCAAGTGGGACAACATCCTGCAGAGGACACAGGGCCCTTACGAGCTGACGCTAAAGGAGAATGGCTGCATCATTTTCGTTTCCGGCCTCGAGGACGGCACCCTCCTCGTGTGCAGCAAGCATTCGACTGGAGAGAGAGAGGATGCCGATCTCAGCCACGCCGTCGCTGGAGAACGATCCTTGGAAAAGCAGCTTGCTCGGCTGGGCAAGTCCAAGCAGGATCTGGCTAGGGAATTGAGAGCTCGCAATGCCACCGCCGTGGCTGAGCTGTGTGATGACTCGTTCGAGGAGCACATCTTGGCCTACGGCCCAGAAAAGGCCGGTCTTTACCTTCACGGAATCAACCTGAACCTCCCCGAATTTGCCACGTATCCCAGCACCCACGTTCAGAGCTTTGCCGATGACTGGGGCTTCCAAAAGGTTGGCCTCATCGTCATGGACGATGTCAACCAGGTCAAGGCTTTCCTAGAAGAATCCGCAGATACGGGAGCTCACGACGGACGCGATGTCGAGGGCTTTGTGATTCGCTGTCGAGAGTCTCATGATCCTGGCGTCCAGCCATATCGGGATTGGTTCTTCAAGTTCAAGTTTGAGGAGCCGTACCTCATGTATCGACAGTGGCGCGAATGCACCAAGGCCATGATCTCAGGCAAGCCACCCAAGTTCAGGAAGCATGTCCAGATCACCGAGGAATACCTCCTCTACGCACGCAAACGACTCGCCACCGACAAGAACCTGGGTCAGCTGTACCAGGCGAACCATGGCATCATCGCCCTACGCAACGACTTCCTCGCTTTCAAGAATATGAAGGGCTCTGACGCCGCTAACCTCGAGCTCATCGCTCCTTCCACAGCCGATATCAACACCGAGGTGACGCGAGACGTCATCTTGGTCCCCATCGCGACGATTGGATGTGGCAAGACGACAATCGCTGTTGCGCTGACGCATCTGTTCGGCTGGGGCCACATTCAAAACGATAACATTACCGGTAAGGGACGGCCTCCTCGCTTCACCAAGGCGGTGCTCGATCTCCTCCAGGAGCGCCCCGTTGTCATCGCGGACCGAAACAATGCGCAAAAGCACGAGCGCAAGCAGATCCTCACCGATGTCAAGATTCAACACAAGGACGCGCGCCTTGTCGCTCTGTACTTCAAGCATGATGCGTCCAACATTGATGAAGTGCGCAGGGTCACGCAGGAGCGAGTGTTGGCGCGTGGAGACAACCACCAGACGATCCACGCTGCTAGCGATCAGAACAAATTCCTCGGCGTCATGGAAGGCTTTGTCGATCGATTCGAACCCCTTGTCCCGTTCTCCCGCCCAGATGATGGGTTCGACGCGGTGGTCAACCTCGACCCCACGGCCGAGAGCCGCCAGAACCTTGAGACGGCGGTCAACGAGCTCCACCGCCTCTACCCGAACCTCTTTGAGCTTCCGTCCGCTGAGAGGCTGGATGAGGCCATGAAGGCTGCCTTTGATGATTACCAGCCTGGCCTGAAGCACACGATCCCCGATCGTGGCGCCCGACAAAACAAGCCCGGACAACAGGCACAGCAGCCCAAGAAGGCCAAGAAGAAGCCCCTCGAGTACATGTCTGTCGCTGTCCCCGGGAGCCAGGTCAGGTCTATCCTGGATAAGGCCTTTGACAATGTCGCCATCGAGACGTCCAGATTTTACAAACAGCTCAGCCAGACGCGACGCATCCAGCCAAAGTTTCACGTCACGCTGATGCACCGCGCGTCTTCCAAAGAGCATCCCGAACTGTGGGAACACTACAGCAAGGTTGTAGCTGACGCTGAAGCTGCCAACATCGCCACTGCCGGGGCCACGGGCGCCAGCGCTGCGCCGACCCTGGGCTCCTGCGGCGTTGAGCTAGAGAGGGTGAGTTGCACTCTTCCGCTAGCATCACAACGACAGCTAACATATTTAGGTCGTCTTCAACGATCGTGTCATGGCCATCGTCGTAAGGCTCAACGGCCAGGACCAAGCGTGGCAGTGCGTCAACCCCATCGCCCACATCACCGTCGGCACGCGGGAGGACAGCATCAAACCCAAGGAGAGCAACGAATTGCTCGCGCGCTGGCTCAACGAGGGCGTGGGAGAGGCAACGGGCATTCGAGAGGTGGTCTTTGATAACAAGGAGACTCTTGAGGGGGCCGTTCAGGGTGTTATGTCGAGGTAGCGTTTGTCATGAAAAGGAGCAGCATGAGAGAGATGAGTTCGAGTTGTGGAGGAAAAATCAAAGAAGCGAACGACGAGCAAGAAACCGAGGAGCACGTTCAGAAAATCCCCTCTTGCAGATCAGATGGGCCTGTATTGGGCCTTCCAGTTGATGGAAAGTAGAAGTCTTCGTCAGGGTGACTCAATGGAAATACCGAGCCACCACCATGAAACTTCCATGACTACTAACATCTTGTGCCAGTAAAAGACCATCAAGTTGTCTCCTTCCAAGAAACACGACGATTTAATTGTTCCCAGCAGCAATGTGCAGGGGGACTACACCGAGGCTTACCGAGCCAAGTCAACGCTATTGGCCAATCTTGGGGTTGGGCACAGACCACATGAAATTTGTCCACCTTCGACGAGAGCTTCGCCTTTGCGCGAGACCTGACCCTTTTGAAGCTCTTTTTCCCCGAAGCAGAGCAACCTCATCCACAACACTTGAGCAGCGCTACACTTCTGGTGGTGCCGTCTCTCAAGCCTCCAGACATGTCTTCCAGAATACCACGCCACGCGAGCAGGGCCCTGCGCCAGGTTGCCCGTGCGTCACGAGCACCCATCACGGCCTCCCGAACCTTCTCGACGTCGTCTTCACAATACGCCACTGCGGCCGTGGCTTCGTCAATCAGCATTCCCACATCATATGTGTCCCCGACGAAACCTCCCTCGGCTCGCCCCTCGGAGACACGCAAGTCTCAGCTCATCCGAACCTACACCTCTCTCCTCCGCACGGCGCCCCTCGTCCTCTTCCTCCAGCACAACAACCTGACGGCTCAGGAGTGGGCAAGCATCCGCCGCGAGCTGCGAGCCGCGCTTGCCGCAGTCCCAGCGCCGGCCGGGCAGACGGTCGATATCGTGCCCGACGTGACGCTCAACGTGCTGCGCACACGCATGTTCTCCGTCGCCCTTAAGATTGTCTCCTTCTTCGACGCCAAGGCCGCCTCGACAAAGACGCCCCTCGTCCACGACCTGTCCGAGGCAGCCTACAACAGCATCAAGGAGATTGAGGTTCCCGAGAGCTCAGCGTTCGCCGAGGTTGCGCCGCTCCTCGTCGGCCCGACCGCCGCCCTTGTCTTCCCCGCCGTGTCGCCGGCGCACCTTGCCGCGGCGCTCAAGGTCCTCGCACCGGGACCGGCCGGCAGCGCCACAGCGCCACCGGCACGCAAGAAGAACCCCGGCTACTACGAGCCGCTGTGCCAGAACGGCCTCGCGAAGCTGCTGCTCGTCGGCGGCCGCGTCGAGGGCAGCGTCTTTGACGTTGACGGCGTGCGGTGGGTTGGCGGTATCCAGGGTGGCATGGAAGGTCTGCGCGCGCAGCTCATTGGCATGCTGCAGTCTGCTGGTCTGGGCCTGACGAGCGCGCTCGAGGCTGGCGGCAAGAGTGTGTGGCTGGCGCTGGAGGGCCGCAAGGTGCAGCTCGAGGAGGAGCAGGGCGACAAGAAGGGGGAGAGCAGCTGATCAGTGGCGGCTGCACAATGTATTACTGTACTATAGAAGGCTTGCGGGAGCTGTACGAACAAATGTACAATGCTCGTAGGGGCATTTGATAGATGGATATGCCAGATCACTGTACCTTACGCCGTTCTGTTCCTGCACTGACTGCGAGGTGCACTATCATGACCAGTACTAGTCTCAGTCCAACCCGAAGGTATCCATCTCGGAGTCACCAATCAACCTTTATCGAATGGAGAGCTCGGCATCATCTCGTACTTGTGGTTCAACGTGACTCCAAATAGTGCCTTTCCACTGATGGATGCGTGGGACCCACTTCCCCAGGTACCATGCACGCCTGAACAGGCACTGGCGTTCGCGGCCTGCGCCCCTGTGACAACAGCGACAGCACGCGGCCCGACATCCGGACCCTGAACCACCAGCATCCAGCATCGCAACGCTGACGTATCACTTTGATCAGCCACTCTGCAACCACCAAGCTTCAGGCAATAGACAGCTCCAAGCTCTCTTCCAGACAAGACGCACAACCGAATTGCTAGGCATACTTGCTATCATCACCGCGGAATGCCGTCAACGCCGTGATCTGCTTCGACACAACATCACGAGAGCTCCCACGATGGACTTCGCACCCTACCAGTCCTCCCCGCCCGAACGCGAGCGCGCCCTGTCGCCTCAACCGACCTCCCCCCGCGCATCGGCGGATTTCCGTCGCCCATTCTCTCCTCCTTCTGCTGCCCCCGGTGGTTTTCAATACCAATACCAGCAAGACCAGTACAGCCAGCCGTCGCCGCCGCCGCTCCAGCACCCACAGCCGCAGCGCAGCTGGCAACCCAGCCTGCCAGGCGCATACCCGGTGGCAGATGCGCATCGCGAGGGCGTGAGCGAATTCGATACAAGTCTGGGTATAAGGCTCGACTACGAGGCCAGTGCGGCATACCTTGCGCTGCCGCCGCTGGGCGCCATCCTGCTGCTGATCGGGGAGCGGAATAGCGACTATGTGAGGTATGTGGCAGTCTCGGGAGGTGCTCAGGTGAAGGCTTCCCTTGCTAACGACCACAGGTTTCACGCGTGGCAGGCAAGTCTCTTGTTCACGGCGATACTAGTCATTCACCTCATCTTCTCCTTCTCGAGATTTCTAAGCTGGCTCTTCTTCCTGGGCGATCTCTTCGCCATGGTATGGCTCGCCATGCGAGCGTATCAGGACGCCGACACGCTGGACCGGTTTGAGTTGCCCATCATTGGCCGCATAGCGAGCAACATTCTGGACGACGAGTAGGGTTGGACGCCAGCAGCGAGGGCCGGGCTGGACTGGGTGTGATGGTGTCGTGTTAATGGGGCGTGTATGGCATTCTTTCTGGCGCTAAGCATCCTTATACCTCGTCGCAGGCGTGTTGTACTGGCGTGTACTGTATTAATTGCGTAGTGTACATCGTCATCAGCGGATCCTGGGCTCTCGTCTCGTCCCTGGACTTCTTGCATTCATGTCCGTTATCAGCTCCATCTCATCGCCTCTCCGGATGTACCGTGTCATTTACAGTGCAATTCTACCGACGCACAGTCTTGGATCATCTTTCCTCCACAAGGCTTCAAAGGGGAAGCCCGTGCACGGGCCAGGGCAGGCCTGCCAGATGATTACGCGACGTTGCTTGCCTTGCGCTTGCAGCTCAAGGCTCGATACAGCTCCGAAGCTTTCCACGACCACTCGCTGCTTCAATCACCAACAAACCACAACACCACCACATCTCCCTCCGCCATCCCCATCACGCCTGCCGTTGACGCCAGCACGCCCTCTCGACCTGCTTCGTCTCGCGCATCTTGAACCAGCCTTGCCTAATCTGGATCACACGCCCCAACCCGCCACATCACCATCATGTCGTCCCTCGAAGACCTCGGCGACGTCAACAGGCGGGATCAGGACGACAAGAAGAAGGACGACGGCAACAAGGATAAGGACCGCCAGGCCACTGTCGCTGATGCCAATGACGATGCCGACATGGAGGATGCCGAGCACGAGGAGGACGTTCTCGACGACGAGATTCTGGGCCTCAGCACCCAGGACATCCAGACCCGCAAACGCCTGTTGGAGAACGACTCTAGGATTATGCGCAGTGAGGTGCAGCACTTGACGCACGAGAAGGCGACCATGGGCGAGAAGATTAAGGAGAACAACGACAAGATTGCCAACAACAGGTAGGAACCTCTAGTGCAGTGTCTGTTTTGCCGCCGCCGTCCCTTGCTGATCAACGGCTCCCAGGCAATTACCGTATCTCGTCGGCAACGTTGTCGAGCTCCTGGATCTCGACCCCACAGCAGAGTCCTCCGAAGAGGGCGCCAACATTGACCTCGACGCCACGCGCGTCGGCAAGTCCGCCGTAATCAAGACGTCCACACGACAGACCATCTTCCTGCCGCTGATCGGCCTTGTCGATCCCGCAACCCTGAAGCCTGGCGACCTTATTGGTGTCAACAAGGACTCGTACCTCATTCTCGACACACTCCCTGCCGAGTACGACAGCCGTGTCAAGGCCATGGAGGTTGACGAGAAGCCGACGGAGAAGTACACCGATGTTGGTGGTCTGGACAAGCAGATTGAGGAGCTCGTCGAGGCCATTGTGTGGCCGATGAAGGAGGCTGACCGTTTCAAGAAGATTGGCATCAAGGCCCCCAAGGGTACGTCATGACGAAGAGAGGAGACACACGAAACTTTAACTGACAGACATAGGTGCTCTGATGTACGGACCTCCCGGAACCGGCAAGACGCTGCTCGCGCGAGCTTGCGCCGCTCAGACGGACGCCACGTTCCTCAAGCTAGCCGGCCCCCAGCTGGTGCAGATGTTCATTGGTGACGGTGCGAAGCTGGTGCGCGACTGCTTTGCTCTGGCCAAGGAGAAGGCGCCTGCGATTATCTTCATCGACGAGTTGGACGCCGTCGGCACGAAGCGATTCGACAGCGAGAAGAGTGGTGATCGTGAGGTGCAGCGAACCATGTTGGAGCTCCTCAACCAGCTGGACGGTTTCGCGTCGGACGACCGCATCAAGGTGCTCGCAGCGACGAACCGTGTGGACGTGCTCGACCCCGCGCTGCTACGTTCTGGCCGTCTCGATCGCAAGATTGAATTCCCGCTGCCAAACGAGGAGGCCCGCGCTCAGATTCTCAAGATCCACTCACGCAAGATGAGGGTGGACCCTGCCGTCAACTGGGACGAGCTGGCGCGCAGCACTGACGAGTTTGGTGGTGCCATGCTCAAGGCGGTGTGCGTTGAGGCGGGTATGATTGCGCTGCGAGGTGGCAAAGAAAAGATTGGCCACGAGCACTACGTCGATGCCATTGCGGAGGTTCAAGCGAAGAAGAAGGATGTACGTACTGTACTCACAGTGGCCACGCTGGGATCTATGCTAACCTTGGACAGACTGTCAACTTTTACGCTTAGAGAAAGGAACGAGGATTACGAGCATCGCGATCCTACGTTGCGCGAGGAGGACGAGGACTACCATGCACCTGGCCCTGTCAAGCGCGGCGCACGGTTTCTGGGCCCGGGAAGAGGATGGATCATAGAGGTTCCTGCTGCCATAGACCTTTGTACGATTACCACGGGCAGACGCGCTGCTCGTTCTGGCGGGCGGGGGAAGAATCGAGGAGCACGGTGCTCAGAAGCGTTGTTGAAATTACCAGTGCATCACTATCCACATGACCGTTTGGGGAAAAGAGCTCGCCAGCAGCACACGATGGCCTTGTGGCAGGATGTCCCGTGGCAGAAGGTCTGCTTAGATGGCCGTTTTGCTTCTTCCAGAACCCAGAGTGTGAGCACGGCCCGGGATGCAACCTTGTTGCGTAGGCCCAACCACGGGCGATGGGCCTGCTCATTGAACGGCTGGGCGCCTACCAAAACATCTCGCATCGTGGCCCTCCCCTGGCTTCGCATCTTCACTCGACAGCCAGAAAGTCTAGCCTAACCCTTTCGTAGACGATCGTTACTGCTGTCGGAGAATGTGGCGCACCGACACCGCACCGCTCGTGGTCGCACCAAGCTCTCGGCGTAAATGTGATGTTACATCGCTGGTGTGTGCGTGGCGAGTATTTATTTCCTTTGGGCAGAACGGGCACATGGGGCTCACCATGTGTTGTCAGGTGGCGGTTCGTAGGCATGGCAAGGTCGAGACCATGACGTTGATATCGCCCGTCCGGGACGTACTGCCGTACCGCCTGAGTCGGGTTTCTGGAGCAGTACGGTTCGATCGTCACGGAATACAGTGGAAGTCGCGTGGAGCTGGCTGTGAATAACTATGCAGAATGGCCCTCTATTGCACGGCGGCAAATCGGGTAAACACTCTATTTCATTGACTCGACTTGCTTGATTCTATTGTTAGGAAAATTCCCGACAACCGAAGCTGAAATGACGGGCAGATGATTCTCACAGACAAATTGAAATTTCACCAATGCTGATGATCTTCCCCATGGTCGTCCTCCTCAGCCACAGCCCATCAACAGGAGAGCAGCGCCACAATCACACTGCGTCCACTGACGACGGTCAAGAGGCCGACGATCTCATGGCCCATGGATGCCAAGGCGGTTGGGGTGTGGCTACCCGGCAAATATGATGCAGGGGGGGCATAATCCCAAAGCAGGTTCTCTTTCGGACTGTCAACCTCTGGTTTGGGGTATGTTGCAGTCATGACGGTTTGGAGGCAGCCAGGGGTACCTGAAAGTGCGGCTCTCTGAGAGTGCAGACGCAGGGACACTAGATGTTCATTCTATCATTGACTCTTGTCATCCCTCAGAAATTGAAAAAAATCGGAAGAGATTCTCCCTCTTGGCGTACAATCGCAAATATGTCCTGAAGCAGCTGCTGGGCAGCCATCAGCGTGAACAGACACCCGTCACCTCGCAGTAGGCTATTCCTGACGTGACAGCTGCTCGGATTCGTCTGTCTCACTGCCACATGTTTCCCACGATATGGCTCAACGCCGGGCCTTTCGAGGGTGCGATTCCTCGATTTGGATGCCGATCTTCACCGGGAAAGTGGTTCTTTAGATGTACGGTCCGCCGCCACCTCTGGACGGCGGTGTGGCTAATGATAACGGTGACAGCACAGCGTTGTATCAAGCATATCCACCTTCGTCACCCAATTTTACCTGTTTTATGCTGTGCGACTTTCCTCAAGCATCATCGAGGCCACCACCAAGAAACACTGCCGGAGAACTTTCAGCTCGAGGTGTCCGTCTGCCACTCCGTATTCAGGAACGATCATCAGCAGCTCGATGGTTCTGGCCAATGCGACCCTGCGGCAGGGGTGCCTGCACTGGTTGGCTTCCCCGGGTTCAGGGGAATGAGACGCTTGTGCTTTTCATCCTACCGTTTTCCTTCAACCAGGAACGGCGCCCCCTTGCCCCTCTCTCCTATCGGGAATACCGCGTGCTAAGACGCCCTAAGAGATGGGGGCAGACGTAATGCCGAGCGGCTCAATGTTGCCATCTCAAGTTTGATGGATTGGCCAATGGAATCTCTGCTTGGATAGTATGCTTCCTCTTCCTGCAGCCCCCTTTTCTTCACTATTGTGCTCGTCACCAACTCCGTTTGACCGGTATTCCTAGGGTCGTAGCAAGTTGCGGGCCAAGGACGCGATATTAATTTGACTTCAGAAAAGCCACAAGTGGCAAAGAGGCCGCCAAGTGCCCGTACCATGTAACCCGAACCATCGTAAGCCTCGTAAGAGAGGCAGTCTTTGCCGTGTCATGACTCTCGGCGGACCAGGCAAGGCAGGCATGTTGCTGAGTGTTTTCAGGGGTTGAGGAGATCGTCGGACTACGTCGTCATGTCCTTGGGCAGAGGGTATAACTGGGTCTCTTAAGAGTTCGGTCTATCGCGATGTTACCCTGGGCCCTGTTGAGATGTTGCGACTGGTGTTGAGAAAACTGCTTAGGACTACTCACTGGCTAGGCATGCGAGCTAAATGGTCTCCTCCGTCATCAAGACGACAGGATGAGGAGGCAGCTCTGATTGTGTATAAATGGAGGCCATATCCTCCGATTCTTAATACAGTTTCTTCTCATCATCAGCTCATCCTCAAACGCCCTTCAACATCAAACTACTTGACACTTCAACCACCATAAAACCTACCTTGCCCTTGCCAATATCTACCATCAAAATGCAGTTCTTCACCGTCACCACTGCTCTCTTTGCCTCGCTCGCCCTCGCGGCCCCCGTCGTGGAGGACCGCCAAGTCTACATCCCCTGCAGCGGCCTGTACGGCAGCCCTCAGTGCTGCGCGACCGATGTCCTCGGCGTCGCCAACCTCGACTGCGGCGAGCCCCCCGCGGTCCCGACCAACGCCTCCGAGTTCCAAGCCACATGCGCGACCATCGGACAGCGTGCGCGCTGCTGCGTGCTTCCCATTGTACGTGCTATTCTGCTGGTGCTGACTGAATCTGTTACTGATGGTTGTTTCTTTAGCTTGACCAGGGTGTCCTCTGCAACAACCCCGCGGGCGTTGACGAGTAAATGATGGTGGTTGGAGATGGAAATGGCAGATGTGGTTTGATTTGTATGATTATGAGGCTGTATTGAGAATCGGACATGAAAACCTGCGATCTGACTGGGATAAGAATCGAGAAATGTATTTGTGAGGATCACTATTGTTAATGCTGTTGACCTCTTGAGCTCCAGAGCTACCCGACATGTGTGCGCTTTCCCATGTGACTAGCCAGGCCTGCTGCATAGTGCAAGGTTATCGGTCGATGGCAACCCAAACGAATGATAATCAGCACCATTACTGCAGCTGCGTCGATGAGAGATGAAAACCCCTGGGTTGACAGGATTTCTGGTAGTCAAATCGTTGAAAGCAGCATCTGACCTCTATATAACGCTGTATGGACTAATAGAATATCACATGCAACTAGTGGGCCCTCTCCTAACCGCAAACAGGCCAGATGACATCACCGGAGCATAAGCTCCCAACCACTGGGGCCTCGACGTCATGTCACAGCGCAAGCTCTTGAGGAGCTCTCTGAGTGGCTGTCGAGCTCCTGTCATCGCGATTCGAGCTGATCATCGCGACATGTGGCACGAATTCTGGTGTGCTGGGACACGCTGGGACACCCCGTTGTTGGGGGGATTCTGGACATTTCTGATTGTGCTCCGGGTCGATTACGGGCTGGACCACCCAGCGTCGCCTCTGTAGACGGGAGACAGGCTGCCTAGTCGTGAGACATGGTCCCAAAGGCCCAAAGGCCCAGAGGCCCCAAGGGTGACGGCATTCACCAGTCACATCATCAGCCACAGCAAGTTCCTCCCACTTGTTCCTCTTTCCCCACGAGCTCTCGCCTGCCGCCTACCGCCTGCCGCCTGCCTATGAAGTGTGTAATGGTCCTGCCCGCCATTCTGGCCCGCCACAACAAAGCAACGAACCTGTGACGTGATTGATTCGTCTACCTTCCATCAGTCCAAGCGTTCCTCCGTGTCTCTCCCTTCCTCCCCTCACAAAGCCTGGGAGACATCTTCTTCACCAACAAAACCAACGCACCTCCCACTTGGCGAAACCTTTTCTGCCTGCCCCCCTCTCCTACATCATCCATACCTCTAGCTACTTGGCCTTTTGACCAAGCACCCCGAAACGTATCACCGCTGCACCTGTTCAACGAAAGGTCACAAACTTCGCAGTCATGCGTTTTCTCTCGACCGTCTTGACGGCGGCTCTGGCCACCCAGGGCGTCGTCGCCAGCTCGTGGTTCTCCAAGGCCGGTGAGTGAATTGGTTAGGCAAGAGGCAACGAATGAGCCATACTGACAGTCACAAGCTTACAACAAGTGGCATGAGACGGAGCTTGAGCGCTGGCTATCCGACCACGACGTCCCGTACCCCACACCTGCGGACCGCAAGGATCTCGAGAAGCTCATCCAGGATAACTGGGAGAACTACGCCGTCAAGCCCTACAACTCGTGGGACGCTGACAGCCTCCAAAGCTACCTCAAGGCCAAGGGCGTCGAGACTCAAAAGGGCGCCGAGGCCACCAAGGACTCCCTCATCAACCAGGTCCAGTCCTCCTGGTACGAGACGGGCGACCAGGCCCAAACCGCCTGGACCAACGTCAAGGACTGGATCTTCGACACCTGGACCGACAGCGAGCTGAAGGAATTTGCCGACAAGCACGGCATTCCTGGTGAGTTCTGTGGCGGCTGCTTCAATGACGTAATTTTTGTGTGACACGCTCTGACGTGCGTACCGCAGTCCCCCAACCCCGCAAGCGTGACAGCCTTCTCCAGAAGGTCCGCTCCAGCTACGAGACAGTCGCTGAGAAGGCCAATGGTGCCGCTGCCTACCCCGGCAACTGGCTGTACGAGACCTGGTCTGGTATGTATTTTGTCCACCTTCCCCCATGAATTCATGCTGACCAGCTTTCCAGAGTCTGACCTGAAGGAGTGGCTCGACACTCACGGTTTCCCCGCTCCCCAGCCCTCCAACGTAAGCCCGTTCCGAGATAAATGTCTACAGAACACCACTGACTCTTTGTGTAGCGTGACCGTCTCATTGCCTCTGTCCGCCGCAACTCCCGTCTCGCCGGCCTCAAGCTCCAGGATCAGGCCGCCAGTGCCACCGCCAGCGCCCAGAAGACCTACGCCACTCTGACTGACCAAATCATTGACGCCTGGAGCGAGTCTCAGCTCAAAGAGTTTGCCGACAAGAACGGCATCAGCGGTATGTGTTGCCGCATCGATACACGAGCATCGGGTAACTAACAGTGACAGTCCCCCAAGGTTCCAAGGTCAACGAGCTTCGCGCCCTGGTCCGCAAGAACCGTGCCGACTTCCTCAACGACAACATCTCCGGAAAGGCCGCCAGCGCCTACGGTGCCGCCACGTCCAGCGCCGGCAACCAGTACGCTCAGGCTACCGACTCGGCTTCGGCTGCTGCTCAGGAGGCTTTTGGTGAGGCCGTTAACTTCTGGTCCGAGAGCCGTCTCAAGGGCTACCTCGACGCTCGCGGCATTCCAGTTCCCCAGGGCTCCAAGACTGATGAGCTCCGCGCTCTTGTCCGCAAGAACTCGCACAAGGCTGCCACTGGCTGGAGCGCCTGGACCTACGACGACTTCTCGCTTGACAACCTGAAGTCGTACCTCGCCAAGAACGGTGACGCTGCTTCCAAGAAACTCGCCGAGAAGAAGGACGTGACCCGTGACGAGCTCGTCAGCGCTGCGCAGTCTGGCTACGCCTCTGCTTCTGCTGCCGGCGGCGATACGTACGCCTCCGTCACCAGCTACTTTGCCCAAGCTACCGGCTCTGCCAAGGGCACCGTCTTTGACACCTGGAGCGAGAGCGAGCTCAAGAGCTACCTCGACAGCTATGGCATCCCCGTTCCTCAGACTTCCACTGTTGACGAGCTTCGTGCCGCCGCCCGCAAGAACTACAACTACTTCAAGCACGGCACCTCGTCGCCTTCGGAGACCATCTTCGCTAAGATTGGAGACTCTGTCCGCGACACCTTTGCCTGGTTTGCCCATCAGGTCGGCATTGGCGCCGATGCCGCCGAGAAGAAGGCTTTCGAGGCTGAGAAGAAGGCCAAGGCCGAGCTGTAAGCAGCTCATCTCATTATGCGACCAGCACTTCGTGGCGACCCACGAAGTTGGCGGTCCAGATGTGTGCCCCTCTCTACTTCATGGATTCACGAAGAATGACCAAAGTTGGCTTTCCGTTTGCTCTTTCAATTACACCCCGCGTTGCGAAATGGTTTCTTGACATGAATGATTCAGGGTTTTCGTCCTGCTTCGGCACGAGGTAAGGGATGTGGCATAAGGTGGTGTAGCCCACGTCGGCGCCCCCTTCTTTGCTTTACGGACAGTCAGCGGCGAGTGTACAGTAGCGTTCGAGGACACTAGGTCCCTAATTGACATTATGATCATAACTGGTCCCTCTGTGACGGCGCATGACGTGAGCAGTAAATACAAGGCATCCGTGTTGCAATCATTCTGCTATGCTATCTTGGCTACGTACCTTGCCACAGCCAAGTAATCAAGGTCAAGAAGAGGCTAAGCTACTGCTACAGAGGCAAACTGTTTTTCTACTCGTTGGCCGCTGTCTCGTCCTTTGCGGCGGCCTTTTTGGCCTTCTTCTTTTCTCTCTTCTTCTTGTTCTTCTTGGCCCGTCGGGCCGCATCGGCACTGTCGATGCTCTCCTCATCAATGTCATCCTCCTTGGCATCTCCGGCAGCCTGAATTTTGGCAGGACGAGTCTTTCTGGTGGAACCGGCCTTCGTGGCGCTAGGACCGGCTCGAAGCATGTCTGCGGCCTCGCTATTGTGGAGAGCCCCTTTTCTGATCTCGTCATCGACAAGCTTCCTAAGGTCGGCCTCGGGCACGGTGCCGTCTCTGATGAGGTGCGTCTCGACAATGGCACGAGTATGCTCGAGGGTCATGCCCTCGCCAATGTCAAAGTACTTGGTCATATTGCCGATGAGGTCCTCGTAATCAAACGGCTTGATCTCGGGCTTGGCGAGACACATCTTGTTATGATGATCGGCACGGGCCTTGACACGCTTGATCCAGCGGCAGACGCCGTAGCGGTTGAGGGCGCCGGGGGACTGGTCGGCGAAGAGGATCGTTTCGAGCTCGGAAAAGTCCTCGGCCCACTGCTCGGGAGTGAGCCAGATGGGGTTGAAGAAGGAGACCTCGACCTTGTTGTTGGTGACGCCGACGCCGTACTCGGGGCCGTAGCTGTTGTGCTGGTAGTAGAGAAACTGGCGATGGATGGCCAACTGGCGGATCTTCTGGGCGCCCTCCAAGGCGGCCTTTTCAAAGACGTCGAGGAAGGCCTTGCTGAGCTTCTTCCACTCGCTGACGTCTTTGACGCGCGTCATCTCAAAGGGGACCTTGAGCTTGGCCGTGTCGTTCATGAACTTGATGATGGCGTTGTGGATGTAGTGGCCGAGATTGTAGCGGGCGCGGCGGCGGCCCTTCTCCTCCCAGGGGCACCAGTGCTCGGGCGCCTCCTTGAAGGCTCGGGCGATGAAGCTCGAGGCGACGCGGGTCCGGAAGTAGGCGTCAAAGGGGAGGACGTACTCCTTCCAGCCGTACTTGGCGCAGTGGAGGTCGATGATCCACTCCTTGCCCTTGTCGTTGTAGCCCGTGGGCTTCAGCTTGCAGAAGAGGACCGGGTGAGGCCAGAACATGGGGTTCTTGCCCTTGGCGGCTTGGATGGTGCCGTTCTCCTTGTGGTAGTCGGTTCCGAGGTGGAGCACGGTGCCGGCGTTGCGGGCGTAGACGTACATCTCGACGACCTGGGAGCAGTGCGCTGCGTCTGTGAGCTTGAAGTCGACTCGGGCACAGAGGACAAACAACGTACCGTGGAGAGTGTCAATGATGATGCCGTGGAGATGTCTGAGGTAGTCATCGCCCGCATCCTGCGCGAGACGGGCAGCCCAGGCAGGGCTGTCATCGATTGCGTCGAGGTACTTCTGCGGGAAGACGCTTCCGCCGGTCCAGACCTCCTCGCAGCAAGCGTCGGGCGAGCTGATACGGGTCGGGCCGGTGCTGTCGAGGGGACCGCCGGGCTTCAAGGCGGTGCTCTCAAAATCGGGATAGTCTCGAATGTGCACCGACGAGATGCCGCTGTACGAGGCCTTCATGAACATGTCAGCCATGTTGCGGAGGAGGAAGGCGCTCCGGAGAAAGCCACAGCGCTGACGGCACGCATAGTAGTGGTTGTCCTTCCAGTCCTTCCTGGAGCAGGTACAGTCGCAATACTGCTGGGTAACGTTGGGCAGCTCGTCGACGTAGCAGCCGCTGCACTTGACGATGCGCGGGGCGGGCCCGCGGACGGGCTGCTCTTCAAAGGGCTTGGCGCCGCAAAAGGCACAAACGCCGCGGTGAGAGGTCAGTTCAATGTCCATCGAGTCCTTGGCGAAACGACGGTCCGGGATCGGGGCGACGTGGTCGGCGCGACCGGCGGCGATCCAGGCACAGTAGGCGATCCACTTGACCTTGTTGCTGATGGGTGCGTTGCCAGCAGCGCCCTGGTTGGATTTGCCAACCTGAGGAGTCTGGTCGCGCAGCTGCGCCAGGCCCTGCATGAAGGCGTTGCGAATGGTGTTGTTGTTCTGCTCGTAGACGGCAAAGGCAGAGCGGGCAACCTGCCAAAGGGGCACGATCATGGGATCAAAAGTGTGCAAGAGGTTTCTGAGGTCCGAGTTGGCAAACGGCCAGACGGCATGAGCAAACCTGCGGTCGTACTCCATGGCAGACATGTCGCTGTCACGGCCGACGGAGGAAACGCCAGAGTCGTCGATCAAGATCGGAGGGAGGCCGTTGAAGAGAGACTCAACAGGGTCTCCGGGGCAGTTGTCGAGGTTGACATTGCGGGGGAACTCCTTGGGGATGTTTTCCTGCCAGGTGTAGTAGTCGAGGCCGATGACGGCGCGTCGCTCGTCTGGGTTGAGAGCCAGGGGCTTCTCCATTTCGTCAGCAGACTCTTCAAACCAAGACAAACAGAAACGAAGGAGCGATGAGAGGCCCAAGTCAGGAGAGGACAAGCTGTAGAACGAGGCTTCTTGATGGTGATCCTAGTGCAGGAAGGAGCCCGGCTCAAGAATAGAGCAGAAGAACAACAGAGAGTCATTGAAAAGCAGAAAAAGAAGGAGATATAGAGGAAACCAGATAGGCAGCGCTTCAATTACGGGAATCTGCGGAGACTTGAGTGTCGACGCGGCGATGAGGCACTCCAGGTAGCGACGATGCCTTCATGGCGTGCATCGTGGCGTGCGTCGTCCAGCGGAAACAGGAAAGCACTCAACGTACCGTTTCTTTGCCGCTGCAAATGTTTGGCATGTCTCTTCTTAGATATAGTCGACGAGGCGTAACCCCGTCCTGGGATTCTCGCACCTTGGCCATGGTGACGATACAGGTGTGGCGTTGAGGATATCTGGATAAAGGGGAAATAGGTTGTTGCAGGAATTCAAGGGTTTTACGCGACTAAGGGGAATTGGCGAATACAGAAGGAGTCAACAATGGCAAGCGCCCTGACTTTCAAGACTAAAGGAAGGAACGCGGTTCTCTGCCAGACTGCAAAGAGTCACTCAAGTCCGAGGTTCTGCCTTCACAGTTTGCGCAGATGTTCATTCAGTCTCCAACCATGAAGAAATATGTATCGAATATTCTCATAGCTACGTTTACTGGGAGATGCTTAGCTTGCCCTAGGTCACGCATGGCCAAACAAATACATCAAAAAATGACATTGCAGTGAGAGTTATGTCCATTATTGTCACGGGAGCCTCAACACGTCTTTCAAGCATCCGAGAGAGATTCCACAGGACAGACCTAAAGGTCTTGGCTAACAAGGAATTCCATGCGACAAAAAGACTCAAAGATCTGGCAGGCAATCGTCATCTCCCAGCTTTGCACCCCATTCCACCGAGTGTTGCTGCTCAACAAGGACCCTGATCCACCATAGAGGCCATCAGCTCGTACGATATTCCTTCCGGGACTGGCGTCAGGACGCTGGCCTTTCAAATGTCAAAAAGACGCACAGTCAGCATCTGGATGAAATCAAGCCACTCAACCAAAGGGTCGTCGGGGTACTCCGATAGGAGAGAATCCTCAGCCATACGATGTGAGGGAGTCACACTCTGAGCATCTTCCTAAGTGCCCGAGACCTCGACCCAGCCGTCTTCTACATGAACTGCTGCGTCAGTATCCATGCGAATGAGATATTGGCCCACAGCTTTGTGAAAAAAAGACTTACCGCCGTCGAGAGTCCTCACGTGTTTCGTGTGTGCGGGCTGAAAAGGGTTCTGGTGTTGTGTCGGCGAAATCTGCCGGCGAGCATGATGAAATAAAGCACTTGCACCAGCTGCAGAGCCTACGGCAGCCCGACTTATGCCGGTGCCGAGGGCTGAACCCACGCACGATATAGCTCTGTAGGCATTCTCGTTGATAGACCTCTGCATCAGATGTCTTGGGGGTGTCCAAGTGGCAATCTCGCGTTGCCGACGGACACGTTCCTCAACTTCCGCGGCTGTCGGGTAAGTATAGGCTGACCGCCTCCCCTGTGATTTCATTGACTGGGCGCTTGAGAGGATCTGTTCCTTTTTGGGGGTCTCGCTATTGATGAGTGTAGTCTTGTTTTGCGGTGCGTTCTCTTGACGGCGCGCGTTCGATAGGACCCTGCTTTCGCCGTCGACATCGATATTGGGAACGCGTTGAACTGTATTTTGTTGGTCGGAAATCTGCTGGAGAGGGGACATGGTGGGTGAGAACATGAAAGTCATTTCATACTCATTGACGTCGAGCGACAGAAGAGAGAGGCTATCCTCATTCTCATCCTCGTGTTTGAAAGACGCGTGAGCATTCAATTTGGAAGCATGGCGGTCCATGGCTGTAGTGTTGTGGTCCAAATGCGATACTAGGGGGGCATTTCGCATTGTTGTGTCGGTAGTGTGAGAATCCCAGTGGTCATGAGGAACAAAAACAGCGAAGCATGCAAGACGGAAAATGGTGCGGGTTCATACGGCAGGAGCAGATACTGAATGGACCGTGATGGCCCAAACAAGCAAGCAAAAAAGGGTTTGTCACTGTGTATGACCACAATCCACAATGTGCCTAGTTGACATGATTTGCTGGTTGGAGATCAGTGTCAGAAGCATATCAACGTGAATGCTCCAAACTTTGTCTATTCACTGTGTAATTCAATATGAATCATCCGCTGCATCGTACCATGGTGAATGTGGGTGCGAGGATCATTCTCGACTTGCTGCGTGTATCCAGAGTCAAGAGGAGAAAGCAAAAAACGCCCAAAAGAATCTACATCTCATGGAAGACAATGTCACGTTCTATACTTTGCAAATTCACCCGTGAGGCTCTCAACAGCACAGCACGTACAGATGCAGCTTCACCAGACCACAAGGGGGTGGCTGAGCGCCACCGCTTAACTAAGCGTAAAGCCACTGGGATGATTTTCGAGTTGATCGTGGACTTTTTCCTCCCCACCACCTCCCTCGGCCCCATCACCAATCGAGCAGGACCCATGACCATGCACAGGCTCGGCTTCGATCCGCCGAGGTGCCTGCATGCATCTGTCCTGCGTTGGGCCCTGTGGGCTTTCGCTTTGGTCAGCCAGCAAGAGCTCATGTCGGCCATCAGCCCAGGTCGAATCCAGGCCGGGATGTTCTGCGAATCCTGCAATCTCAGCCCTCAGCCAGATGCTCTGATGCTCTGGACAGCGAACACAAGGTCTGTCGACTTGATACATTCACTGTAGTCAACCTTCACCTGGATCACAAGCCAGTCGTCTCAGGCTCTCAGCGGCAAATGGGTAAGGTACCTTAATGGGGAAAGGCACGGCTCAAAACGGGCCCAGCACTCGACGATCCTCCGTCATGAAGCATTCCAAGTTGCGGTAGTGTCTGCAACAGAACACAGCAACAGCCTGGCATCAGACGAGCAAGCTTCAGCATGGATCGTGGCAAGTGCTGCTGCTGAGAGGTTACGGCTTGCGGGTGTTTCGCGCGACGTGGGCGCTCGAGCGAAACATGCCCAAAATACACTGGCAGGCGATCAGTGAAACTGTTCCTTCTCGAACTTGGAGAACAGACGTCGGCATGCCAGGATCCAGCTTGCAGAACCCCGTGTCTCTCCGCTCCACGGCCTAAATTTACGTCCACGTCGTCGTTGCATCGCTGTGGGTTCATCGTGAGGGCACGAGGGACATGTCCAGGGAGCAGTTGTTCGATTTCAATCAAGTCTGCTGCCGACCTCGACGTCACCTCGGGACACGGCGTCTCTTTATGGCGCCACGCCGGTGGCCCCCATGGCACCACGCTCCAATGCAGGCAGCACAAAAAAGCAGGACAGGGTCGTGCGGGGCATACGCTAGTGGTGCTGCGCCAAAGGACACCGAACGAACCGGGGCCAACATCACCCCACGAGCTCCAGACACTCCAGACACTCCAGATGCCCCACCCGTAACAAGAGACCGAGCGCGCCGGCTTATTGGTGGAACCTCGCAGCGTGGTGCCATGGGACGGTGATCCTGACCATAACCGAGACGTTGCCGGCGGCGGCTGTGCCCGTCGTGTGCGCATCATTCGAGGGGGTGGAGGGGGTGGAGGGGGCGTTGTTGGGCCATGTCCCTTTCCTTAAGAGGTTGCCTGCCCCCTTCGCGGACAGCTGGCACGAGGCTCGATGGAGGCGTAAAGCTTCATCGAAAGCAACTTTCATCACTGCAAGCCGAATCTCAGAAACACTGTCAAACACTACCGATCACGCCAACGGCAACTGCTTGTCACAGACACCACTCTAACATGAACGCCTTCACGAGCACTATGCGCCGCTCTGCATCCCGGGGGTTCTCCACTGAAGCTCGTGTCCATCCCAACATCCTTCCCTACCTACACAACACGCGCCGAACAAGCATGGTGCCTCGATGGTGAGTCCAGCGCATGCCATCAGCAGAGGAATCAGCAGCAGCTAACGAATTGCAGGATTCCATCAACGATCGCCGTCATCGCCGTCGGCTACGCCGCCAGCAGCTACGGCATGGGCATGAGCCAACGCCGGTCCGCCCGGCTCGCCGAGATGGAGAGACAACAGGCAGAGAGCCGCCTCCGGGCATCAAAGCTGATGGACGCCTACGGCGACGGCACCAGTCTCGAGAGCCTTGAACGGGCAGTCGCCCTGTACGAGGCCCAGAACCGGTCATGAAGACATGACCACCACGAGACAGAAACAGAGAGAGAGCACGACGAATGGGGGGGACATCAGCAGCGTTGACATCATGAGGAGTTTCTTTACGGGCGGCATTCATTGCAAGGCGTTTCTGGGCAGCACACGGCGCTGTGCTTTCACTGCTACCCGGGCTACGGGCAGCTTCGGATGGGGAGGGGAAGACGGAGAGGATAGGGCGGCTGTCGGTGCATAACTGTACATCACGATGATATCTAGGGAGCGAAACCCACGGCGTGGGTCCAGACGGGTCCTCGAAGGCCCGCCAAAATTTCATTCCATTTGTTCGTTATTTCATTGCCGTCGTGGCTTCCTCTCTTTTTGTTTTTTTGTTGAGGTGTTGCCCTGCTGCCATTCGCTTCAGTGCACCCGAGAACTCCACTGCTCGTTGCCATCGGGTGCGAGAAAGGCTCTGCGAAGGGCTTCGGGCTTTCGCGGAGATGCAGCCGAAGCCTCGACGAGGGAGACGGCGGCCGCACGGGCTGTGCTGGAGATAGTGAGGGATGGTGTTGAAGCCGTCGTGATTGGGTGCGCACGAGTCCGGAGATGCGGGTTGCGTGGAGCATGCGGGGAAGGTGAGTGCCGAGTCGAGGTAAGTCCGAGACGCAGCTCGGCTCGGGGCATGATGCTCGGTCGGGCGAGGATGCTGACGTGAGGGTATCACGTGAGGACATGTGTGGCTTGAAGCGTGGCTGGAGTCGAGCTGAGATCAGAAGGATGAAGATGGACTTGGCGCGTTACAGAGGGTACCAAGGCATCTTCCACAACCACAGGGTCGCTTGATAGCCTGAAGCTCTCGTGCCTGGCGCGGCTGTTGCTTTTTGTCCTGATGGTAAGTTTGCCAAGCATCAATTAGCTCGAGACCGCTCCAGGCCAAGATGACAGCCAGTCTTCAGGGCCCTTGGGCCAAGGGACCAATGACGTCGATGTTCTATAGAGACATTAATTAGCATGAACTTCCAGAGAGCACCGCGATAAGAGATGGTCTAGACCTCAGCCAGACTCTCTTCATATCTGCACAGACCACTATGTCGTGGGCCCAGCCACAACCTACGTCAGCGATCAAATCGCCACCAGCCACAACCTTGATTTCGCTCCTCCCTCTCTTCTATGTGATGATCTAGCCAACAGACTTTTTACACAAGGTTAACTACACAGGGTTTATGCAAACCATGCCCCTACCACAACCCAGGAGCCGCATGGCCAGCCACGATCTGGGAGGGGCAGTTCAGGGTCCCCCCCCCATCCGGTCCGCAAGACCGTGAAACCAACCTCATGACGACGACCACCCTCCACTTCGGAGCCAAGCAGCCGGCCCCAAAACCTTCGCGGTGCCGAATCCGTTTAGTGGCCACACGCCGCTGCAGCGAATTGCAGTGTGAGCCACACCGGGATGGAGGGGAGGAACCAGCCGTGACGTGAACTCAGGGTCTTGAACCTCTCGGCAGACCCCGTACTACGCGCGTCCTCGCCCATGACATCGGCCAAGTACGGCCGCGCAACCTTCTTCGCAGAGACGCCCATCGAAAGACGATCCGGGCATCGCTAACCACAGCTGCGGACGCTTGCAGGCGGACTCTCTCTCTGTGTGTGTGCGTCACTGTTACGGGTTCGACATGTTTGATGTCGTTTGTGATGTAGTACATAAACCGTCCTGTCTCTCCTCCACCTTCTACTGCTTCTGGCTCCAGATCATCAGCATCAACAACCAAACAAACAAGACAACACCCGAGTGACAATCAACCACTCCTCATCACTACCAAAAACATACAAGCAACTACCCATTCAAGTCACATACTCGACTTGACCACCGCACAATCCACAACACCTACTTCCAACGCAATCTACCTCAACATGTGCTTCGGAGGCTCTTCTCGACGCAGGACCGGCGGCGGCATGATGGGCGGCGGCATGGGCGGCGGACGCATGGGTGCTCGCCCCGTCGTCAAGGAGACCCACCACCACCACCACGGCGGCGGCATGGGCGGTGGGCGCATGGGCGGAGGTCGCATGGGCGGCGGCGGCATGCTCGGCGGCATGGGCGGTGGTCGTCGCATGGGCGGTGGTGGCATGGGCCGCCGACGTTTCTGAGCGGCTCGCCACATGCACGCACGCACGCACGCACGTACGACACGAATCAGTATACCCATCGACATGAGCGCATTTTCGACGGCCGAGCGAGATCCATATGAGCGATGGAACATGACGGCATTGGCGTTCTGGACAGGCGCTGTCATGGCAGGGCCTTTGTTTTGTACCAATATCAATCCATGAAACTATGACATTTGAGCGCTTCAGCTGTGATTCGTTGTGATAATCCCAATTAAACACCAGTCTCCTGTTGTCAAGAGGTTGAGAGACCAACTCTTATCACTTTCTGTCCGGCATCTGGCCTCGCAGTAATCAAAATCGTGATAGTAAATCCGTAACAAGACTTGTCTACATCACTTGTGCACACCGAACATCTGTGGACATGTTAACCACATCGACAATACAAACCGAGCTACTGAGACTACTATCCTCCGGTCACGACACTCCCTAATATGCAGCCATCGTGTGGCGGAACAACTCACGCAAGCTGCAGTAGGCCATGTTGCACTCCTTCCTTGCCCCTCACTTCTCACATGACGAGTACGATACGATTGTCTCACCACGACCTCAAGTGGAACATTGCTGTGCGAAGTTTTGGCGACAGTCGGGGCATTTCTTCACCCCACGTACACCCCCAGGGACCATACTGGCAACGATCCTCGATCATCTGTCGGTACATGCGCTCCGTGCGGGTAGATGCAGCGTTCCCATTCGCCGCGGCGCCGGCATCTGCCTGGCCCGGCGCCGATCCGAGCCGTTGACGAGAAGGTCAGCGCGGCCTGCAGGCGGCGGGGAAATTGATCAAAACCCCTCCCTCACTGCAATTTGAGTCATGATGCGGGGACGCTTGGATATAGACTCGTATCGTGTGGTCGACTGTTTCTTCGCTTTGGCAGGATTTTGTTCTTGGAACATGCCACTGTCGAACGCCAGTCTGCTTGGCGCACGTGCCTGGTCTGATATGCAGAACATGGTTACTCACGGGGTCCTCCTGAAGGCCGGCCGAGATGCAACGGGGCGTTCATTCATCCGACTGCTTGTGGTTCCCGTGTGACATGACGTCGAGTGTATACTATGTGAGGGGTTCACAACGGTCAGACCTTTGGTGACCTGGTCTTGCGTGACTAGCTGCCATAAGTGTCTCGGTGAAAAACACGAGGTGAGCCCTCAAATTCTCCATTCATCCTCTAAAGGAACCAGCTTCAAGAGAAAGTCTGCGATCAACAACACAAACTTCTGCACCGTCAACACACACGATGGAGTCCTCATCTTCGGCACCAACACAGCCTCCACTGCTGGGATCATGGGCTGAATCGACCCCGATGGCTCAGCTGGACGCCCAGCAGCTGCCCTACCTCGACCTCGCCCTCGTTGTCGTCTTGGCCTCCTGCGCCAGGGCACAGGGAAGCAAGGAAGACAGAATTCCGTGCTTGAACCCTTCCAGAAGACCCCTGATCTTCGGCAAAGACCCAGCTGCTTCCAAAAGCTTCACAGCGAACGCCCGCGGGATCCTGGCCGAGGGTCGGAAACGATTCCCAGGCCAGCCTTTCAGGATCACGTCCGACTCGGGCGAGACGACCATTCTCCCGCCCTCGCTCATCCATGACATTCGAAACGAGCCTGGTTTGAGCTTCATCAAGGCCATTTCGGAAACCTTCCACACTCACCTGCCAGGATTCGAACCCTTTGCGACAGGCAACAGGGCCGACTCGCTCATCCAGGTAGTGGTGAGGAAGCAGCTGACCAAGCTTCTCAGTCAGTCCGTCTGCGGCACCTGCCTGCAACTCTACAATCACTGACTCTGGACGGCAGACCAGGTGACGGAACCGCTCTCTGAAGAGACGAGCTTTGCCACCGAGTTGGCCTTTGGCAAGTCAGCAGGTATGCCGTGCGCCCCGCGCGAGGAAGCTGAGAACAAGGACTGACAGGCATCAGAATGGAAAGAGTTTGTTCTGAAAACGAAGATTCTCGACCTCGTAGCCCGCCTGTCTTCGCGCGTCTTTCTCGGCCCCGAGGTCGCCCGCAACGAAGACTGGCTCTCCATAACGAAATCGTACACCATCCACGGCTTCCTCGCCGCCGAGCAGCTCCGCAACTACTCGCCCTGGTGGCGCCGCCTCGCCAACCAGTTCCTGCCCGAGTGCAGGCTGGTGCGGCGGCAGCTCGTCGAGGCCCGCGCGATCATCGGCCCCGTGGTGCAGAAGCGGCGGGACGACCGCCAGCAGGCCGTCGACCGGGGTCTGCCGCCGCCGGCGTTCAACGACGCCCTCGACTGGTTCGAGGCCGAGAGCCACGGCAGCGCGTACGACGCCGCCATCTGCCAGCTGTCGCTCTCCACGGCGGCCATCCACACGACGACGGACCTGCTGACCGAGGTCATGTTCAACATTGCCAAGCACCCGGAAATCATCGCCGACCTGCGGCAGGAGATTGTCAGTGTCCTCGCGGCAGAGGGCTGGAAGAAGACGGCGCTCTACAACCTCAAGCTCCTCGACAGCGTCGTCAAGGAGTCGCAGCGCATGCGCCCCGTGGGATTAGGTACGGGCACCCCCCCTCCTCCATGAGCAGTATCGTTGCGCCAGAATGGCTGACGACAACGACCCGTTTGCCCAGTCTCCATGATGCGCACCGCCACGCGTGACGTGCCCCTCTCGAACGGCATGGTCCTCCGCAAAGGCCAGCGCACCGCCGTCGACATGGCGCAGATGCGCGACCCGAGCGTCTACGACGACCCCGACACCTTTGACGCCTACCGCTTCGTGCGCATGCGCGGCACGCCGGGTCAGGAGAACCAGGCGCATTTTGTCAGCACGGGCCCGGCGTCGCTGGGCTTCGGCCACGGACAGCACGCGTGTCCGGGGCGGTTCTTCGCCGCCAACGAGGTCAAGGTCGCGCTGTGTCACCTGGTGATGAAATATGAGTGGAAATTGGCCCCGGGCTGCGAACCCAAGGCGGCCGAGTTTGGCTTCTCGTTGGCTGTGGACATGAATGCGAAGGTGTTGATGCGTAGGCGGGCGCCCGAGTTGGATATCGATGCGTTGTAGTCGGAACAACATGGTGAAGCGTTCACAGATGGTTGGAAGGGGTAAGGGGGACATGGCGATTCTATTGCTACAGCAAGAAGCAATCCATGGCTTACGGCAAGACATGAAATGACAAGAATACAAACAACTCTACGCTCGCTGCCAAACTCCATCGTGAATCGTACTTGAGAACCGCCCGATCACAGGTCGTACTTGAAATCCAGCCCCCTGTCGCCCTCCATTCCGTTGCTCGTCGCACCCTCGGCAATCAGCTTGTCCTTCTGCTGGTTACGACGCCTCAGAAGCAGCCACGTCAAGGCGACAAAGATGGCCGCCACGGCCTCAAGTCCCGCAGAGATCGAGTTGCCCACGATGTACCGCGGCGACTGCGACTTGGGGTACAGCTGCCCGGCGACGAGGCCGCTGCAGTTGCCAATGCTCGCGAAGATGGGCAGACCGACGGATCGCTTATAGTCCGGCACGAGGTTGGTCGCGACCCAGGTCATCATGAGACACGAGAAGGAGTAGACGCCCGTGACCAGGATGAACATGGCCACGTAACCGGCCACGCGGTTCGGCGTGCCGATGCAAATAAGGTAGGCGGCAATAACTGGACAGGCGGAGACGAGAAGGAACAGCGCACGCTTCTTGAGACGGTCGGACCAGTAGGCCTGCGTGGCGAGAGAAATGGCGCCGAGGGCATACACGGGAATGGTCAGGTAGTTGGCCTCGAAGGCGTTGTAGCCAAAGCCGCGGATGAGCGTCGGCAGGAAGGTGCCGTATCCGAAAATGGCGACGCTCGAGGTGAAAAACGCCATAGAAGCAATGTAGATAAAGGGGTCAGAGACGGCGAGGCGCACCCACTTCCAGTCAAATTTGTCGTCGCCCTTGTAAATGGCATCGCGCTGCTTGCGACGGCACATGAGGGCCTTTTCGTCTTCATTCAGGAACCAGGCCGTCTCAGGCTTGTTGGGGAAGGACCAGAGACAGCCGCCGCAGATGGCGAGGGAGATGGAACCCTCAATGATGAAGAGCCAGCGCCAGGCTTCGAGACCACGGCGGGTGCCCATGGTCTGGATGGCATACGCAAACATGCCCCCAAAGGCACCCGACGTGGCATTGGCCAGGTTGATGAGCGCAACACGCTTGGCCGTAGATTCGCGGTCGTAGATGGTGGAAAAGATGAAGGTGAAAGCAGGGGCTACGCCGGCTTCAAACAGGCCAAGGAGCATGCGGCACGCGAGGGCCTGGCCGTAGTTCTGCACAAAGCCCGTGGCAATAGTGGCGATGCACCACCCGAACAAGGCGACAGTGATGACATAGTTGGGGCCGAAACGCTTGACAGCCGTGACCCAAAACACCTCGGTGATGATGTAGGGGACGAAGAATAGGGTGACGAGGTTGCCAAACTGGTTGTTGACGAGGCCAATGTCCTCCTCAAAGCCAAAGACGCGAGCGTTGCCGAGGTTGGACCTGTCCAGGTAGTTGAGGAGAATAAAGACAAAAGCCTGGGGCAGAACCCATTTGTCGAATTTGCGAAGAACGGCCTTTTCTTCGTCGGGATCGATGTATATCGTCTCAACGACCTGAGGGTTGGCGACGGCGCCCGAGTCGATTGAAGATGCGTCGAGGTTGCTGGCCTTTTCGTCGGCTATGACGGTAGTAGACTGTAGCTCGCCCATGGTTGCGTCGGCTGCGATGTCGCTGAAGGGTGGCAATTGAGACGGACTCGCTGAAAGTTGACTTTCCTTGTTGTTCCAGGTGAAGGCGTTGTAATGTAGACTGATGAGACTCCAAACGGCAACAGACAAACACCGGCGACGACTTTGATTTATGTTTCCTGCATGTTGAAGCTGGGTCGACTCTAATTGTCATGACACCCACCTTATCAGCGCCTATTGGGGTTCCCGTTACGAGGCTGGCGATGTCGCTGCTTGGATGGCCTTCCCCGGACCGAGCTTATCTTTGGGCGGGCATGATTGAGCGCGGGGATCCAGGCGTGCCCTAATTAGAGGCTCGCGGCGCGCGTGTCGACTCGCCGCGACCCCGACTGTGCAGCCCGCGCGGGCACGCCCGCGGGCGTTTGTGGATCGGACACGGGCTTGAGAAGCGGCGACACGGGCCCTGAGCCACGCGCAAACTGATGTACCGTCAGGTATCGGTGTCGCTGCCGATAAGGCTTGGGCCGTCTTAAGTATCTGCCATTCGGCAGCGTCGATTGACGTTGCTCAGCGGACTCACAAATCGCATTCGAACCATTGCTACCAGCTTGATCATTGTCAGCACGACAGCGAGTCTTGTATTCCAGCAGAGACGCGACTTCGACATGGTCTGCAAGACGCGCAGACCAGCCCGGGTGCTGGTCATCAACCCCAACACGAGCGCCTCCCTTACCAAAAACTTCGAACCGGTTCTCGCCAGCCTCAGCTTGCCCGACACGACGCTCACATACTGGACGTGTCCGACGGGCCCATCGCTCATCAAGACACAAGCCGACATGTACGAAAGCGCATCGCACTGCATACCCCTGCTCCGCGCCATGGCAGACGACTTTGACGGGTTCCTGGGAGCGTGCTACGCCGATCACCCTGTCGTCCGCCTGCTGCAGTCATACGTTGGCAGCAAGCCCGTCGTGGGCATCTTTGACGCGAGCATACTGGCAGCCCTGCAGCTCGTGGGCCCGAGCACGAGGTTCGGCATTGTGACGACGGGTGTGGCGTACGAAGAGCTGCTATACGAAGGCGTCAAGCACTTGCTGCGACGCGACAAGGAGGTGTTTGCCAAGTTCGGAGGTGTTGCAGCGTCGGGAGTCGGCCTGATGGACCTTCAACCAGGGTCGGAAGCTGGCGCTCGAGAGAAGGTTATGGATGCCACGTGCCGGCTCTTGGCGACAAAAGAAGGCGAGGACAACATCGAGGTCGTTAGTATGGGCGGCGTCATCCTCTCGGGGATGGAACCCTGGGTTCACGAAGGCAGCGAGCTCGCATTGGGTGTCGAAGCCGGCAGGAGGATCAAGGTCATCGACCAGCTGCTCGCAGGCCTGCTGACGCTTGACGCTCTTCTCCAAGGTAAATCGATACGATCGGTAGACTATAGCCAAGTATTGAGGTGAGTCTGAGCATGTTATCTTGGCAAGTGATGGGAGCATAGCCATGTCAGGACATTGAAGCTGTCGAGATGGTGAAGCTCCCTCGACCTTGAGGCAGCTGCCTCCATCTCGAGGCAGCTGCTGGCAAGAGGAGAGCTGGTACGTACCTTCCTAGGTGCCGGGAGCTGAATCGTGTGAGGGACCCACCAAAGACCCCAATACGGTTAGCAGGACGGTGGCATTCGACCCGATAAGCATGTTGAGAGAACGTCCCATTGGCCGAGGGAGGATCGATTATCAGGACGCTAAGTTCAACCCCACAACGAGCACCCATCACATCGGGCCATCGCGACCTCGAACGTCGCTGCCCACATGCCCGTCCCAAAGCTCCGAGCTCGCCCACTGTCTCGTCTTGTTTCCGCCTCATCCATCCATTGTTCATCACCCATCCATCGGCAGCATCGATTCGTGGCCCTCTTTGTATCTGGTCCTCTTCGCCTGGCATATCATTCCCAGCTCGGTGACTGGCCTCACAGCCCTGGAATGCCCTCCCCCGATGGATGTGTCGAGATCGAGGGATCAGCGCCCCTGCGACAATTGCCGACGAAGAAAGATCCGCTGCTTGTTTGCATCATCTGAAGCGATCAACTGTGTCTTGTGCGAATCGCGTTCGACTGTGTGTACCTACATTCAGAGCGCGCCGCGAAAGAAACGCCCCCTGTCATCCAACGATGACACCCCCCGGGGAGGACAGACCGGCAGCCGGCCCAAGCAGCGGTTGAGGCCCGGGTCCAAGGGTACGGTCATCGAGAGGCAACCGAGGAGCGTGAGGATGACTCCCAGACTAAAACTTCACAGACGACACCGTAGTCAAGGATTATGCGAGTCTCAAGGGCCAGTCCCTCCTCAAGGAGACCCTGGGCCACCAGAACCGCCAGTCTAGTGCCATTATCGGCGCAACAACCGACTTTGACCCTTCCTTGACACACGCCGTGTCATGGAACGCCAAAGGAGAGTGCCCGTCGTTTCAAGCACAGCACATTCTCCGTCGGGCGAATCAAAATGTCCACTTCGTCATGAGGCCCGACACGCAGGATGAAATGGACGCCGAGCTCACAAACCTCGATGCCATTGAAGACTTTGTGTCGCCTCACGGTCCTGAGCTCGTCAACCTGTATTTCCGCATCGTCCACCCGAGCTTCCCCATCCTCCACAAAAAGGTCTTCCTCGAGAAGTACGGTCGCAGCTACCGCGAACTGACGCCGACAGGACTGGGTGCCGTCTACATCATGGCGCTGAACTGGTGGTCCTATAGCCCTGCGCTCTCCAGCATGTCGAAACCGGATGCCCATGTGCTCGAGAGCAAAGTTTTGAAGATGCTGTTCGAGGTCCACAAGAGGCCCAAGATTTCCGACCTTCAAGGCGGTCTCGTCCTCATGCAATCGCCCAATGTGAGCTCGTGGGCTCTCGCCGGCCACCTCATTGCCATGGCCCAGAATCTTGGCATGAACTTCGATTGCAGCGACTGGCAGGTGCCCGACTGGGAGCGAGGCGTTCGGAAACGTGTTGCCTGGGCGCTCTTCATGCAGGACAAATGGGGGGCACTGGTGTATGGCCGTGGATCCCTGTTGCGGGCTGACGACTGGGACGTCCAACCGCTCACGGCATCCGATTTTCCCGAGACGTCCAAGGACGATGACCTCGAAGAAGGGAGCGCCGAGATTGAGAAGGGCAAGCAGACTTTTCTGCACATGGTGTCTCTGACGGAGATTGTTGCCGATATTCTTGACCAATTTTTTACGTTGCGTGCCACGCGAAGACGACAAACGATCGAGCAAGTCTTGGAGTTGGCGAAACCACTCCAACTGCGGCTCAAGGCGTGGCTGACAGCGCTGCCGACTGACCTCTCGGTCGGTGATACTGTGCCGCGAAAGCTCTCGTCGGTAGGCTATCTTCATTTGGCGTACTACACGGCCGAGATCACCCTGCATCGCGCGATTCTGCGGTCCCACTCCATGGCGAGCCCGGCTCCGGACCTGTATGCCATCACGCGCCTCGCTGCCAGCACGCGATTCACATCGGCCCTGGACTTTGTCAAGCGGCTCAAGGCCGAGCACCTCCAGAGCTTCTGGTACTTTTCTTCGGGCCTCAGTCTCGCCATCATTGGGCTCTTTGCGGGCATTCTGTGCATGACGAGTCAGGACAGGGAGGGTGCCGAACGCGAGGCGCTTCTCGCCAAGCTCGCCGAATACCGCTGGCTTTTGCGCATCAACAGCACCAGTGCCGAGTTTATGAAATACAGCATCGGCGTGTTGGACGCGAGGAGCCAGCTCATGGAGCAACAGATTCCTTTGCAGGCGGTCCTTCACGCGGCGCAATCGGTCAGGTCAGCCTCGCAGCTTGACCCTGTCGAATATGGTGATGGCGACGACGATTCGCCCTTTACCGACGACCTGTTGCTGTCGCCCAACGATGGCGACGAGGTGTGGCAGCAGCAGCAGCAGCAGCAGCAGCAGCAGCAGCAGCAGCAGCAGCAGCAACCGCTGCCGAATGCTTTTGAGCAGCATTACTATGGCTTCGAGGCGTCAGGCCTGGTAGACGCGACGTTATCGTCAAGCGAGACGCATCAATTCTGGATTGATGGTGACGGGTGACGACTGGTTCAGCTTTGAAAGATGGTCCTATCTAATGAATGAATGTCCCACTGTGTTTGGCGCTGACGCCTTCATGGGGCCAGTCCGCGATACCCACAACAGGAACTGCTTCTGCGTCGACAACACGGACGCTCTCGAATGCGTCTCTCGACCGCAGGCTTGCCGCGCTGACTTGGCATCGTGACTCAGTGGTGAACATGCGGCATGTAAGCCCGCTGCGTTGGCTTGATTGCAATTGCATCTCACTTTGTGGCGTTGCTCCGTCAGCCAATACTATTGTATCCGAGGCTCAAGACGGCCCAACATTGTGCCGTAGGGGACCTCCCCCACTCTAGAGGTTGATGCCTCGGTCGGCGCGTCGGCGCTTTAGCGCATCCCAGCAACGATGGAATCTGTCCGAAGCTGTACCGATTTCTAATGCTTCGGATCCGTCCCACCGCGGACACGGTGGGGCATCTCTTTTAGTGTTTCGAGTTGCTGTGAGGCACGTCCTGGATCAGGCAATGCATGACACCAGCCCAACTGCGATGACTGATTGGGCCTGCGTGGCTTGGAGTCGTTGATCCCCTCACAGAAAGGAGGGGTTCTTGTGGTTTAAAGAGGCCGCAAGCCCACGACTGACTTTCAGAACAACCACATCCTCTTCACACGGTTTTCACAGCTTCACAGGTAGACAGACGCCTACTCCCGGTTGAGCATCAAACGGGCGGCACTGACTCGGTCTAGATACCACTCATACACACCTCGACCCCCTCCAGTCAGTCAATCGCCATGCCTTCCTCCACCCTCACCGTCCTCTACCCTGCCCTCAAGGGCGAGGGTGACAAGTTCGACCTCGAATACTACCTGGGCACCCACATGGAGATTGCCCGCAAGGCCTGGCTGGGCCTCGGCCTGATCAACTACCAGGTCATCAACTTCACCTCCGACGCTGCCGGCGCTGAATCCGCCTTCTCCCTCGCTACCGTTCTCACCTTTGACTCGGCCGACGGCGCCAAGTCGATCGGCACCGCCGCCGAGACGAAGGCTGTTCTGGACGATGTGCCCAACTTTACGAACGTGCAGCCCAGCCTGCTGTTCGGCGACGTGCGCGAGCAGTGGAGCAAGCAGTGAGAGTTGACGGGATCGGATCGATGCGGGCTCACCCCAGCTGCATGTGGTGCGACTACAATTAATGACAACTTGATGCCCAAACCGTCTCTCTCCAGTAGTGCAGCTTACCATGCCTGTGATGCTCATGGCTTCGGACCCACGGCTAATATGCAGCATTTCCTTCTGACGACGAGTGCTTAGCAACTGAATGACCTCCCTGCTGCATCTCACTCGAGTGATAAAGGCCGATGACAAGCTGTAACTGCGACGCACTGTCCCGGCGCTATCGAGTCGAGGTTGACAGTTGACACACATGATGCGCATGTCCGGCACGCCGAGGCTGCCGTCGGTGCCGGGGATGCGGTAAAAATCCTGGCCCGCCTTGGGTATCACCCGTCCCGGATTCGAAATTCCAAAGCGACGCGACCGTGTCGGCGAGGACGAAGCTGCCGACGACGCCTGACCGAAAGCGCAGTGTCAATGCCGCGCCTTCGTCAGCCTCGAACCCGCGCTGCGAGAGCGTTTTTTCGGCGTGGACGCTCGTGATGGGCCCGAAGAGGAAGTGCAGCAGGTCGACTTCGTGGACCATATTAATGAGCACGACACCGCCGGCCTCCGTCTGGCGCCACGCGGCGGATGCTGGAAGTACTCGTCCGGCTTGCGGAGGGCCCAGAGCCCGTTGACGGCCACGATCGTCCCCAGCGTACCGGACGAGACGACTGTCTTGGCAGCGACCATGTAGGGGTTGAACCGGCGGTGCGGTGCCCGACCAGTGCACGGACGCCCGTGGCGGAGACGTGTCGGGCGAGGTCCTTGCCGCTGGTGATATCTACGCTGACGGGCTTCTCGACGAGGACGTGGACGCCGGCCGAGGCAAGTTGCTTGGCCAGCGGGACGTGCAGCTAGTTCGGCGTGCAGATGATGGCCGCGTCTGGCTTGGCGGGCGAGGCCAGCAGATCGGTGACGCTTTGGTAGTGAGCTATATCCAGGTCCCTCGCCAACGTAGCGTTGCTCTCGAGCGGGTCGACAATGGCCACGAGCTCCGTGTCGGGGTTCTCCATGACTGTCTGAGCATGACGAGGCCCGATCAGACCGGCGCCGATGACGGCAAAGCGTATTCTCTTGTCAGATCCCATGGCGAATTCGTATATCGATGATGTGCACGCTGAGGACTCGAATACGCTGTCAAGACGCGAAGATTCCAGATCTATTGTCGAAGCTAGGGATGGAAATGCAGACCAGGGCTGATTGAAATGGTACTGGCCCTCACATGACTCCAGAACCAACATCGCCATCAGTCCATCATGAACCCTTCACCATGGGCCATACTCTTTATCCCCATGGGGATGAGGCGAGGCGCTTAGCGGGGGGCGGAGGTGGCGGTTGAGTGTTCAGCCAGGCAGCGCGCAGCAGCCGTGAGCAGTATTCTTGGCAGCATCGCGGGGTCGCATGATTTTCAGCGTATGTTGCTCTGAAGGATCGAGACGATACAGCGACGAGCAAAACTGGAAAGAAAATGTCCTCTGTTTTTTGAAGACTGTTCAACGAGCCAGCCTCTTTTGTTTCACTCTGTAGGACAGGTCTCTCGCTGCCTGACCCTACGACTGACTCGCACATCAGCACAGGGCCTGTAGTCTTGGTTGAGATCAGCCGTCGCAGAGCCTTCTTGCGGCTCCAGCCAATGCCCAGGACGAGAATGAGGGGCGACAGTTGATGCGAAATAGGCTCGACGATGTTCACTCGAATACGCTGTTCAGCTTCCGAATCAGATGGTTCATGTCAGCATAACCGCGTGAGCCAATGCCATGCGTCATGGCTGACCACTTGCTCGTCAATTGACAGGCGGCGGTCACTTCGGGCGTTACAGCCAGGCATGCAAGGACACATGGAAGGATGACAATGGGACGACATGGAACGGGCTTCGCCGGAACTAATCGAGCTGAAGGGCCACCCGCTGGGCCTTACACGAGCCTGGCCTTTCGAGGTCCCCCACCATGCGTGGACGCTCGACCCGCTGACCTGGCTCGACGGTCCTCCAAGACCCTGCGCGGGCATACGGTTCTTGGCCATGGCAGCTTTGTAGATCCCCCTCGCCTTGGCGGACTTCGCCTTGGCGACACAAGCTTGGGCAGGCGAGTTTGGTGTGCCAACGAGAAGAGAAACACAGACCACGATCGATGCCGAGCCAGCAACTACCGTGAGCCCCGCTCGGCTCCTTGGCTCCGAGCCATACTTCCGGCGGATATTGATCCCAGAGAAGCTTAATTCTGTGCCTGACCACGTTCCAGTGGGCTCACTGACGTGTTGCAGCGCCTAGCTTAACCTTTGTCACGCGTGTTTTCGGAATACCCCCAGAAACGCCCACTGAGAAATTTTTCTTGGCTCCGCTGCGCGCCGTCCTACCGAGTCTAAGTTGCACTCGTTGGTGGGAACGAACGTCTCGCAGCCCAATCGCCGGCACGAGTTCTGTCGACGCCCTTGTCAGCGCGGTGCACTAGCTAGTCAGGCGATGCCGTGAGACAAGGTTATCAGATCTAATCAATCGCATCAGAACTCCTCCTGACCGGAGATTGTCAATTCATCGTGTTCGTTGGGGAAAAGCCCTTTCAGTGGGACGCGCCGTGTGTGAACATAAAGAGCGAGAGGTCTGCCGTCTGAGGGAACGAGGTTTGGACATGTGAGCATCTGCCTAACTATTGCAACATCGTCAGCGATTCCTACGCAACTTCGCTTTCAATATGGCCTCGCCTCAGTCGCCCATGCCCGCCCGGGACGCCGAGCAGTCGGTTGAGACTCCCAGCTTGCGTAATAGCAATGACGAGAAGACGCAAGCCAACGCCAATGTCGACGCAGCCTCGTCTGACCATGCCTCAGACGACCTCCAGCCCGTGCCCCTGTCGTGGAAGCTGGCGTCCATTGTCCTTGTCACCATGATCGGCTTTGGCTCGAGGTGGAGCTCCGGCATCACGGGCGCCATGAAGAGCACGATGAAGAAGCAGCTCAAGATCAACAACACGCAGTTTTCTCTTCTCGAGGCCAGCGAGGACTTCATGGTCACGGCCCTCATGCTGCTCAGCGGTCTCGTCACGGACCGCATCGGTGGTGCTGGTAAGGCCTGAACGAAAAAGAAACTCCCGTATGAACCATGCAAGCGCTGACAGTGTCCAGGTGCCATGCTCTACGGCAACGTCATCTTTACTGTCGGCTCCATCCTTGTCGCTGGCGCGGCGCAGACCCGCTCGTACAAGTTCATGATTGTCGGCCGCATCATCAGCGCCCTCGGTGACATTGCGACTCAGGTCGCCCAGTACAAGGTCTTTTCCTCCTGGTTCGCCCCGTCCAACGGTTTTGCTTCGACCCTCGGCTTTGAGCTCGGCGTCGGCAAGCTGGGCGCCTTTGCCGGCAAGTCTTCGGCCAACATCATCGCCAAGAAGACGGGCAACTTTGCCTGGGTCTTCTGGGTCGCCGTGTTCATGAACCTGTTCACGAACGTCGTGACGGGCGTCTTCTACTGGTTCACCAGGGTCGCGCACCGCAAGTACCACGGCGTCAGAGACCCCGCCACCGGCGAGACGCTCGTCGAGAAGAAGAAGAAGATGGACCTGCACAAGGTCGTCGAGCTTCCCTGGAGCTTCTGGTGCATCCTCGCCTTTTCTCTCTTCCAGACGAGCACTGCCAATGTGTTCCTGCAGAACGCCACCGAGCTGGCCGAGCAGCGCTTCGACACGAGCTCCATCACGGCCGGCTGGTACAGCGCCACCACGCAATATGCCGGTATGCACCCTGCAGGCGTGTAACTGGTCCTCATGCTCACTGTCTCTGCAGGTTTCTTTATCGCTCCCATCATGGGCATCGTCATGGATCTATACGGCAACCGCGTGTCCTCCCGTACGTCTCCATTACTCTTCTTGGCCTTTTGGCCTTTGGGGCCCCCTTTACTGACACTCGCGCAGTCGTCTTCTGCGGCGTCGGCACCTTCACCGCCATGCTGCTCGTCTGCTTCGCCAGCGGCACCTCGGGCACGGCAGCCTCATTTGGTGTCTTTGCCGTGGCCGTGAACTTTGGCCCCGTCACCATCATTGACTGCATTCGCACGACAATGTGGGACAACTCGGTCTTTGGCACCGCCTACGCTCTCAAGGTCACGATGAACAACGCGTACGTAGCTCCTCGCCCCCCAGGCTGATCATCCATTGCTTCACAGAATACACGTTTCTAACACGTGCCGCAGCATGAACATCATCGTCAGGGTCGTCACGGGCGTCATTCAGGACAACGACAACAACTCGTACGACAAGGTGACGATCGTCTACGTCGTCCTCGCTGGCCTCTCGGTCGTCGTGTCCGCCGTGCTCGTCCTCCTCTCGTGGCGGTCCGTCGACATTCGACACCTGCAGTGGACCAGAAAGCACCGCATCGCGCGCGGCGAGGAGCTCAACGAGCGAAACGAGCGCTTCCACCAGGAAATGGGCGCCAAGAACAGGAAGATCTCCATGATCTGCTTCGGCTCCCTCGTGCTGCTTGTCCTCGGTGGATGGAGTGCGTACTTTTGGGGCGTCGCCACCGGTAACAACAGCTAAACGCCTCGTCTGATGACAACCTCGGTCGCGAGACTGATGAACGCTTAAAATGGGAACTAGGGCATTTTTTTTCTCTACGATTAATGAATCTTATAATACTATTCTCTCAAAATGGAATTCGAAGAGGGAAACATGCACATGGTTCATACAAAAGCCAGCAACACTGTTGTCGTATTAAGAAGTTGGGCTTGTGAGCACCATCTTTGTGGCCCGAGAGCCCTATGAAACCATCCTTTATCCTTCAGGGCCGACTCGGTGCGCACCCTTGCCGTGTGTACCCATTTACAGTAGATACAGCTATGTAGTATGTTGCCAGTCCGAGATGGGAGAGCCGGCTCACAGAAGCCAGCTTGATATTTGCAGCTCCCACGTCAGCCGTGACAGACTGTCCGTATGTGTGGTCCGGGAACCGCGACGCTTAGGCGGCGACGCCAACGGGAACCTGGCACAGGACACCCTGGTTGAGCTGTGAAATGTGGGTTAGTGCGGATCATGAGAGGGCGAGAGATGGCACCTACGAGGTTGAGGGTGCAGCACTTGGCGGCCGTGCCGGCGTCGGCGCAGATCTTCTGGAAGTCCTTGGCCGAGGTGGGAGTCTTGCTGGCTGGAAGAAGCGAGTTAGTACTGATCTCGTGAGCGTTATGTGGGTGACTTACGAGCATCGCAGTTGAGAGCGAGAAGGCCGAGGACGTTAGTAGCGCAGCAGACGGGGGTCATGCTGAGGCCGGAAGGGCAAGGCGCGTAGTCGTTGTTACCGCCGTTGCCTCCGTTGTTGCCTCCGTTGTTGCCACCGTTGTTTCCGCCGTTGCCTCCGTTGTTGCCGCCATTGTTTCCACCATTGCCGCCGTTGTTTCCGCCGTTGCCTCCGTTGTTACCGCCGTTGTTACCACCGTTGTTGCCGCCATTGCCGCCGTTGTTTCCGTTTCCACCGTTGTTTCCATTGCCACCGTTTCCGCCGTTGTTTCCACCATTGCCGCCGTTGTTACCGCCATTGCCTCCGTTGTTGCCTCCGTTGTTGCCTCCGTTGTTGCCTCCGTTGTTGCCTCCGTTGTTGCCTCCGTTGTTGCCGTTACCACCATTGCCACCATTGTTGCCACCATTGCCGCCGTTGTTACCGCCGTTGTTGCCGCCGTTGTGACCACCGTTGTGGCCTCCGTTGTTACCACCGTTGTGGCCTCCGTTGTGTCCACCGTTGCCACCGTAGGGCGCAGGAGTGTAGGAGTCGGTGGTGGGGAGGGCAGCGGCAAGGCCGACGAAGAAGGCGACGGCGACAGTGGTGAACTTCATTTTGATGGTTGGGGGTTGGAGAACGAGGAGGTTCTGAAAGAGTGATTATTAGAAATAGTAGAGAGTGAAGTAAATGATTGAAAGCTGGAGTGTGATGCTGATGAGGAGAGGAGAAAGACTGCTGGAGAGAGACTGCGAGCTCTTGATTTATAGACAATCTCCATGGCCTTGACATTCTGCCGGCGGCTTCTCGAATCGAGTGACAAAGAGAAGGGCGAGACGCAAGCTCCCTCGATCCGTCGTGATGCTGGCGTGGAGATGCCGCTTGAGCGTCGTGTCTCACGGGAGTGAAGGCCAAGGGAGGAAAAGCACCGCCGAGGACTGAGGCGAATGTACTTTGTGCATCTAGGGAGGTTCATTTTGAGTTGCTTGACTTGACTCCGGTGCGCTTGTCTGCGGACCGCCGCTGCCGGGGCAATGTCGTAGGAGTGTTTGATTGAATCCCATATTGACAAGACATGATCAAGGGAGCTCAGGAGCCGTAGGAAGGTTCATCATGAAGCGTTGTTTCCTGGAATTTCGAGGCTCGTGACATATCTCAGTATGTTTGCACGATGAATACCGAACAGCGTGCTACCAGCAGCCGTTGCGGCCAACGGCCAGCAGCCAACAGCGCAGTGTGCTAATTCAGGGCAGAGGCGTCCACATCTGGCCGGGTCGGGATGCTTGAGGATGCAGTCTGCAGAAGAAATGACAGGTCGGTCTCCATCGGTTCGCCGGGAAAAGCAATGCTTGTGCGACCAAGCCGCAGCCCCAACCCTTTGGTCTCAAAGCCAAGCTATGCCGTGGGTGCCGTCAACCCAGGGAGAAAATTGACATTGCATTGAGACTCTTGTGCCGCGCCGTGTCAGGGCGAACAAGAAGACCTTGAGTAGGCGGCTGTCGAGGGTAACATGACAGCTCGGCCACGGCCAGAGACGCTCAAGATGCTACTACCATGCGAGTCGTCGATAGTATTTCCTGCCAGTGACAGGAGTCATGTCTGTGTAACGCCCAGCTGCAATGATCGAACGCTGTGGGGTCAGTGATGTCTGTCCCAATCAGAGGCGGGTAGCGGTGTCAGTGTCTCATCTCAACGTCCTCCGCCGCTCCGTGATTCAAGGTACCGGATAGTGAGTACAACTTGCAGGCGCTAGTGATGGCACCCCTTGATCGTCTCGATTATTGGAACCTCATTTGCTCACCATTGCCCTTTTCTCCGTGACCAGGCCATGGCTTGTCTTCCGAGGGTCTGGACAAAATTGCAATTTTGTTCACGCTCTTTCTCCGCCATGGTTGTCTCACGAAGTGGCACCATTCTAGGCCCAAGTTTGCCTCGGAGCTTGCCTGCATGGCGGTGTAAGAGGCATCAAGGGTTGTCGGTGGTAACCTCAGTAACCTGCAGCTTCTCGGAACATAACATCTTGGTTGCTACCCAGAGGTGAGCATCAAGCTGAAGCGTTCTGTAGAGGAGCCGGGGTCGGCGAGGCAGGCAAATGAAGCCCCGTGGGCAATCAGGTGAACCAGAGAGCCACCAAATGTCAGGTGCGTCATCATTCGCTTTGGCCTGGGGATACCAATTTCCCGGTACAACGTATGGGATTCGGCAAAAGCAGTCTATCGGCCCATTGCCGGCATCAAAAAAGGAAGCACCCAAAGGGGCTTTGACGGGGTCGAGGCTCTGAGCCACTGTGGGGTACAGCACCCGAGACAAGGTGCTTCTTCTGTCTATCCTCGCCGCCGGCTCGGCCTTCCGGTCCAGCCACGGTAGGCGCGTTGCCGTCTGGGGATGAGCCGTTGCCGGTGGGGAGGTTGAGGGTCTGTCATGATGCATGTCTCGATGAGTGCGCCGAGCTGAAGCAGGTTGCGTAGCGACACAAGACAGCATCAGTACTCCTTTTCAGAGACTTGCACAATGCACAAACAAGCAACGCCGCCCGATGTGGTCTGGAGGCAATTTGCCCCTATCGAAAAGGTTTACGAGTGCAGCAAAACTTTAGGCCCCTGCATGGGATTGTTTGCTGACTGGTTGACCATGAGACGGTCAACAGCCGCCAAATGTTGCAACCTGCATCGTCCCAGTTGCCATTCCACAGTTTCTGTTACGACCTGTCTATCATTAGCAAACTGTTGAGTACCAGCAGGGGTCCCGGCCGGGACCTGGGTGGGCGCGCGGAAGCGAAAGCCTCGTGAGACTCATTCTGGTTGAAGTTGCTGCTAACACGCCTTGAAGGTGTTCTGAAAAACTACGTGCCTTGAAAGAGTCCGGGTCTGGATGGTAGCCGTCAACCCCGCGACTAAATTACACCATCATACCACCAACGACGTCGTCAAAGACTTCGTAGTTGCCCTCGCTCCTGGTGTCGAGAACAGCAAACACGACATCCGTCCACCAGCCTCCGGCGAACTCGTTCTCGCCAAGAACCTCTCTCCAGCACCTCGCAACCTCGCCTGGCGGGTTGTGGAAGGCACCGCATCCCAGTGCCCCGAGCACGAGCAGTCCGTGACTCTTGGCAGCGGCCATGCGAAGACAGAGCCGCATCTTGCCCTTGGTCACGTCCCGGTCTCTGGGATCGGCAAACTCGATGCGCTCCTCGGCCCCCGCGATTGTTTGCAGCCGGACTTTCCTGGTCGTGGGGTTTCGCAGTGCCGCTATGCTCAAGACGCTCACGACAGGCAGCGTGCCAAGACCGTCATCCGGGATGAGCAGATCATGCCCAGACGCCATGTCCTCGCGGATGATGACCACATCTGGGGAGTAGATGCCCATGAGGGCGTGATCGAATGGGTAGTATCGCTTGTGCAGAGACAGGTAGAGCGAAGATCGGTAACAGAGGGCCTCTTCTTGGGCTCGCGCGCCTTTGAGCCAGCCGCCGCCAGCTCGATAATCTGAGGCGAGGTTTAAGACGGCGACGCGACCGCCATCAGGATGTGCTTCGGCAAGTTCCAGCGCAGCATTGAATGTGTCGGCATTCACGACTCTGATCGTTGCCCGAGGATGTTGCGGGCAGTCGAGCAACTTGAGTGGAGGCAAGGTCGCGAGGTGGAGGGCTTCTGAATTCGAAGCATTGACATGGGGCAGGTGAGGCAGTATGTCGGGGAGGACGGTTCGAGTCTCCTTGGCGACTTCGGCTAGATCTCTATTGCGGCGCGTGCTGTCCGGATTGTGTGCTCTGCGGTCTCGTCCATGGCCACCTCGTCCGTGTCCTCGAGCACGATTCTGGCCGCGAGGGAATCCGCCGCGTGCACCGCGCCAGGTGGATGCGGGGTGTGAGGAGTTCATGTTGTTCTGCTGGTCATTGGGCTGTGGTCTTGGCCGCTGTGATGCGGCTGAGAAAAAGTCGCTGATATTTGTCTGTCGCGACATGATGTAAGAGGCCAAGAAGGAAGTACCCAAGCCGCACTTGCCGACTGACGACACTACTTGAAAGTGAAGAAGGTACGATCTGGGGGCAAGATGAAGCTCGTGAGAGAAGGCGCACCTGACAGCTGGGTGTACGTAGCGGCTTGCTGTTGTTGGATTGGACGATTGCAGGCTGGGGCGTAGCGCCAGACCCCACTTCACACGAGTTTGAACAGGCAGCCACCACCACCACTGGTGATGGCCTGTGAGCATCGTGAGGACCAAAACCGTGAAAAGGGTATCATGAGTCTATGTTAATGATGATACATATGCTTACAGTTTGACACGCGACACACTTAGTCGGCAATGCACATTCACGCCCGCGTCTTGATGGCCCCGTCAGGCACAGCATCACCAGGCTCAAACTTCCGGGGAATCAGCCCCTGCGCCATCTCAATGGCCCCCTCCATGTCGTTCTTGTTGAACAGGAAGAGGCCCTGGATGGCTGCCGTGCTCGTGTGCCGGTGTCTCGTTTCGTCATCCTGGCCATTGCCAAACAATCCAAGCTCATCGAGCCTGGCAAGGAACCTCTCGCGAGCCGACCCGTCAACGTCGATGTCGCCATAGAATCGATCCCACATCTGGCTTGCCTGGTGCCTTGACGCCTCGCCGATTCGCATCATCATGTCTACACGCCCTGGTCGAATCAACGCAGGGTCCAAGCGATCGATGTGGTTCGTCGTCAGGAACGCGATGCGCTCCTCTCCCGCTGCCAGGCCATCCAGTGCGTTGAGCAGTCCAGAGAAGGTGACTGTCGCACCGTTGTAGCCGTCCGTGTCGCGTTGTCGCCGGTTGACAAACGCCGCATCCGCATCTTCCAGCAGCAGTATGCTGCGCTTCGGAAGCTTCGTCAGGAGAAAAGCCAGCTTGTCGTCCGTCATGCCCATCTCGCTGAGGTTGACCATGGCCACGCTAAAGTCCAGCTCGCCCGCCAGCGCTTGGATGAACGAGCTCTTGCCACTGCCAGGCGGACCAAACAGGAGGTAGCCTCTCCGGTAGGGGATGCCCCGGTCGACGTACCACTGCTGTCGCGTCATAAAGTCCTTGACGTCGTCGACGATGCCCTCCTTGACGCCCTCGTCTAGCACCACGGACGCCAGCGGCCTCTTTTTCCTCGGTTCTCCCAGCGGCGCCCAGTCCATGCCCCTCGCCGAGTACACAATCGTCTTGCCCTCCTGCGCCTTTGCCGCCAGCATGTGCGCCTCGGCGAACACGTCTTCAAAAATGTGTCGGTGCGCCCACAGCGCCGTCAGCTGCACAACCTCGTGCGGCTCTCCCGTGTTCATGTTTGCCGTATTGTGCTTCTCGCGATTGACGGCAATGTACGCGTTCTTGTGCTTGATCACATGGCGTCCGTATCCGGGCTGCAGGAAGAAGTGTGCTGGACCGGGGCCCCCTCCGCTAAGCGCACCACCTCGGGCGCCCGCCGTGGTCGTCTGCACGGAGAGGTTGTGGATGCGCGTGATGCGCGACGCGACAAAGCCCGGGGTCGGCCGCGGCTGTGAGAGCCAGGCGAGGATCCATGGGTAGGCGGGGTCTTGCTTGCTGATCTCGACATTGACGAGGAGGCGGCGGCGCGCGGCGCCCGCGGCGATGAGGACGCCCTTGCGGCCAAACGCGGCTACGGCGCCGATGGATGCGAGCCCGATGCCACCGGCGAAGAGAGGATTATCGAAGAGTGTATTGATATTGAGGAGGGATGCAGCGTCTGGCGAGGTCGAGGACATGACGAGGGGGGTCGGGGTTCGGTGAGGTGCATGACAGACGAGAGAGTGTCGCGATGGCATGCTCGAAATTTCCATTGCTGGACAAAACGACTATGTTGACTAATCTCGGTGGGTCGGTGAGACCCGGTAAAGTGGAGGCTCGGTGAGCTACCCCTGGATATCTTGAACGCTATATAGCTATGGCTGTGTGGTCAACACGTCGTGGATCGGATTCGAGCAGGAAAAGCTGATTGCTCGTAACTCGGCAAATTTCTGTTCAGAACCCGTCTCCATGATAATCATCAATCCAAGGTTCCCCTTGGATTACCTCTCGGCACAACGTACAAGCTATTTGGTAGGCATCTTTCAATGTATGAGTGTTCCTACGACTGGCATAGAATACTAAGTGATTCATGATCGTGTAAATCCGACATTTGAAACACCTGTTACGGCCCGTGATGCTCGCCAATCCACGTGTTTCATGAATGGGTTGATACACGTAGCAATGACAACAAGTAGAACATGGGCCTTCGAGAATAGTGGCTCAATCAACATAGGACACTCGCGTCTTCAGATAAAGGTTTGTATTGCTCTGTCATCTCTGACTGGTATTGATCTTGCCACAGGGATAAGCTTTCATGAAACTTTCTCAGCGTCAAGAACATATGCGCTATTGAACGAATCTGCATTTTCCAAGCTATGCGGTTTGAACGAACGGTACGTATTGGGCCCGACCCTGTTGCCCAACTTTCTGACTTAATCGTCAATCCCGAAGTAGGAGTACTGGTGGATGTCACGCCACGATTGCGCCCAACGAGACTCCCACTACGTGGTTTGTCAGACGGTGTGAGACTGGCAAAGGTCCAAAGGACGTTTCAAACCAAGGGTGGGTTGGGAGCGGCCTGCTTGGGCGTCAAACTAAGGATCGGAGGTTCGAATCAGTTTGTAGCTCACCCTAATCATCCTCAACAATAGCGATGTCGTTCTCAGTGAATTCTCTAGCGCAATGACTGATCCTGGAACAGCCCCTGGTGTATCCATTGGCAGGACCTTCTGTTGCATAGTAGCACCGTTTGATGGGCTCGTTCGGGCCGTAGCATGCGAATGTGTCTTTCTTCAGTGCGCCGTAGGAAATATATGTTCTTTCCCCTTTGCCAGCCATTGCCAGCGTGACGAAGGAAGCGATAACAAGAGTTCCGATTTGCATCTTGCCAGTTAAGTCTTGTAGGAAGATTGAATTATTTGGACCCAGTGATGAAGGATGAGGTGCTGTGACGGCCAGTGTAGTGGCGGACAGGTAAGGTAGGTACTTATAGGCAATCTCGGTGTCATCTCTTCTGCCTCGACAGAACCTCCCGCACCCGAATTTACAAGCCGATTATACAAGCCGATCACGTCGAAACTGCGTCCAAGAGATGATTTTCGCATGACTGCAAACTCTTGAAGCCGAGACATGCTCTTACGCGAGCTGCAACGTGAAAGTCAGGGCTGAGTCAGGCACGGAAGCGAACGATTGACTCTGCACTTGATACCCATCGTGGCATCGTGCCATGCTTATGCAAGGCATGTCTTGTTAATATGCTAAAGGAGTTCCATCCATGACGTTTGTCCACGTGTTAGTTCTAGTTCCCGCAGTAGTAGTGGCTCACTTTTAACTCTGTCTCCAATAGCCTACAATGGTGAATAACAAGCTGGCCATCTTACTCTGCGAGGTCTCTGGTCCTTTCCGCGGGTTGCCAGCTAGTTGAACTAATACACATGCTCTTTCAATCTTTTAGTGCACAATACTAGGGAGACAGCCCTGTGTCATCGATTCATCGCAGTCGCCTGGCATAGAGCGCAACTTAGGCTCCACTTCTACACCGCCCATGTCTAGGGTTAGGAATACCCAAATGGTCTCGTGGGTATTGTGGGGGAGTGGATATTTGGGCTTTCTAGGTTACGGTACCCAGAGAGAACCCATAGGCTGAAATGGGTTGACCCAATAACGCATAGAATTTATTTGGGTATTTGGGTCAACCCGGTTTATCCTATAGGTTCTCTCCAGGTAGAAGCTAGGGCCTATACAAGGCCTACGAATATGAATAATTTGAATAGGTATTGATTAGCTATATATCTTGGTAAAACCTAAAGATACCCAGGGCCCCACTACCTACTTAGTTTTGGGTTTTTTCCTAGGTAGCCCATTTAAGCCCAAAACCCATTTAGGTAGTGGAGTAATGGGTTTTGGGCGGGTTTTGGGTTCTTACGCTAAGTCTCTCGGTACCCGATAGGTCAGAATCTTTGGGTATTCCTAAGCCTACCCCTATCACCTCGAGCTGCTAACGAAAGCCTCCGTTCAATTCGTACCGTCTTCTAAAATTAAAGGGCCGATGAACAACCTCAAGATCGATCTGGGAACCGATAATAAATGTTCCGCGGATCAGCCAGTTCTTCCTCCTGAGTCGGGAGTCTCTTAACCACCTTTGCTGGCGACCCAAGGGCAACAGAGAAAGGCGGCAGGCTTCGAAACACAACCGATCCTGCGCCCACCGTAAGCCTCAACCGATCGTGACCCCGGCAAGAACCGTGACATTGCCCCCGATCCAGCAGTCGTCCTCAATACGTACCTGATGGCCAAACTCGATGCATTTAACGCGGGACAAGACGCTCGTGTCATGACCTGCGCTGTAAATGTGCACGTTGGGACCGAGCATGACGCGCTCGCCAATGATGACCAGGCTCGTGTCCAAGACGGTGAAGCCAAAGTTCATGTACGAGTTCTTCCCAATGATTACGTTGCAGCCGTAGCCTGGCGTAAACGGAGGCTCTATGAAGACGCCTTCTCCCACAAACCCGAGCCAGCGCTTGAGAATCTCGAATCGCTTGGCGGCCACTTGGTCTGCTGTTCCGAGGGACGGCGGCATGGTGTTGTACTCATGCACCAGGATACGACATTCGTGACGAGCATTCGTCAACGGCGGAATCCAAGAATCATATCTTTGTGCAGAGGTCAGTCGTTGGCCTGGTCCTAGCAATCGGGGCTTGGTCTTACAGCATGCCGGAGATCATCTTCTCATATTCGTCACACCATGGTGTCCCCCCTGAGGGTGCGGGCTGTTTCGATGAGGGCAACATCCTTCTGCTCTTTGACGGATGCCATTGTTGATTTTCTTGAGGAAGACTCCGGCAGACTAGAGAGCCTGTATAAGAACTTTGTAGGATGTCGTCTTTTAAGCCAATTGAGTTACACAAGGCGGGAAATTGACCAGTTTTCCAACAGCTTTCCGTCCCCTCTTTCTTGGCGACCTCCGCATCTTCCTTCCCCGGATGACTGAGCCTCATTTTACGCAGCCTATTGCTAGCAGATGTTTGTTGGCTTTGGACAACGAGACATCCTTGGGAATCAATGGAGAGCTTGAAGAGCGGTTGTGATTTGTCAATATGTCCGTGTCATGAGGCTGTCTCAAGTGACAGCTCAGCAAGTGAGGCACTCGGATCACACCCCGTACGCACGTCATGCGGATTATATTCTCGCAGGGTCATCAAGAACTACAAACAGATTCAGGGCAAACGCAATGACATTTGACTCGGGGAATTGATTTCCCTTTGACCAAGCTGCCTACCCATTTCCCAACCGCGAGACAAGCTTCTCGCGGATTCAACAACCACCAGACTCCTCGCTCGCCCCGTTCATCAATCTCATCAGCCTTGGTAAACACTTTTCCGCTGCGCCGCTCATTCAATTGGGTTGATCCGTCATTCTCGAACGCCATGGCATGGTATACTGGCCGGTAGCACCGTCAGAAGCCTAGGCCTTGGCTTCATTGGCGGCCGTGAACGCCGCGATGGCATCCATGAGCGGAGGGTTCAGAGCATCATAGGACTCGAGGCCAAGAGACTTGAACTGAGCCCTCACGTCGTCAATGTGTCTCGCGTCGAAGCCCTGCTCGATGATCGAAGTCACAAAACCGGCAAACTGGGGCTCCTGCCAGCCCTTCTCATCGGACAGCTCGGTGTGGACAAAGTCGAGGCCCTTGAAGGCGTGGTCCTTCTCGATACGGCCATACAGATGAACGCCGCAGCCGGTGCAGGCGTGGCGCAGGATAGTGGCGCTAGGGTCGACAACGGCCAGCTTGTCGCCGTTGGCCGTCACCTCGAGCTTGTCAACGGGCACGACGGAGACGATGGAGAACAGAGCACCCTCTGGCTTCCAGCACTTGGAACAGCCGCAGGCATGGTTGTGGACGACGTTGCTGCGGAGAGTGACTGTGACGGGCGAGGTTGAACACTTGCACTTCAGGACACCGCCCTGGAAAGAGGGGTCTCCCTTGGTGATGCCGTTGACAAGAGAAGGATGGAGGGGGAAAGACATGTTGGTAGATTGCGGTTTCCTTATAGTCAACTGAAGCAAGGGTGGTAACTATTGTCGATGGTTTGATTGGGTGAGCCGTGGGTGGGAATGAGTAACTGAGAACCCTGATGGAAGCCCATCAACATTGAGTGTTCTTTATACTTGCGCCTTGCCATGTTGGCCAGGTTGTGATCAATGGCCCGGAATTTCCAAGAGTGCAAGGCGGGAAGCAGAAGCGGAGGAGGTTTGTCGCTGGGAGCTCGTGCGCCCTTCCGAGCGATTCCGAACACCGACAATCAACCCCAGAATTTCGACTTGCCGAGATATCACCACTAGTAAACCTGGGGCAAGGAAACTCTATATGCATTTCAACTCCCTAGCCTATACCCCTGCATGTGGCGTGATCTCGAGCCGTGAAGGCGCATAGGAGGGATGGAACTTACACTACCTACCACTGCTGTCATTCGAACGAATCAGACCTGGCCAGTCCAAGTACCCGAGAGCATCGACTCGGCTTCGGTCCCTGCCCCGCGTGCGTGCCGCGTACCGGGGGCAGTAGAGCCGACGACTTGAGGAGAAGCCGCGCTGGTCATGTCCAAACTAAGGCGGAGTTTCGGGGGATTGGAGGAGACCGCTGACATTTGACATGACTGCTAGCTTCAGGGGTCTGACGATGGTTTCTCTGCGGCTGACCGGGAGAGGTGCGTGTGACAGTTCCAGCCAATTCAATCGCTCAGAACGGGTGATTCGTTGGCGATGCTGTCGTAGGTTGGCATCTAAGGCGGTTGCTGTCTGGGCAACCCCGCTCTACTCAACGTGAACGAGAAGCGGATGGCATGATTTGGCTCAGGCATTCTGTTCGACATCGAGAGAAGCAACAACAGGGTCGCAGCAGAGCATTGGATCGCCAGCAATTCCGAACCATCTCCGACTGAGCATCTTGGCGACGTACAAGAGGTAGCTGATGATGTTTCAAGTCGTCGGCTACTACTTGGTACAACTGCCGCTTGGAACACCGGTCGCGAATATGGGCGATCGCCGGCTGTCGATTGCACGGCAGTTGTCTGTGGGAGCGGCAGACTTGCGGTTATATATTCATATCAAGGGAGCTTCTGGCGTCTTTTGAGAATAAGCTGCAGGTTGTGATTCCTGTTTCATGGATTGTCTTTGCCTGCTTGAGGCATCTACTTCGCGTCAGACTGATATACTTCCTTGGTGCTCAGGTAGGTAGGGTACTTTGCCTTGGGCGACACAGGCCAAATCGACGAACGGGAGGTGCGAATCCGTGCAAAGGCTCTCGATATAGGGAGCCTCTCAACAATGAACCATTCTAAGGCCTTTATGATCGAGGCGACAAGTCTCTTGCCTGCCGACTGATTAGGTACCTAGGTAGGTAGGTATCTAGGCAGGCAGGCAGGCAGGCAGGCATGCACATGGGAAGGAGCTGCCGCTGACAGACCGAGCCACAGACAGTGGCTGTGCAGCTCTGGTGCCTGGTCCATGACGTCGGCGACAGGGCGACAGAAGACGAGATGCCAAATGTTGGGATGTGGGCAGCCATCATTGAGGGGTAAATGCATGCGTGTCTCTTGACGTCAACAGCTGTTTTGCATATCGCCATTTCCGATGATCCTGATCTCGTCTCAACCTCATCTGAGAACCACCCACGAGCTTCGTTGCCTAACCCAGTCGGACCCAAAAGTTTAATCCTGAGAGACCCCTAATTCCACACAACGACAAACCCATTCTTGGCTCTTCAGCGCGGTCCCAGTGCCCCGCCGTCTCCCCCCTAAGCCTATCCACCACCCCCTGTGCTCAAGTGCGCAGGCATTCGCCAAGGCAACCAAAAACAATTGCGGCATCTCCTTCAACCCCGCTGACATCTTCGCCATCCCCATCAAATAAACACGCATCGCACAGTACATATCGTGCCACACGACGACGGCTGCGTACTCCTGCATCGTCAATCGACCCGACCTCCACAAGACGGCAACGACTCTCTACTCCCAGTTTGCATAAACATGGCCTCTCAGGCAGAAGCACAGGGCTCCGTGGCTGGCTCTAGCAGCTGGACTTCTTTCGTCAAGGTATGTCGCATGACCTCGCAGCTTCCCTTGTACCAACCCGCGTTAACAAGCTCCCAGTCCATTGCTTCCTTCAACGGCGATCTTTCCTCCCTGACAGCGCCCCCTTTCATCGTCTCGTCGACCTCCCTCACAGAGTTCTCCTCCTACTGGTGTGAACATCCCTCGCTGTTCGCGGCCCCCGCCAAGGAGGCCGACCCCGCGAAGCGCGCCCTGCTCGTCCTCAAGTGGTTCGTCAGCACCCTGAAGCAGCAGTACGCCAGCCGCAGCGAGCAGTACGGAAACGAGAAGAAGCCGCTGAACCCCTTCCTCGGCGAGCTTTTCCTCGGCAAGTGGGAGGACGCCGTGGGCACGACTGAGCTCATCAGCGAGCAAGTCAGGTGAGTTTTGTGTACCTACCTGACCTATGACGGCTCGCCTGGATCAGCAGCGGATGGATTTGCTGACGGATGCAACTCGACAGCCACCACCCGCCGGCGACGGCCTACTCGATTAATAACCTCGCCACGGGCGTCCACCTCGAGGGCTACAACGCGCAAAAGGCCACCTTCAAGAGCACCATCAACATCAAGCAGATCGGCCACGCTGTCCTGACGGTGCCGATCCCTGGCGACGCCGACAAGAAGACGGAGACGTACCTCATCACGCTGCCGTCACTGCACATTGAGGGCCTCCTCTTCGGCTCGCCCTTCATCGAGCTCGATGGCTCCTCCTTCATCACCTCCTCCTCCGGCTTCACCGCCAAGATTGACTACTCGGGCAAGGGCTGGCTCTCGGGCAAGAAGAACACCATTTCGGCGGTGCTCTACCCCACGGGCCGCGAGAAGGAGGTCCTCTACAATATCTCGGGCGTCTGGACCAAGACGTTTGAGATCCACTCGGGTCCCGCCAAGACGAACTCGTCCAAGACGCTCGTCGACTCGCACGACGCCACAAAGGTCGAGCCCACGGGCCTCGTTGTCGCGCCCGTCGAGCAGCAGCACCCGCTTGAGTCCCGCCGCGCCTGGGCCAAGGTGGCCGCCGCCGTCGCCAAGGGCGAAATGGACACGCTGTCGTTTGAAAAGTCCAAGATTGAAAACGCCCAGGGGGAGCCGCGCCAAGGAGCGCAGCGAGGGCGCGTCTGGGAGAGGCGCTACTTCTCCGAGTTCAAAGGGCAGGACCCGTGCTCGAGTCGCTCGGCACGCACGTCGGCCTGCCGCTGACGGGCGACGCCGACAAGACGGGCGGCCTGTGGCGCTTCGATGCCGAAAAGGCCGAAAAGGTCCGCAGCCAGCCGCCGACGAGCGAGGAGGCCAACCTGGCGCTGGCCAAGGAGGCGCTGGGACAGTAGGCGCTGGGACAGTAGGCGCTGGGACAGTAGGCGGCTGCGGCGGGGGACACGGACGGCACGGATCGAGCACACGAGGGATCGAGGCCATCCACAGTAGCACGGTGGCGCCTGGAGTTGAGGTCAAGTTGGGTGCGGTATGCCTTGTAATGACAACATTATCCTTTTGCCTTTGCGGCCTTGTGCGTTTCTCGAATGCGGTTGTGTATCGATGACGTCTGCGTTCTGGAGTGAGGGAGGCAAGTCTAATCACTTCATCTAGCTCTATTGTACAAGGCTGTGTAATCTGTGTCTGCATCTGCGTCTGCGTCTGCGTCTAATCACGCGACCGCTCTTCTAACCTGCCCGGCTCTGCACCCAACGTTTAATGTCCAACTTTTGTAGGCTGTCGCCGCGGTCGCTCTGCCGGGAGTTCTAATGCCCCCAGCTAGTCCTTGTAGCCAAAAAAAAAAAGAAAAAAAAAAGACAAGAAAATTCATCTATGCATCCAATGCAGCAAAACGCCCACCATGCAAGATAGTACAAAACACAAAACGTCGCCTCTTCGTCTCATCACTACGCCAGCGAGACGTACCCCTCGCGCCCGAACAAGGCGAGCACCCTGCTCACGCAGCCGCCCCGGTCGTCGCCCGCGGCGTCCTCATCCTAACACGCATCGCCGCCGCCGCCGCCGTCGTCGTCCTTGTCGAGCTCGTAGAAGAGGAGGTACACCTCCCTCTGCATGCCGAGGACCTCGCCCGTCTTGGCCTCGCGGATCTTCTCGTCGCTGATGCGCCACCAGCGGTCTGGCGTCTTGCGCTTCCGGTGCGGCCTCGGCGCCGGCGGCACGGCCATGGGCGTCGCGCCATCGACGGGCGTCGCTGTGTCGGAGACGGAGACGGTCCCGCTACCGCTGCCGCCGCCGCGGTCGCGTGACAGCGAGATGCGCGAGAGGGCCGAGCGCGTGGACGCCGCGACGGAGCGGAGGCTCGCCGTGTCGTCCCGCTCTCGCTCCCGGTGCGGCGAGCCGTTGGCGTCGTCGCCGCCGCGGGGCGCGGAGGTTGGGCTCAGGCGCTGGCGCAGGGAGCGGGGCCGCGAGGGCGAGGCGTCGGACGCCAGCGAGTGGGTGGACGAGTTGGCCGTCAGCGGCAGGTCCGGGGTCGAGACGGCGGGGCTGTCGCCGCGGGAGAGGGCGTGGAGTCGGGGCGTCGAGCTCGGCGACGCCGACTTGCTGTAGATGCCGGCGGGCTGGAACGTGTTGAGGTTGGGGTAGGGCGCGTGGACAATGGTCTGGCGGCGGAACGACTCGTAGTGGCCGCTGTGGTGGCTGCCCTTGTGCGTGACGAGGGCGATGAGCTTGTAGCGGCGGCGGTCGGTCAGGCCGCCGAGGGGCAGGGACTCGGGGAAGGAGACCTTGGCCGAGTTCTTGGTCGAGGCCTGCGTCTCGTAGATGGAGCGCGAGAGGTGGATCGTGAGGACCTTGGGGAACTTTGTGATGCGAGCGGAGCGCGCGATGCGCCGCTTGGGCGCGTAGCGCGAGTCCGGCAGCGTCACGTCGTCGGGGACGTCGTCGGGGTCGAACGCAATGGCGTGCTGCAGCTTTTTGAGCTCTTCCGTCTTGGCGTGCCGGAAGCTGTCGGACGAGGACTTTTCAATCTCCTTTTTGAGCATTTCCTCGGCGTGCACGAGGCGGCACTTTTCGCACTTGAAGTCGTCAATGTACTCCGTTTTGAAGATCTCGTCAAAGCACGAGCTCAGCGTCGTCGACCTGACCTGCGGAACGCGGAGGGTCAGGGTCACAAACGTCTCGGTTTTCGGCGCCGACTTGTGGCCGCACGTCTGGCACTCGAGCTGCGATTCGTGCTGGCCCTCCATGGGGAAGCCCTCGTCCTCGTCCTGCAGCGCATTCGGCACGACACCGTTGGTCTGTATCGTGGGTGGTGTGGGGTTGGCTGAAGAGTCGGTCCCTGTGGCACTACCGGAGCTGTTCGGGTCAGCCGCCGTCGCTACCGTCGCCGCCGCAGCCAAGCCTTCGAGCCTCTCCTGAATAGCGACGCCGTCGACGGGCTGCGAAGCAATGGTGCCCTGGGCGACGGCGTTCCTCGCGTGGGCCCTGGCGCGCTCGCCGGCGTGGTACTCGTCCTTGAGACGCTCGGCGACGATCTGCAGAAACTCCTGCGCATCCTGCTGCTGGCGGCTGATGCGCTGCTTAAAGGCCTGCTCGAGGACCTTGACAAAGTCGGCGGCCGAGGTGCTCTTCTTGTAGATGGGTCTCTCGTTGAGGGCGTCAAGCATATCTTTGAGGCCCTGCGAGACGATGCCCTTTTGGAGGTTCTGCAGCTTCCACTGCGGCAGCGCCTGGCCTGCGGGCTGGACGAGATGGGCGTAGACGGCGGGGTCCTCGATGTACCGCCTGTGCGTCTCGCGGATCAGATAGATGCGGAGGTCGCCCAGGCCGGCGAGGGCCTGGAGGGTCGAGTTGATGAAGCAGTCGTTGGCATAGTTGCGCAGGCCGACGACGCCTTTTTTGCGTGACGATGATGTGGCGGCCTCGTCAATGGCGAAACTGGGAGCAAAGACGTAGACGAGAGCGATGGCGGCGAGGGAGGCGCCGGCAGCGTAGGAGATGGTGGTGATCTGTTTGTCGGGCATTTTGGAAGTAGGTGGAGGCGGGCGCCTCAGAGGTGGAGGGGAACAGGCTGTCGTCGGCGAGGAGAGGGCCACAGCCAGAGCGAGTTGACAATGGAAGTCGGGTTGCAGAAAGGGGGGGGGGGGGAGCGGGGAGCTCGGCAGGGCCGGCAGAATGCTCAATGCCGATCGGAAGTATCGATCAAGGTAGACCAGAGAGAGGTCAGCGGACTGACGTAGAAGGAAATGTCAGAGTCGTAAGCGAAGCCATGCAACATTGTACCCAAAAGAACAAAACTGGTCTGGCAATCTGCAGAGCGTCGTTTGTCGTAGGCACCAAGGGCGCCGGCGGACAAGTCGGGGAAGTAGAGGTCCGCGGCGCGGTGGGCGTGGGAGAAAAGAATCTGGAGAAAAAGCCGGGGATCCGACTGAACCACGAGAGGGGCAGGCTGACAGCGGGCGACAAAGAGAGACCCGAAGCAAGACGAGGCGGACGAAAGCTAGTCCCGTCTGTTCCTAGCACGAGGTCGGACCGAGCGTCGATGGTATCCTGGTGCCTGTTTCTCCGCACCGCCTCTTGTGGGCGTGCCTGTGCCTGTGCCTGTGGCGTGCCTGTCTGTGCCTGACGTGGAGCAGCATCGGACAAGGGCAATTGGACAGAGACCTCCGGGCTGGCGTTTGGAAGTGGCCGTTTGGTCGTTGTGGTGGAGGCTTGGAGGGCCAGGATCGAGGCTTGGAGAGCCAGGATGGAAGCCTTGGGCTTGGGAGGGAAGGGATCTGGAAGAATCCGCCGCCCCACGTTTGTGCGTTTGTGCGTTTGTGCGCGTTTGTGTGCGTGCGCAACCTGTCGGGTCTTCGGATCCGGGTGCCGACGGCTGACTCATCTGACCCTCCGGGTAACGGGGGGATTGTTCAAATATCAAAGCGAGGAACGACTGTTTTTTGGTCAGAATATCGTTCATCATTATCGCATCTTTCTCGTCATCTCATTACACGTGCCTTGACATGCTTGGTATGGTCCATGCTTGACATGGTTGACATGCTCGACGTGCTTGACATGCTTGACATTTGACCCGCTAGTTGGGCGCCACGTACTCGTTAATCGTCGGCGCCGTCGCCAGGTCAATCTTGACCTTCCACAGGCTCGTCGCCTGTCCGAAGCTCTCCTTGACCGCCTCGCTGCCGTATACACGCATCTCCTTCTCGTACGCCTCGGTCACGCCCCGCCAGTGCTCGCCGTCGCCGCGCTCCCAGGCTTCAACGAGGAGCCTGCCGAGCAGAGCCGCGTCGCGCACCGCCGTGTTCGCGCCGTTGCCGCCAGCAGGCGTCATGGCATGGATGGCGTCGCCAATGACGGTCACGCGCGGCTCGTTCGCCCACGTGGGCACGCCGTTGGGGTCCGAGCACGAAATCTTCCAAAACGCCGCTTCCTGCTCGTTCATGTTGTCGAACAGGGGCTTGACGCGCTCGTGCCAGTGGGCCGTCAGCGCCTTGGCAATCCGGGCCGCCGGTGCGCCCGTCATGGTGTAGTCGTCGCTCGGCGCCTTGATGACGCCCGGCGAACCGACCATGGTCCACCCAAAGACCACGTTGGGGTCGTGCATGTCGCCGGCGCGCACGTTGGTGATGACAAAGACCTTGCCGTCGTCGGGCTCCGTCGTGTCGTCGACGAGGCGGAACACGCCCTCGCCGAGCCCCAGGAACGCCGTCGTCGGCGCCTGGCCGTGGATGCCGCGCGCGCCGAGGTCGTACACCTTGACGGCGCCGTCGGTGAGCTGCCGCGCCACGTCGCTGCGCACGCCCTCGCCGCCGACGACCAGGCTGCCCTCCTCGCTCGTGCTGCCGTCGGCGAAGACGAGACGCACGCCGCCGTCCGTCTTCGCGTAGCCCTTGACGTGGTGGCTCCACCGCACCTTATCCTCGAGGCCCTCGAGGAAGAGCCTGCGCATGTCGCCGCGCGAGATGCCGACGACCTTGCCGTCCCGGCTCGCCAGCGGCTCGCGCCCCACGGCCGGCGCGCTGCTGCTGCTGAGGGTCTCGCCCGTCAGCGGGTCGATGGCCGAGACGCCGGCGCCGCCCGTCTTGCCGCAGGCGTCGTAAAACTTTTGAAACGACGCCGGGCCGAGGGCTGCCTCGATGGCGTCGAGACCCCCGGCCGAGAGGCGCAGGCGGTAGCCCTGGGCGCGGAAGACGATGGACGCATCCCGCTCAAAGACGAGAAAGGGAATATGGGAGCGGTGCAGGTAGTGCGCCAGAAGGAGCGCGGCGATGCCGCCGCCGGAGATGAGAATGGGCTTCGGCGCCATGAAGTCGAATGCGGGATCAAGAGGAGGACAAGGCTTGGCAGCGATCCATGCGGAATGCGGAGAGGGAAATCTGAGGTACCTCACTCGGGCGAGGCGAGGCTCTGGGTGAAGGACGGAGAATGAGGATGGGGAAGGAGGCTCTCAATTGCGTCAAGACCCAAGGCAGGCAGGCAGGCAGGCAGGCACGTTGGCGAGGGGTTGCCTCTGACGGCGAACGACGAGACGCCGTGCCATCAGTAATATACGGCCGGCTTCGGCCGGGAACCGGAGTTCCGTTGGGTAAGCAGTCGCGAACCTTAATCATCAAACGGCCACGCGCGCGGTATACTTGCCAGTGAGTTGCATTCGATGCGTCCAGCGCGCGGGAACTCGTTATTACTTACCTACCGTACCTTAGGTGAGGTAGGTAGGTACCTAAGGTAGGTACCTTAGGTACACAGAGCTGAGCTCGTTCCGTCATTGGACATATTGCCTATAGGCTACATGTCGTCATGTGTCATGTGAGGGAGATGGCATCAGCCACAATGGCGGGGTAGCTTCGAGACTGGAGACAGTGTGGCTGAAACCTCATGTCAGCAGTCCCATGCCATCCGGCACATCCCATCCAGGACATGCCATCCATGCCCCTTCCCCTTCACGTGTTTCCTTCCTCTCTCCAGGAGTCCAGGACCAATCTTCGGATCCCTTGGCCCAATCTTCTCGGATCCCTTGGCATCTTCATCCAAACATTTTGAAGCCATCGTCTATCTTCTCGCTTGCCAGTCTGACGACTTTATAAACTATCTTTGCTGATTATCCATCTTGGAGCGAGGTCTGTCAAGCTGCGGGGCTGCATGATTAGTAGCACCTAGGTGTTTCCCCTCCACTGCCGAGCCGAGGTCTGAACCACGCAACCAGGGTCTCACGGCGACGATCCTCTTCAACTCTTGCCTTGCTGCTGTTCATCTGCTCGACACCGATCGTCACTTGTGGGAATTTTGTTGCAGCGTAAGAATCTCAGAGCATTTTTCTCTTGCTCGCAGCTTTCACAAGTCTAGGTCCATTTCGATTGACAACCTTGACGACAACAACCTTGACGACAACAACCTTGACGACAAGAACAGCGCCGTCCATCCCTGCAAACACCTGCAAACACCATGGCCATGGCCGACGCCCTCTTCACGGTGCCCATCCCCGCCCTCGGTGACCACGTCGGCGGCTCCATCGTCTGCACGTCTCCTGCACCCCTCGTATATCTCCTCACCTGGTCCTCGCCTCCGGACAACCGCCTGACGACAGCCTTCTGCCGCGCCCTCCTCACGGCCCTCGACATTGTCGAGTTTTCTCACCCTGCCGGTGTCCTCGTCACGACCTCTGCCATTACCAAGTTCTACTCCAACGGCCTCGATCTCGATCATGCCTTCACCACGCCCGGCTTCTGGACAGACTCGCTCTACAAGGTCTACCACCGCTTGCTCACCTACCCCATGCCCACCGTGTCCCTCATCCCCGGCCACGCCTTTGCCGGCGGTTTCATGACGGCCATGCACCACGACTACCGCGTCATGAACCCCAGCAAGGGCTTCCTCTGCATGAACGAGCTCGACTTTGGCGCCCCTCTGAAGCCCGCCATGTCCTCCATCTTCCGCATCAAGTGCGCCTCGCCGCGCATCTACCAGGAGATTGTTCTCGAGGCCAAGCGATTTCCCGGCCCCGCCGCCCTCGAGGCCGGTCTCGTCGACGCCCTCGGCGGCCTCGACGAGGCCCTCAAGCTCATCGCCGACCGCAAGCTGACCCAGAGGGCCAAGTCTGGCGTCTACAGCGTGCTCAAGGCCGAGATGTGGAAGGAGAGCGCCTATCTGCTGCACCAGGAGAACTTTGAGACCACCGAGGCCGTCTGGAACCGGAGGGAGAAGCTCGAAGCCGAGAGGATCGCGGCGGGGAAGAAGTTTGCTGCCGAGCTCAAGGCCGGCAAGGCCAAGCTGTAACTGTCGGAGATGTACGACAACAAAACATGTACGACAAGAAAATATGTACGACAAGAAAACCCAAATGTAATAATCCAGGACCAATAAGTTGAACAATGCGCCGTACTCAAGCATGTAGAGACCACAAGGCTAATGAATCGCACCATTCTATCGTTCTTGCTTTTTTTTTTGTCGATGCTGTCAGCCTAGCTAATGTCGACGACCATGCGCCCGCCTGAGATCTCGCCTTTTCGCATCCGATCGAGGCCTCTATTCACGCCGTCAAAGCCCTGCTCCGCTGCGAGCACCTCGGGCGGCTTCACTAACCCGCTCTCCAGCAGCCTCTCGAGCCACAGCACGAGCGCCTCGCCGACAGCCGGCACCTCGTGGAAGATCTTGATGGGAACGGTATGGTACGCGACACCCTCGGGCGCCTGGCCCTTGGGCAAGCCCGTCAAGCCGACGAGATGGGCCGACTGGCTCCTCTGCCTCCGCGGCGTGTCGGGAGGGCTCGGCGGCGGTGTTGTTGTCGTCGTCGTCGTCGTCTTTTCCTCCCCGACCTTGATACCCTCCAGCTCATCGTCCGGCGTCAGCGCGTCCAGCAGCGACTTGGCCGAGTCGCGGCCCGTCGTGTCGAGCGCGAACCGGAGCTTCTTGCCGACGTTGGCGCGGATGATCTCGACGGCCCGCGCCGGCGAGTGGCTGTCGACGAGGAGGTCTGGGCGCAGGACCTCGTGGTCCGCCAGGCGCAGGCCGTGCTTGGCCTTGTCGACAATGGTCACGACGCGAAGGCCCGCCAGACGGGCTAGCTGGACGGCGAGATTGGCTGACGTCGACGAGCCTGGAGCCAGTGTCAGCGTGTTCTTTCAACGAGTCGTCTTCCTACCAAACTCACCTCCCCAGATCGCCAGCCAGTCGCCCGGCACGGCCCGCTCCCGGTCCTGGATGCCCGAAAGACATTCCTGCCTGACGTCTTGCGGCAGCAGACTCGGCTCGACCGACCGAACAACCTGCAGCAGATCGGGCCCGTCGAGGATGCTGGAAAAGTCGACACCCATGCACACGCCGAGCGACAGGACGGCCGCCACGTAGGCCACGCCGATCGTGGCGCCCGGCTGTCTCGGGACGTTCGGCGGGATGCGAACCGTGTTGAAGTCGGACGACACGACGTATTCCTGAAAGCCGGCCTTGCGCAGGTCTCGGTAGTCAGTGGAGATGACGAGCACCTGGTCGCCTTCACGTAACCTCGAGTCAGGCTTGGAAGGCTTGACAACGCGGCCGACGAGCTCCCTGCCGGCAATGTACGGCAGCACTGGAATTCCAAAGTTGAAGTCGCTGGGGTTCATAGGTCAGCGACGGCACTGCAGTCAGGGTCTCTCTTTCTGAAAAGGGGCTTACGGTGCCTTCCAGTCGATGGGGTTCAAGCCAAACGTCTCGGCCCTCACGAGAACTTCATTCTCGCTCTTGACCTCTGGTATCGCATAGCCGGCCGTGACTTCATACGGCTTCTTCGGCCCATGCAGCAGCAAAACCGTCTGGCTGCTGGGAAGATCAATATTCGACATGATGGCGATGGGAGATGTCGAATGATATGGTACGGAATGCAAATACGACCGTGAGATTACACCCTTTCCCGCCAGTTATACATTCAAAAGTCGCATTTGGGGAGAAAAGGGGGGGTTCGCCCGCGACCCTATCACCGACGTCTACCCAGCCTCTTCTTTGGGGGGCAAGGGGCCGCAGTCGGAGACATGTCGATCGGAGGGGCAATAGGGCGACACGCAGGTGAGGCATTGCGTGCTCCCCGAGTCCCGCACCAGACGGATTGCGTGATAGATTACCACCATGGCGCTGCTGTCCTTCGGCATTTCACCCGCCCTCGCAATGATTCGAGTCCAAACTTCGATTTTACCAATCCTGAATCAGGCAATGAGCGTGGGATGGCTTACCAACACACGGCAACACGGGCAGTATGGAGGTGAGGGGTCAAGGGTTCCCCGGTTGTCGCCATGCCGCCATGTACGATGACCACTTCCACCCCACGTGTCTACCAACCAACGACAGGGCTCTACATGAACAAGTCGCCTGCTTGCTATCGCGCGGGGGCCGCTTAGGTGAACTAGGTAGAACGGGGATTGTTTTTATTCCGGCGCTCTAGTTCGTCATCACCTGTAGGCCTCCCTCAAGCGTTTAGCCGCTGGCCTCGATTCCGAATTCGTCGCTACGCCTCCGACATCCAGGACAGCCTGGCTGTCGGCACGCGCGCGACGCGACCCCTAGGCGGGCGGCCCGTCCTCCTGGAACACGTCGTACTTGTACCGCGACCCAGGGTGGTCGTCCCTAAGCCCCTTCTGGCCCCTACCGTACACTCGCTCGCGCGCCGTCAGCTGCTCGTCCGCCGCCGGCGCCTCGGGGTAGAGCCCCCTGCGGCGGAGCTCCGGCACCAGCAGGTCGACAAGGTCCTCAAACGTCCCCGGCGTTGTGACGTAGCCAATGTTGAACCCGTCGAGGTCGCCCTCCCGAATCCAGTGCTCCATGTCATCGGCCACTTTTTTCGGGCTTCCGACCGAGACGGGGCCGAGACCGCCGATGGCGGCCCTCTCTGCGATGATGCGAGGCGTCCACTTGGGCACATGCTCGCTTGTCGTCGTGAAGGCGTCCAGGATACTGCGCACCTTGTGGGCCTCGAGCGAGTCGGCCGCCGTCACCTCTTGGTCGAGTGGAATCTTGGACAGGTCGATGCCCGTCCAGCCGCTGACGAGCACGAGACCGCCAATGGTGGACGCGTACTTTTTCAGCTCGGCCAGCTTTTCTTGCGCCTCCTCGTCGGTGCGCCCGACGATTGGCGTGAACGTCGCAAAGAACTTGACAGACTGCGGGTCGCGGCCGAGCTTGGCTGCCTGTCGTCGAATCTCCTGCACCTTGGGCTTCAGAAGCGCCGGCGAGTGCGAGGACACAAAGATGCCCTCGGCGTGCGACGCCGCAAAAATGGACCCTGCCGAAGATGTGCCCGCTTGGAAGAGGAAAGGCGTCCTCTGCGGTGAAGGGTCTACG